TTCCTTACTGTTGATAGCCCGTTTATATGCTTTCACCTCAGCTGCTCACCTTCTCGAATAAATGTTATAGAGATGTGGATATGAGGAGGCACACCAGCGCCAGTGAAGAAAGAAATGTGTAGAACAGGAGATGAAAAATAGCCCCGGATAAAGTCGGGCAAATTTCATACAGAATTCACTATGTTAATAACAAAGATGATGACGGCATTGGTACTGTCACTTAGTGAAGCATCTTTTATTAAGTGTTGCACGACAGACCCCATTCTATTTGCAAATTGAATTGTAAGCAAATTCTGGCAGCTCTAGTGTATTAAATACAAAAAGCGTTGCCTTTTTAAATCCTACCTCTACTCTAGGATTCACAGCAGCCTTAAATTGTTGTATATGGTTCCATTGTTCGCTGAGGAGCAGATGAGCATTTGGCAAGAAGGTGCTGCTTTGAAAACCCAGTTGTCAAATGTCAAAAGACATTTGTGTTTAAGTCCCGAAATGATGTAAATGATGTGTGCGAAGGCAAATTGAGTTAAACGAAAGAGCAAGAGCCACAAGATTCTACTACTCAGTCACGTTTTTAGTAAATTAGATCAAATTAGACAAGTGGGTTTAAATGAATAGGCGTACATCAATTTCATCTGCAATCAAGAATATATCACTGAAATTTGACAATGAAAATAAGCAAAAATCCACCTTAAGACGTTTAAGAATGAGGGTGCAATAGACAGTGCCTCTGGCAACAAAGATGCTGCCGTCAAAATATACTCCTGCTGGCCAGCATCCAGTTTATAGCATTAGAGTGATTGTGTAACATGTCCAGTTACCTTCCCTGCCCAGGTTGTAACTGGTCTATTTGCTCCATCATAACCACTGACGACTGGCTTGTCAACACTTTGAATGTAGAAAGCTCCACTTGCGTATCTAGTAATAGGTTTGACGGGCAGTGCCGTCTATCCAAAGCGACGTCAAACTGATTGACTGTGCATTAGTGTCAACTTGGAAGAGGAATTCACTGTCAGGTAGTTTGTACACTGTTACATCGAAATGGAACTGTGATGGAATAAATTATGAAACAGTCTTACCCCAACGGTCTGGCAAAGGTAGGTTGAGGAGGAGGGGGTGGGGGAAAGAAGTTAGCCCCAGGAGACAAAAGTGTCGGATAACAGGGGGGGCTCAGCTCACGGGCCTAACCCCAAGGCCGACGGGTGTATATATTTATACAGGCACCTTTCTACTTCTGCTGGTCTCAGCAATCCAACGCTGTGGGAGTTTGTGACACTATTATGTGTCACTGTACGGACAGTGGGTGATAGTGTGTGTGTGTTTGAAATAATAGGGGTGTGCTTGTAAAACCGTGCGCATTTGAACACCTAGAGAATCCCAAGGGCTAAAAATCTCACTCAAGTCATGGAATTAGTCCCACACTGCCCCGTTTTAACTGACTTAGGGGTAGTCTGCATGTCCGATCCAGCCGCTTCTCTCCAAGTTAAATTTATGTACACGCTGACCTTGTACATTATGGAGAGGTAAAGAACTACAAACCCATGCAGAAATAATCGTTACATCATTCATGAAGGCTATTTTTGACATAAAATAATGCCATACAGTCATTCAATTACGTACTTCTGGTTATTTAGTGCAGGCAAGTTTAGTCACTCCGCTGTAATTTAAAAAAACCTCCTTTCATAAGGAAATGGATGCATTACAAACCTCACATATCAAATACGCTTTTATTTTTTGCTGCTGTACCAGCTACCATCACTATAGCTGATATGAGTGAAATGCACAAGTTTCGCATATTTGAGCCAAGTATTAAGGCACTTTATGAAGCCTATCCCTGGGGCTGTGTTTACTTCTATTCGTTTACTCATACTACTCATTTCATGTCAATAGCAGGTACTTGATCAACAAAGTCATGTGGCTGGAGGTGAAGCATGCGAATGAGTAACAAAATTCATTGCAACTGTAACATCAAATTGCCTTCAAGTCATGTGTAAATATAGCACTTGCCGTGAATCAAGGCGCTTTAGGTGCATTTCATTTGGCCTTCAACACGATTGGGCTGACAATGCCGCAGTAGTTCAATGAATACGGGGATTTGAGATTGAAGTTGATGCAATTTTAAGCCTCAGCTGCTAAAAAAATTGGTACAGTTAGGAAGCAAATGTGTCGACTATCATCTTGGTGACAATGATCAACTAATGGAGTAGTTTTGGGCTTGACGAAACGTTGTAGCGAGGTGGTGAAGGATAGATGAAAGATTGAAGTTAGGCTAAGGAGAGCCAAGCTTACATGGTGGGGTAAGATGTTTACATGGAGAATAGCCCAACCCTTAGGTCGACGAGTGCACATGGCTTCACGAGCACTCTTCTGCTTCTACTGTTCTCAGCAACCCAACGGTGCAGCAATTGGTGGCACTGCCACGTGTCACTCTGTACTTACAGTAGGTGACTGTGTGAGTGCGTGTAAAGTAAATGAAGTCAAAATGGAAGTGTGCTTGTACAATCACGCACATAAGAGCGCCTAGAGTTTGGTCTTCTTCGTAACATTAATGTCATTATCATGTCTGTCGCAAACTTGGTCGGACTTTTGCATCCTTAGGCTTCCTCATTTCCTTACACTTTTTAAATTTCACCACCTCAACATTGAGCAATGGAGCATCCTCTCTTCACCAACAGGCTCTTACATACAACCATGATACTTGCTTGGCAATGCCTGTCAGGTGATAGAATCTACTGAGTCACTCGCCAGCACATTTAAACATTTGGAACATTTGCATTTCACAGCTACTCTATATGCAGGGCATACGGAAAGTCGCATTCCTGACCACACTTTTACTACCTCCCTTAAGGATTAGTATTTAAGACGTAGGAATAAATAAGAGGCAGTTATGGACAAATTCTTGTGCTGGATCACAGTTATCAATATCGGTGGAAATCAGATAAAGTGATGGACAAGTGGAGGACCATAAGATTAATATTGGCATCATCTTGTCGGTGGAATTAAAAATGTAAATTCAAGAGTAAAATGAGAACTAAGAGTTTATATAATTAGAAGGACTTGAGTGATGAGTAAAAGTGGTTTTCAAGTGAAAGTGGGAAAGACAAATTGACAGTGGATGACAAGTAGAATTGGAAGAATGCCTGCTACTTCCACCAGGGCTACTGACGCCAGAAATCACATGGATATTACTATCATTTGCAATGATGGTGATGACGTGTTTGTCTTTGCACTAAAAGTGAGTTGACAAGCGGTTTCTTTCTCCCTTACCCGCTCGTTTCACCTATTTGACGGGCCCCTTTCTCTTCACTTGACGTCATGTAACGCATTACATGCCACTGACGAAGTCACATTCGTCCGCTGTCCACAACTATATGGAGTTAACAATATCACAATTTACACTAACCCCTTTCGTTGTGGATGTATGCACGTGTGTCTATGTGTTGGGTGTATGAGTCGGCGTGATCTTCTTCATTCAGGGGCAATTATAGGACTAGCAGTAACAATATGAAGGCTTTAATGATATCGGTGATTTTCTAAAGGCCCACTTTCGCATTGCTTGTCATCAACTGCTGCGTCCTTTTAGAGAACCTCGTTACAAGTGGATGGGAAAGACATGGCAAGTGAGGCTCCATTAGGCCTGGTCAGTACTGAAGTGGGTGGGAGTCCATAGGTCTAGAAGTCTTGAAGTGACCTTAGCCAACAGGCTGGATTGTACATATTCTGTAGTTTGACCCCAAATGCAACACGTGTTTACCTCACTTTCGATTTGAGGGCCTACTTAATGGCATTGGTTGGGAAACCGTTCATCAAAAAATGAACGTTGCCAAGCCCGTCTTATTACCAATTACGTGGGCGAGCGAATACTTGCAAACAGAGAAAATAGAAAGCAAGGCGAAAGTACAAAGAGGGAAAGTACATAGAGGACAATGTGTAGGGGGAAGAAGATAGCCTTAATGTCACTAATGTGCCATTTTTCTGTCTTGTTTTGCAATGTGAAGACGCATTCCACCTAAAAAGTGCTTTTTTTAGATGTCACTTAATTAATCAATTTCTCACCTTGACAACTGCACATGTGCTGGTCACCTCACGAAGAGGTCTGGTAGATGTACTGACAAAGCCACATTTTATGGCTAAGGAAATTATTGCAGCAGTCCAGTTGCTGATGGTGGCGCAATTGTGTAGGGTTTTTCTGAGCAGAGCAGTTGGGATTTCTCAAATGTCGCCACTAACACTACGACTACTACTACTACTGTGTTGGTTGGATGAAGAGCTTGAAATGTAAAAAGGTTATCAGGTGAATGGTCGCTTCACACGTAGTCTACCAACACTCGTGCATTTGACAACTTCGTTAGGTATTATCAGTTCTTGGATGCAGCTGGTAAACATCGTGCGTGGATATGGGAGGAGCTCTGGTGATGTAAAGTGACCGCAGCCAAAACAGTCGCCAATTTTGAATTAACATAATCAAAAATTTACGTAATCATAACGGTGAGGTTAATGTCACCGTTGCATCATAAAACATGAATGATTTTCCAATGTAAGTAGTAAAGAGCACCTTTTGCTTAATAATCTAACCTCACTTTGTCATTATCCTTCGCTTGCAAATCGCATAATATATCTTTGTATCTTCGAGTAATAAGAACCCATCTACCTGTAAAACAAGCATAAAATATAGAAGGAAAAGGAAGCATAATGGGGTAGATTCGTAAGTTAAGTTAGGTGTGCATGTTGAGATAAATGTCTTCCATAGCTACGATCCTGGAAAGTATTCTGATTTTGGGGATCGCAAATATAGCAGTTAGGTGAAAAGACAATCGAACATTTCGTTGGAAAATTAATGCTCAACTGGGTGGCTAAAGCATTTTAAACTTCAAAATAAAGAAATTAGCATTCCATAGAGATCGTATTTCATTCTGTTCTAATGGTGTAAGGGCATACAAAAGGTGAAGTGCAATAGAATAATGAACAAAAGAGAATCAGGAGCGAAAATACAAACTTGGTGTTGAAACCAAAGGACACACAGAATTAAATAGGATAAAGGAGGAAAAGTTGTGACAGTTCATATACTGCTCAAATGAAATCAAGGGATACTTATATCAGACCTCGAAAAATTGTTCTAAGATCTAAAGAAAAAGGAACACACACCTGATTACTTACGAAAAATTCGAATTGCATGGAATTCAATCACGAGGTATCTCATTTCTCGCATCCATTTCACTCACGAGATATCTCTTTCCTTCCCCTCTCCCTACACAGTTCTCTCCCACCCATTTCAATCATGAGATATTTCCTTCCCTTCTTCCTTCCTTCCTATAGATTATTCTTGCCTCGATTAAAATCACATTCTATCTCGTTCCCCCCTTTCTATTATTCTTCTTTCATAAATTAAATCACATTTTATGCCTAAACAGGATATTTTTTGGGTTAGTGTCCCCCTCAATTTATCCAGAAGTTTGTAATTAATTTTTTTATTTAATGCTACATGTTTCATCTTTTATGGTATATTTTTTCAAATAATTTTTTACTTTTCATCCTTTCCCCTCATTAAATTTTTTAGTAACGATTTTTTTGACAGCGAAAATCCTTTTTACATTATAATCGTTGTCTTCTAATTCGTGTTCCTTTTCCATTCATCAAATCTCCTGTTCTCTAATTCGCCCTGATTAACCCATTTAATAAAATTTGTATAGTAAAAAATTTAAAATATCTTAAATGTACTTACAAGTTCTGATCATCACACATGTTTTGCCACCGATTATTGATGCTTGCTAATTTCATATTTTCCGAAAGGCCTAGAGGGAAATGCTCGAATTCCATTGGCTAGCTTAACCAAGTGCTAGCATTGAGTTCGTTCATTTAGCCTAGGGACTGTTTGCTTTCACAATAGGATGGCGTTTGGTGATTCTACATGTTTTCAATCCTTTTTTAACTGTGACAGGAGGCAAGGACTCGTATCCTCTCCTTATTTGTTATCAGTATTTCAGTTGTAGGTAAGAACACGCCTGCCGATTTGATAAGTTCACCACCCCAGGCCAATCGACCTGTTCTAGGCGTATCAGAGGTAAATATTGAGGTTCTTTAATAATTACTTCAGAAAGCCCCAAAATTACGATGAGGAAACTTCAAGCTTAGCTTTCTTCGTTGCAAACACGATGGAATATACCAGACGAACTTTGCAGATAACCCGACATTGAGATGATGCGATTCATTACGTCTCATTTCGGCCTCTAGCGTATTGTTGAACTCGGAAATGTGAAGGTCTGCTTTTTTAGTGGCGCTTCTTAGGACCTCCTTCCCTTTGACTCGGTCGATAGCAAGATTCAGTCTTCAAGGGAAAATGAGAATGAGCAATTGCGTGCTGATCTAGATGAACGCATGGAGACGTTCGAGCCCTGATGCGGCAATAGCTGAAAGCTTACGATCAAACAGCAGTTAAATTGGTTAGCTAAGTGGCTCGTGTCTGTGCCCCTAGACAAACAATAAAACATCTGGGCTATGATGGGTTTTCTCTTGGGCCCTTCTCTTCTTCTACGGTAGTTGAAGAGGCGGACTAAGGGATTCCTGAAGGAGCTGGAAACTTTAGCAGGTAGACTCACCAAGAATGGCTGGTAATTTTGCGGTGAAGTATCTTTCATCTGTGTGGAGACCAGGTGACTGGTGTGGTTGGCTTGCGAGCGATACTTTACAGCGCGATTGTGAGGTGGTGGCTGAAGTAGGAGGTTGGAAAAGGGTGGCACTGGTGCCGACACGTGAAAGGAGGGGGGGTTGTGACACCTTGTCTGCTCGTTTCGGCGGGACTGTCATTGTGCCCTCGCTGAGTGGTTCGCCCCTCGTGCCGTATAAGTGTATCTTGTCATTGTTATCCAGCCCTACTGTATGTCGACAATGCGTACTTCGCTCAGACGCTGACTCCGGGGGGCCTCGGCTGCTGCAAATGCTTTTGGGGGGAGCAGTATGAGTTCCTCCCACGTTTCGAGGTGTAGTTGGTTTAAACCAGGACGGTTCGTTGCAATAAAGTGACTTAGAATCTCAATCTTATGTGGTGACTTGTATGAAAATTTGAACAGTTAGAAGATACAGCAATTTAAGTAGTAAGAAGAGAGCAGAAAAATAATGCAGCAGCAAATTTTGGGCGTGATAAAATCGGCCTGATTTTGTTTATGGTATTATTGACCTTGAGAACAATTTTAATAGCGACACTATTGGAAAATAAACTCCTCTTATTTCTAAACGGGGCAATGGTTCAGGGAAAACTTGTAGAAGTTCTGATCAAAACACGTGCGTGGGATTGACTAGCTAGTTAGCGCCTTCCGAATTTTGAAATCCAAGTTGGCAGCAAGAAAATGTTCCTGTTTATTTTTTGAATTCAACTTACCTACCTTAAATAAATATTATTATAGCAATAGTGGTTACCTATAGCTGATTAGACATCAACAATTATCTGTTTATTTGTATCATTGGTAAAAGGCTAACTGGCTGGCTAGATGGTTCAAACCAGGCCTACACCGACGACAAAGTGGAGCGGGTTACCTTGACACTAAACAACCGTATTGACGCTCTTTCTTATGCTCTCGAGTTTGTCTTTCTATTAAGTGTGGGAGATGATGATTCTCTCCAATATGCAAAGCAGAAGGGCTATAACACCCTTTGTTGGGGGATATCTGCAACCCCTTAAAACACTTCTGTTTTGATTTCCTATAACTCGTATTGTTTGGGTTTCCTTCTTCTACATCTCAGTTTTCCTGTTTGGCCAAGTTTCCAAAATTGTTTTTCATTTTTCGCCTAAACAGGAATACATATATGAAGTCGTTCATAAAAAATATACCGAAGAAAATATGCATCAGGGTCTTTTTGACATTTGGATAAATTTCCCCAACACATAACTGCCGTAGACCGTACCACAACTCCGGTCCTCCAAATTTACCTTTGCTTTCTTCCAGGGCATTGATTGGCCGATGCGTTGTCGGCTCAGGTCATCCTGCCTCATAAAACTACATTCACCTTGTAAATCTAACTATTTAATTTAGTCATCTAAGTTGAACCGCCTCGCTTGTCGAGCTCTATTCCGCCACCGATTTGAAGAAACTCTTAGTTACCTCCCAGGTGCCTGGAATGGTTTACCAGCATAGGTTGACATGCCACAAATATGCCAATCAATCCACTGGATAAAAAGATTTAATTGCTCTTCTTAGTCATATTTTTCCATTTTTGGTCCTTATCTAAACATAAAAGAGAAAGAAGTACAAAATACCTGCTTTTGGTCGGGTTTACAAACGCCCCTGCAGGTCATATTTCACCTCACCTTTCAACAGGTAGAAGTAGTAACGCTTTCCCTCCGTGGATTGTTCGCATTTAGTGCCAGCGCACCGGTAGGCTGAGCAGATCTTGACAACGCACAAGTTTGATTAGCTACGCCTATTCCATCGCATGCCAACCATCCTTTAAATAGGCATTGAGTGGATATTTAAATGGGATTCCTGGTGCAACTGCATTATTCCACCTCGGAGATAACAGAATGGTGCGTTAGTGGTGGATTCTTTCTCTCTCCTCCTCCATCTTTCAGCATTCTTATATCATTTGTTTCCTTTGCTAGTTAATTTCAACTCTAAAGTTGTTCTGCTTTTAATTTTTCATTGTACTTTTCCAAAAAGTATCAGTCATCTCTTAAACGCTCCAACTCGGACATTCCAGACGTCATCTATGAACGAAGAGTGGTAAGTGTGGCATCAAAAATCTCTACTCATTGCAAAATAAATTATTTTTTCAATTTTAATTAACTATTTTGTGCAATTCTTGTCGACAATTTCATTTTACGTTTTCTGTCAAAATTTTGGAATATCTTTTACTCTAGAAAAGGCTAAAAGGTTATTTTCTTACGAAAGAATAGATCATGGTTAAGAGAGGCAGTGGATAGCCTCCAATTCCCTTATATGTGTACATGTTTTCCCTAACAAAGGCGCCATTTTAAAAACATCATTCTTTTTTGTCTAGCTCAAGTACCTTCCTCCTGAAATAACAGAATATGTGAGTTGCACTTCTTTCTGTTTCATAATTTTTTGACAATATTCCAGGCCTTTTTTTGTTGTGCTAAATTAATATCAAAGAAGGATCACAAAAATAAAAGCGAGAAGGGAAAAGTCCGATTTTTAAAAATATTTATCCCAACTTATCATACCTGATATAATCTCGTCTTAAATCACTGTTCATACTGTGCTCTAGGAAGTTGATCAACTTTTGTCTAAAGCAGGGATTAATCGGTGGTGTAGTGGAATGTCTCCGCCTTCCGTCATTGTTGTTGCTCTTAACACCCCACCAGCTCATCTCTGTATTTGCGTTAAAGTGCAGTGGGTGGTACTGCAGCACTCCGAGCCTTCCATGAGACCTCGGAGAGATTGCCTAGGAGGCTAATTAGCGTGGTCCGAAGGTCCCATCACAGAGCAGAAGTACCTCCTGCGAATTTGATTTGACCACTGAACAAAGCAAATAAGTCTTAGGCTACAAAGATCTTTAAAATTAACCAAAGCGATCTTTGTATTTTTCAAGGACTGGGATAACATAGATGATATGTTCGTGGCCGTTGACACCGACCTCAAGGGCTACGTTACACGGTCACAACTGACCGACTACTTTCGCAGACAGGGAATTCCACTGGAAAATGTTGATGTAAGTAATTTGGCCATATTAAGCGTCTCCTCTCATTCCTAACTGTTAGTAGCCGTCAAAAATTCATCACCAGCAACCTGAACCGTCTAATGCTTAACAAAATGGATGCAAAGAAAGAAAACACGAAAGGATTTGAGACTCCACGACTAACAGTGTAGTTAAGTAGGCTTACCCCACCGAGTCTATGTGCTGCAGTACTCACAGTGCGCAGTTGGCATAATGTACTATTCCGTAAAGGTAGTATGTCACCCAGGAAATTCTCATCATCAGAGCAAAGATTGCATCATTTTTATCGTATCGTGAGAAAAGTCGGTGACTTCTTCAAGTTGACTTCTCTACGATGTACATCAAAAAATGGCAGAATGGAAGAAAAATGAAGTTGTTTTTTTCTAATAGGCGAAAGTTCTCAAGTCATGTGACAGGTGATTGGGCAGGAAAAATTTGACGTTATCTAAGCGGTGCTAAAGTACATCTGAACTAACGAGTGATGTCGAATTTGGGAATATAGAAGAGCCCAATCTGTAGTACTGAAGGTGCCCCCTCACAACGCACCCGGGTTGAAGCAGTTTTCCGACTGTGTATTTAAGTTGGGATCTGAGTAAGACAGCACTGTGATGCCATTAGTAATGACACCTCTCCCTACACAAGTGTCATTATGAGCATGAAGATGGTGCCTGAGGGGTTTGAGCAATTTGACACCAATCACACAGACTTGGAGAATTATACACGAAAGGCGCACCAGGGTGATGACTTTGATGACGCGAGTAGGAAGGTAGTCGCCATTCATGACTCTCAATAATGCAGAGCACTTAAGTCAGTATTTTAGAAGCTTTTTTAATTGTTACACCTTCACCCAATCCCCTCTACTTAAATCCGCCTTATAAGTAGCAACTACCAGTATTATAACTTGAGGCACAAATTTGAGCCCAGACATTGCCACAATAACGCCAACTTACCCATCTGCCTCATTACTCCTTTTTCTCGGCTTCTATGCACTAATTTTGTCCCTCTTTTCAAGCATTGCCCCCCTTTGCTAATTAGGAAACACACCCGGGTTACACCACGGGCGTTTGTGACCTTCAAGGGATCACGTTGATAGTAAATGCAGACACCACATCACATGATCTGCCAACGCCATAGTTGCACGCACCGTTGCGCAGTCCATCACTCATTTCCCCTTTTTCATCAGCCCGTCCCTTCAGGTGGAGTGGTTAGTAGGCACTCTTGCATGCACATAACCTAGGGGAAGGGTTCTGCCAACATCAAGTAATGCTGGCGATTAATTAGACACATATCACATGCCCACATTCTCTCTAGGATAATTTAATTGAGAGCATTCATTCATCAGACTTTTTTTCAACTCTCAGAGATGGTTCCAATGGTTTGAAGGGAGAAACAAGGGCATAATAACGATCGAGGATGTCTGTGCAACCCTTGGCATACCAATTCCGGTGGAGTACAGGTAAGTGAGTGAGTCCACCACTCATCACTCCAGACGGCTGCTTGGGAGTGTTAAGATAAGGCTAAATCATTTATACTTAAATTCTTACCCTTGCCCCTTCTCCTGTCTTCCCACCTAAGACACACTTATTTGGAAGTACTTCTTTTACACAATCTACTACCCAATCTGGAAACTTACATTAGCGTGTAACAGTCAGGAGGGTGGGTAGTTAAAAAAAGATGCCAACCGAACCGTGTCATGACTTGATTAATGGTGTCTTGTCTGCCAAGCTTAAAGTAATAGCATTTTATTGCGGAGGATATGCTTCATTTCGAGAGCAAGTAGCATATTTCATCAGCTTTTTGGGGATTTTTCAAGGCGAAAAGCCGAAAATGAGGCTCGGATGTCGGAAGACCTAATTCAAGAGACTGCTGCAGCGCCCGCAGTATTCGCTGCTCCACCGATGCCATCATCACCACCACCAACTATGGAGAAGTCTATAATGGATGGTGTGGAAGTGTTGCCGGGAAATGCCGCAACCGACGATATCCTTGAGGGTTGTGTACGTTTGGTCAAGGATTATCCCGGACAATTCAAACAGGAAAGCGATTTGGCAGGCTACTTGAAGGAGCATATGGAAATGAAGTACAGGAAACATTGGCAAGTCGTTATCGCCGTTTCCACTATCGGCTGTGCGGTTGCCCACGAAGTGAATATGTTCATCCACTTCCGCTATAAAGATTACATTTTCCTCTTATATCTTGTTCCCGATTGGAGAGGCCTATGACATTATTCGTGTTTTTATCCTTTTTTCCCCTTACTTTACTCCCCAAAATGTCTGTCTACTTCATCGAATATATGAAATAATACAAATATATCTTCTTTTTGCTAACTTCTGAGGATTACGGTGTCAGCATTCAGCGTCTCCCATCGCTTGGAGATATAATAACATCCAATGTATGGGATTAACTTATTTCTTAGTTATACGAAGGCAGCTTCTTTATTACCTCCTATTGTGATACGTGCATGTCAAAGTTGTTTACAGCTGTCATTGTCAGCACTGACATAAAGTTACTAGAATTCCCAGGCGTATGAAAATTATACTAAAAGCTCCCACGTTTAGGTGTAGTCACCTGACAGAGACATAATTAAATTCTTTTTTTGTATGATCACATTAATTGTTTAGGCGGTTTCTCAAAAAGTGCAGAAAATTGTAATTATTTTATTTAATACCAAATTTTTATTTTATTTGTTATGGAATGTTTATTTAATTTGGGAGGGGATGTACGTTCCGAATAAGCTGGAGCTTACTTTTTGTGTCCCTATATTCGAAAGAACATCCCAAAGGGTCATCACTTTAATAGGTCAAAATTCTCTTTTTTTCAAGCAATCCTATCTTCTAAATGACATTTTTCAAATTGACGTCTGTCTTAAATCACAAACTGATTTTAGGAACCATCACAGATTGCCATTTTGGAATTCTTCCCGTTTCAACGCAGAGTTTAGGTGACTTTTCGGAAGAATAGCGCTTTGTGCAAAGTATGCCTTGCGTATTTCAGCAGCATAGAGCGCATTTTAGTACTGTCCATTTCAAAGGTGAAGCTAAGGTCATTTATGAATGGCCAATTATATTTTACCGGGGGACGGAATTATCCAAATAGCCTGAATATGGATCTAGCCGAACAATGCACTGATTACCTTGCACAATGGCAAGGGAAAATACAAGATTAATCAGATGTAAAACACATGGAATGCTTAAAAAGTTGCGCATGCTTGCGCTGTAGTTACGCGGGAGCCTAAGACTCCGTCATTGCACTGTACTGGGTTCGTTGTTTAACTAAATCCTGGTTTTATTAACAGACCACTTTAGGGTTCCGTCATTGTAGCAGTGTCGGGTGGCTTGGCCTTCAGGCTATGCTAGTAGCCCCCTACCCTTCTACTGGCCGGAATTTGTTTTAAATACTATTTTCAAGACTCCTTTAAATTTAGGAAAAAGATGGGAGAGCTGTAAGCTAAATTTTTGCATTTTCCGACATTTGGGCTGTCCTTACCAGACCGCTGACAATATTTACTTTCTTTGTTCAAAACATTATTAAACATTAAATTTTAAAAACTACTTGTAAAGATGGTAAAAAAGCAAAACCAAAGGGTAATTTGCCTAGGATTTTAAATACTACCTTAAAATATGTATTGCTAAATCTTTAAAGGAATGTCAAATTTTTACTACCATAAAACCCAAAATTTTTTAACGTGCAAAGCACAAAATTTTTAATTTCTTAATTTTTTAATTTCTTGCAAAATTAACGTTTGTATACAGGGGTGATATTTGACCCTGAGGGCAAAAACGGCGGTCTTATCGAAGCTCAGTCGCTAATTGCGTCTTGCTACTTAACCCCTCACACGCTCAACTAACTTTAAGAGCGTAGACTAGAACATATATGGAATATATTTCGTGCAACTTCTTAAAAATACTAAAAGTGTGTAATACATGTGCAAATAAATCAAACTGTCTGCTTATGGTTAAATTAAGTACTCCGTAATTGTTGCATCTGAAACCTGACAGGTAGGGATTTTTCAACGATATGTGGTAGAATGTGTGGAGGTGATCTTGACAATACTAGCGCAAACAAAGGGTTCTGTCGGAAGCCTGGTTTTTTCCAAATTGACAACTGGTTGTACTTTCAGTTGAAAGGTAGGGAATATTTTGCCAAATCATATCTCTTTCAAATGAAAATGATAAGAGGTGACACTTTTGATTGTGTATCTGAACGTATGGCTGATTTGCAGATAACAAGTGGTGAATTTTCTAGTCTACCTCTCGTCCGTGATTGACAAGTTGCAGTGCCTAGCTTCCTGCAAGCTGCGCAGTTAGATCACATGCTTTGGTGAAAAAGTTACTGACACAATTTCTCTGAATGTGGCAGTTTGTGCTCTTATGGAATTATGGCATTTCAGAGAACAAGTAAGACGAAAGGCGATAAACTTGCCTTAGATATGAGCATGACAGTTACTGACATAGGCTTTCCACCACAGGGTCTTTTCTGTAGCCTCATTGAATGGTTTAATGTAGGGGTGAGGGGGAGACGATAGAATTGAAGCGCTTGATGCCATAGGCTCACATTATTTACCTGTCTCCTAACTGGTCATTGTGTGTCAACATAAAAACCCACATTTTGGTGAAAACAAATAGACACAAAATGTCATCCAGTCGTGAAATTGGCGCTCTCTTTGAGGAGGTTGACTGTAACCACAATGGATTCATTACAAGAAAAGAGTTGACTGATTATGTGGAGAAAAATCATCTTCCACCAGAAACTGTAGATGTAAGTGGCTACTCTTTCTATTAATGTATTTTAGTTGTAGTTTTGAGACTCTGTAATCTAACCAAGTGGTATTTTGCTCATCAAGTCACAGTTTATCGGTTCAAACGATCCCACAGCTAAAAGATTTGTTGAGTTTATATCTTCTCTAGAAAGATAAAAGCAACCGCATGTTACCTTAGGACTAATTGATTGCGTGCGCAGACAGCGAAATGAAGAAAGGTATATAAGGCCAGATAGGTTCCACGTTTTTGTGAGTGTGTGTGCACAGTGTTGTGATCAGCCTAGGCGTTTGCGCTTACACCTGCTGCAAAATGTCAATGCCAGTGAGTCAAGAGTTGGCTAAAATGTTTGAGGCCATTGATACCAACTTCAATGGCTACATCACAAGGGATGAACTGGAAGATTATGCCAAAAAGACCGGTCAGCCTGAATCCATGGTCGATGTAAATCTCTTGTCATTATCACCACTTTTATGCTTTAGCATTTTTGGTTATTTGCTTGTTTTGAGGTTTTTTTTTCCTTGGTTTTCTTGATAGGACTGGTTTAAATGGTTTGATTTTGGAAATACCGGAAAAATTACCTATGAGGATATGTGTGAGACCTTGGCGATTGGAATGACTAAATCCTACTCGTACGTTTCACTTTTTGACCATCTAGGATTTAAAAAATGATTTTTATTCTATAATGCTCAACGCTGATTGATTCATTAGTCTGCTAAACACCTGGTCTAAACAAGTTTGTGTTTTTTTATTAGCCAGTTGTTAAAATAATTAGGACTTGGCATAAATCATCAAGTGACAGTTACTTTACTAAGGAATATAGTTGACAAATAAAGAATCATGTGGTGATAGTGAGTAAAAGAGGATTTGGTAGTACAAGGTAGAACACAAAAATTTCCGTGCCATTGATCGGAGTGTGCAGTTGACTGGATGGTTGTGTGCACGCAAACACTGGTAAGCTCAGGACTTACCTACTAGAGGGCGCCATGGTAGTGATGAATGGTGAATTTACAGAAACTCTCCACCTGGGGCATAACTGCTCTCTCGCACAACAGGGTACAGTGTGCCAAAATGCATCGCACAATAGACTGAGTCAATGAGGCCACAAATTACTAGGCGCCAAGTGTTTATACCTTAAGATTGTGACCCAAGGCGATTATGTAGGCGTAAGAGAGGGTAAAGACTATTACAATTTCACAACTTTTCGATATTTTTAATTAAAATGAAGAAATGGATGAAATTTAATTAAATCTTGATGCATCAAAAACGTTTCTTGAATTTCCTGATCACTCTCTTGCTCTATTTTGTACAGAGAAAAGGTGGAGAAGAAACGTGAAATGATTCAGAAAGGAAAAATTGCCCCACCAAAAGATATGCCCAAGGAATATGCAGCACCCCAACCCAAACCAGGATGGTTGGAAGGGGTCACTTTGCTTTACACAGGTCGGTCGGAGGAGGGTCTCCTGGAATATGTTGTTAGTGTGGTGAAGAGTGCCAACATGCAGGATTTTGACAAGGAGTCTAGTTTTGCTCGTTACCTAAAGGAGACAATGGAAAAGAAATGGGGTCGTCATTGGCAGGTTATTGTGAGCCAATCTACCTTCGGTTGTGCTGTGGGTCACGAGGAGAACTACTTTGTGCACTTCCAATATGGCCCACATTTGTTCATCCTTTATCGCACTACTGAGTGAAACCTGACATCATCCTTATCATTTAATACTTTCATTAATCCATAATTACTGCTGGTTTGTAGCTACAATTTGTCATTCTCCGCCTGAAAATACCACTGGCATATATAGGTACTTTTCTTCAAGATACTACCTAAACACTACTTCAGGACTTTTGGGCAAACGGAAAACTTGCATTGTTATTAAAGGCAATCGAGCATTACAATGGATTGAGATTATCCCCAAGATTGGTGTTATAAGTCCATTCACTTGCATCGTCACATATGTGTGACGTAACACCTTTCTTACTTTAAGCTGTAAGTTTTAGATGAAAAAGGAATCAGACGATTTAAGGAGATGAAAGAAAATAAAAAGTAGATAGTTTTACACTAGATGACAGAAGTAATGAACCTTCTACTAAAAATTTCCAAATGCTATCCATTGGAAATACATGGGAGTACTGCTGATGAAAAAAATATATTTATGGTGTGGAAAAGGAAGAATACCAATATTTTTTAAAGGACAGCATATTTTATCCCACGTAATGGCATCACAAGAACGGGGAAAGTTTACAACATTCGTTGATGGGTGATGGCCCCATTAAAACAACCTTATTGGTTGATGGCGGCTTATTGTAAGAATGAGCGGGTTAATTTCCCTGACAGCTTTGTTATCGATTACATTAAGGCCTTTGGTAGTACCACGAACCTTTGGTGAAGTAGCATTTAACCAAAGTCTGTTTGGGGGAACATACTACTTACTTATATGGCAAAGAGTCGGTCGGCTACTAGTAGTATCCACCTTGTTGAACAAACTATCTAATCACTAAGGCAGCAAAATGACTAATTAAACACCGAGCGTTCTCAGGCCTCCTCCCCCCTCCCTCCTTCCAGAATCCGTAATAAGGCAAAGCAGTGGCGGAAATACATACTACTTATAAACTAGAAGGCAACCAGCATGGTCCAAGTGCCACATCGAAAAGCAAAGCAGTAGCACCATCTGCGAAGACTGAGATGTTTACGTGGTTTAACATAAAAGTCAATGAAGTGCCAAATCGCTTCGCTTTCTCTGTTTTCAAAGTTAACAAAAAAGGAACTTACACTTCATCACCCGGTAGTACACAATGAACTTACGAAGTACATCAACTTGGGTCATGCTCTCGACGGATTCTGTTTTTTCAGGCCATCTTTCATGCAACCGATTGCTTCGGTGAACTGCGGAGGAGATCAGTGGTGCCCTACCTGCATGCAATTTCTCACTTCATCAACAAAACGCTTCAATGACTAAGATGCCATTGTGGGCAGAATTTTGTCATAATGCCACATTCAAAACAAACTTGGCAAAAAAAACAAACAAACAAAAGTACATTTGTAACGTGAGTTGTTTTAATGAACTTAACTGATTAAAAGTGGGTAAAAGTGGAATTTTCGGTTGTACATACTTCTATTCACCCTCGTAATATGAAAGGTTGGTTCGGCTTAGCCTTTTTGACAAGAGCCATCTAGACCAGAGTGCTTTTCACTTTGGAACTACTACCCGTCTTTTCTTGTTAGTGAAGGAGGATTTTCGCAAATTTTCAGTGCACTTTTCTTTCACTTGGAAAAAAAACTAAAGAACACAACAACTTGGCGATTCGTACCTTGGCCTGAACTGCAACCCGCATATTGCCTGATTGGTCGAGGCCGTTGTTTATAACCCCTTTGTGCGAATTGTGAACATCTAAGTGACAGAAAAAGGGAAGAAAGGAGGAAGGAAGGAGGGAAAGGAAGAAAAGAAAAAAATGGAGCTTGATGATATACTGGATCAGATTGAGAGAGTTGACACCGACGCCAATGGCTACGTAACAAGGGAAGAATTGGAAAAATATTTTAAAACGACTGATCAGGATTTGTCGATTGTAGATGTAAGATGATTTACAAGTTTATTTTTTCTTTGAAAAAGTTAATCAATTTCATGTAAATACTCAGTGATCGTATTTGACAAATTAGGTGTCTGATGCTTTGACGCCCCAACCTGTAATGCAATGACTGCACATTTGGCATCTTGACTGACGGTTTCTTTCCATGTTACTAATCCACATCCTGGATAGGTGGATGTGGTTTTTATTTTGTTTAACTGAGGTGCAAATCTTGAGCCCTCCTAATAGCCTCTCCTTGAAACCGGAGAACAGAATGTAGTAGCCCGTGTGGTAGAAGAATTATGGCAGAACAAGAGGGCTTGAAGACTCTGGAGTTGCTAAGATTGGTGTTTGAATGCAATTGTTTTAATGATTGAAAAGCCACTGAGGCGGTAACATTAAACGCACTTTAATAAATTACTTTCCTCTAATGAGTTCATCATTGTGTGATGATGCCTTTAATTCTCTCTAAAATTCGGACTGGGTAATAAAGCCTTTTAACCAACCATATGGAAATTCAAATTGTCGAGAATTTAGCGAATTTTTTGACTCTACTTCATGTTTTTTTTTCCTTTTGTACTCAACGATACTGCGATTCAACACTGCCAATGCCTACTCTATCAATGACAACTGGGATTGATGGAATTAATTTTATTCCATTTAGAGCTGGTTTAGGTGGTTTGACTTGGATAATAAGGGTGTAATTGAGGCGGAGGACATTTGCGCCACCCTTGGGATACCGATGCGTGAACCATACGCGTAAGTTGCTTTTACTACCTATCCTCTTCAAATGTATTGTTAGAGCGCTCAGGATCTGGTATTTGATTGCTTCTGCGGGGATGCATTTGTCATGGGTTAAAACAAGTTCTAACTCCTTCCTCCTTCTCCTACCGCCTCCTCCAAGGAAGCACCTTTGACTAGCGATTAGATACTTGGGTACTGAGAGATGCATTTATTATCACAGTATATTTAACCGGTAATCGTGTGATAGATGGCACAAGATAGAGTAACGGGTACCACCATATCGGTAATGCGGGACAATTTGCCTTAATCACATGAACCGTCATGAATGCGCACTTTTTATGTCAATGAAAAGGCCTTCACTGCTATCACGTATTCAAAGGGTCTCTTCTCCTTTCCCATTTTAAGCCAACGTGTAAAGGCTAATCGAGAAAGGAGAAGAAAGACGTCCTTACCAATGTCGGATTCGCGCTCCAAAAGGCTCATCGATTCGGCCAGACATTCAAGCCTGAGTAGCAAGTCGAGCAGTTCAAAAGAAGTAGCCAATCGACAACGCGGTTCCACTACCTCGTCTAGTTCCAACGAGGCAAAGGTTGACAAAGCAGGCAAAATCTCACCTGATCGACGGGTAGACAGTCAGAAATCGCTGTCTGACGGAAGCTCTCAAAGTGGGCCCATCAAGGAGGTGACTGCACCAGTGGAGGCCAGTGCACCTCGATTTGCTGGAGCAAAGTACAACGATACGCAAAGCGTAGAGTCTAGTGGTAGTAGCAGTAATAGTAGTTCCAGTCTCCGAGACAGTTTCGAAATTCTCCACGAGGAAGCGGTGGATGAAGAGCTGTTGAAAGATGTGATGAAAATTGTCAAGGCTAATGAGGATAAAGTTAAAGAGGAAAAGGATATGGCTAAATTATTGAAAGATGGTGTAGAAAAGAGACATGGCAAACACTGGCAAGCTATTGTTGCTTATACAAATCTGGGATGCAATGTTGAACATGAGGTTAAAACATTTGTTTATTTGCGAAAAAATAATCGCATATTCATTCTCTTCCGCACACCCATAGCTGAGTAGGGCAGAGCAGGAGGATATATGGATGCACGAAATTCTATGAAGCCTGTTTGACTGACTCTCTTATACCTTTGATTTGTACCTACTAACTCGCATTTTGACAAAATTAGAAAGAAAGCAGCTACGTTTGTTGTACTTAGACCAAAAAAATGCGTCATGTGGTAACTTACCATTCTCTGTCTCACTTCTGTTTGGATGGTTGGTGAAGTGTTGTTGGGCCGTTGGAATCAGCCGTGAACTAGGGCGTCTCGACTAGAGGTCAGGCGCGAGGACACACTCAAACTGCGTGAGTGGTAGTGGCGGCCTCTCCTTGAGGTCTAGACGGTGGAGGTGGTAGGGAGATGAGCACCTCAGAGCGTTGTGTTGAGGACAGAACCCGCCATGAGAGCAATTCGATCGACAGTGCTTCCTGCCGTGACTGAGTGAAAAACATAGAAGGAATCCCGAGTTTGACGGCAATCGTGATCTTGCGTGATAGTCTCCACAAGGTCACCAGCTGCCAATGTGGAGACGGCCTGAGTGTGTGCCTCAGCCGATGGTTGTAATTAAGCGTAGCCAATAATAACCGGTGAACCTTGACCTTCAACTAATACGATTAAAGTACACCTCTAATTTGGACAAACCGATAAAGAAAAAATGGATGAAAGCACGTCCCCCCAGAAGGCTTAGGGATGCGTCACCAAGTAAAGGTTCTGGGATGCTAAAGAGGGCGTTTTTTTGAGGTTGTCATCACCATCAAAACGGTTTATGATAGTGCCACCCACCCCCGCCCCAACGCGCATTTGTCCTTTTATTCCGACTGCACAAAACAAGAAATTCCCCTAAACAATCAGCGGACTTGAAACACCGAACCGGAACACCTGTTGAACTGACAACATGGATGACACTCTTCTCAGTGGAGCAGTGTTGTATCACATTGGAACACTTGAAGAGGCAAACATCACCACACATCGACATACACTCAAACCAAGCCGACCTCGGCTTTGAGAGCTTTCCACCACTTTTCCAGAAATCTCTGCGTTCCCCTCATTCTCACAAACCTCACCACCATGTGATTTTAGCAACATTGTTAAGACATCTTTACAGATCCCAAAAATCCCACAAAAAAATGTAAAGCCGAGAAAAATATGTTTGATTTACAATGGTTAGGAAAGGCAAGCAGGGAATCACAATCAATCTACGTGGCATTCTGTACTGGCAATAGCATGATGAAAGACATGGCACAGCTAATGTTACAATAGAGGCGAGTCGGAGTCTACAGGAAGATCGCGACAGCACCCATAGTGCACTAGGTCACCGGAGTCTGGATACCGTACAAAGGCAGCGTTGCCAATTCGTCGTCGACACTGGCGACACCGACTCAATGTGGTCACTTTGAACATCTGAGCGGCGGTAGTTGCGACGCAGGCGTTGTGCGACTGCACACTTTCCCTGTGGACCGCGCTCGTGAAGAAGATCAGACGCGTCCACAAGCTCGCCTGTTGCCTGAGGGCTGACTGCAAAATCAAAAACATTTGAGATGCTTAACTCATCGTATTTACGATTCCTGGGGGGGGGGGAAAGAGGGGGAGGAGAACAAACCTCGAGGAAAGGAGAAAGCAATTTAAGGTCCGTATCATCGGGAAGCATGTGGAGAACCTTGGTGACGTCAATCAGTTCACCAAACCGGAGCATAACCGCAAGAGCGAGATCCATCCGTGGTTTGAAACGCAAATCAAGCTCGTTATGAGGCACGCTAGAGGACTCTGGGAAAGACGAATAAAGATAGTACGAGGAATGGGGCGAGACTCCGAATTACATGGGCCTATCAAAAGTACCTACTAAATTTTTCAATAATGCATCAGATGAAAAAAGGAACAGTTTTCAAGTATCATCACCTGTATCGTAGGTGTTGTTAGGGAGAACAATGCCAAGTGCAATGGGTTCCAGTGGATTGAGACAGACATCAACAAGTACCGTGTAGATCTCGCACAGATTGATGTCCTCCTGGTCCTTCTTTGCACTTTTTCCGGAAACTCTGGCAACGTACTGCTGTTCGGCCTTAGCCTGAGTTCGAGCACAATGTCCCAGGGCCTTATCCCAACTGTTCAACAAGTGAATCCACATGTTGAGGGCCTAAAGAGAAGGAAGATAAACGATGTGTGTGAAATGGCACACCAAGAAAACAACCAGCCTTCATTTAAGCCAATTTACTTGTCTGTGTCGCTTTAGACGCTCAAGCAGGACAGTACGCTCCTCAAAACAGCCATCGTAGGGAAAGTGGAGGAGCAATTCCTCCGCGGAGACTTGTACATCCCCCATATTGAGAAAATGAAGTAGGCGGGAGCGAAGACGTGCAACAATACCATCCTTGGGCCTCTCATCCGCCACGCGATAGGCCATGACCTTGTCATCGGTATGTAGTTGAATTTGATTACTGGAATTCGAAAAAGTGTTAAGTCTTGGAAGTTGTTCATTAATAGTAAGGTTTATTACAATTTTTGCTCTCAAAATGTTTGCATAAAGGTGCAACACTATTGGCTATTATTGGGGGAAGAGAAAAAAGGGGCAAACAGTCTCACATGAGAACCCTGACATATCTATCAAACAGTTCCACTTGGGGCGGAAAACCAGGGGGGAGTGCGCAAATCTCTGGCATCGTATAACCATCAGACGCATCACCCTCTGGTTCAATGCGCTGACAAATGTGACAGGGGGTGGAACGACGATGAGAATGGTGATGCTTTGGAAATGGCCAAATGCATGTTGACTCCCACTGCCTCTCTACAGGAGTTGACTCCGAATTAGAAGTTGAGGAATGGGAGAAAATTGGAATATCCACGCTGTTTTGGACGTCTCTAATGACCTAAAATATGATGTATAAGTCTTGAGTAGAGATTCTGGTAAAACTTAATGCGGTACGTACGGGCAATTACATGATGAACTGTTGGTTGGTATTTCACTAAAATTTGAAGCAGTGGGAATGGTGAAGAAAAGTTGAAGTAAAATTCAAAAACCGATTGGGGAAGATTCACGATAAATAACATCATGAAAAGATTCAATAAACAAGTCTAAAAAAGCACTATTACCATTGGAGATTTGGAGGGGGAGAGAGGCGAGGAGCTTCTATCGAAAAAGACGGTAGGACCAAAATCCACTTCATCGTTGAGTACGTCAAGTGCGTCCAGTCCCTCCTCCTCCTCCTCATCTTCACAGATGCAGGGACCAAAGAGGATACACTCGAGGAACGGTAGGAGTAGGTGTGGTGCCACACGTTCCAAGTAGCGCATTGCTTTATCACGGTAGCTGATTAGGGAATAATACTCCGCTTTGTCTAGAGAGGCAGAAAGAGAGAGAGGGACGTTTAGCGATTCCTCCATATCCACTGAGTCTATACTGATCAGAGTGGGTTCACTTACTTGATGCAGAGGCATTTTCTCGAATCTGCCGTTCCCATGCTGTGAAAATACTCATCCACGCCCTTGGGTGATGCATGAGCACATCTTCACCGAACTCCATAACCAGATCGAAAGGTGCACCAGTGAGACGTTTTAGGTAGTTGGTAATGCTGCACTGATTCAACTGTTTATCTGAAGCTACATTGCTGTCAGTGTCACCATCCGAAACCACTGATGTGAGACAATGAAGCGCCTTGCGGTGCAAACCGCGCATTCTGTACACTGTGACAAGGTCCTAGGAAAGCATAATCACCTCGCGTCTATTGATCAGTAAGATTGTGTCCTTTCTATTCCAATCGCATTAAATCTCACCTTTATACGGTTATTAGCTTTGAGCATTTCCTCCGCCTCCTCAAGCGAGCAATAGTTTTCTTGTCTCAAAAGAGGTCCGATTCTAGCAACGTTGGTCACCTGGTAACATTTTAGAAGGCTCGTGTCAACCACTTGGAGCAAACAACTTCTCCGTCTTTGCTCTATACCACAATCCACAATAACTCCACACGGGACGCATTGTCCAAGAAAACCATCTAGACTCATCTCCTGAGGACGATTAGATCGAAGATGGTTTCGCCATCGGACGAGAAATGTAATGAGTGGCTCGAAAAGCGCAGCCCTATCAGAATCCGCAAGAGGCTACAAAAATGTTACTTATTAGACATAAGTAGGCAGTTCGGGGTGGTTAAACAAAGGAACAAACCATCGGAGATGACGGATAATGCAGTTTGGCCGATTGCTCTTCACCAAGCAGACCAGGACATAACCCAATAACTAGGATTGGGTCAGTTTTCAACTTATAAAATAACTGAAAAGCACCTTCAAAGTCCCTTTTGGTGTCAAACAGATGAAAGGCAAAGAGGGCCCCAATCGGGTTCGTCGTGACTGGCGGTTGCCCTGAGATATTAGCAAAGCATGCCACTCGCAAAGCCACCTCAAATTCCTTTAAAAAAAGTAGCATTCACCATAATTTCACTTTTAGGTTTCCTACTTTTCCTATCTTTATTTTCTCTTTTAAATATGCGGGTTTGATGCATTATCGAAAACTCCCAGCCTCTGCACTTTAGTGGTACAAATATTAAAAAAGAACTCAATTGAGACTTAAAAACATTCTTCTTGCTATCGTTCATTCACTGTACCTCTCATTATATCTAATATCACCAAGTTAAGTTCTTAATCACCTGAGCTTCCATAAACAGGCGAAAATGAGTAGTTTACCTTTTGGTTGACAAGTTTTTGTACAAATCGGAGACGATTGGCGGAAAGAAGGAGCCAAACATCACTTCCGTGACTCATGGAAGGCGCTTCCGTTTGGTCTGATGAAAGACATGGTTGCGAGTCGTTTGGACGGTACACTGATGCCGCGGCTGATGCATACAGCCAGCCATGTTCATTGGAGCACATTGAACGAATCCGTGGAATCGCAAATGTTTGCACCAGAACACACGGATCAAGACAACGTACCTCCAACTGTTTTGACAGACCCTTAAGTGCAGTCCATTCAAGGGGAAATACATTAGAACTTTAATGAAACCAGCAATATTAGGGATGAAATTCTTTAATGATTACCGCAAGAAGAAAAGGAGGAAAGACTTGAATGCACTGAGCAATGTCCGACCATGTGAAGGTTGGAGTACTTTTGACATCCGTATCGTCAGGCATGAGGGTGAAAAAACTTTCGTCTGAGGCGAATATGAAAGGCGCTGAGGCACCAACAACCCATTTATCTCCGCAATTCTCCTTGGTGCTGTCAACATCAGGTTCGTCTGACGTGGTGTTCGTTGAAGCGGTTTTTGGGAGTACAATTTCATCAAAGGTAACAGGATCCATACAGTACGGTAATGGACTCATGAGAGTAGTTGCTACTTTCGCTGAAGTGGTGATTCTCTGACACTAAAATAGAGAAAAAATATGGAAATTGGTGCGGATAAACTGCTATACTCAGAAGTCATGCCAGGAGGACTTAACAAGGAAATTTATGCATGGCTGTGAAAACAACCTAAAGAACTCCAAATAATAAAAGACAATGTTATTAGCTACCCGAAGGGGAGACACCATTTTCGAGCAATAACTCAACCTTAGAGTGAGCGATATCGTTGACTCAATTCTTTCGTATGAGGAAATGCCGTCTTCTTTATAATTCTTTGACGAATTCACTTAACTCATCATTAGCAAGTGGTTCAACTAACTATTAAAAGGTATTAGTAATGAAGGAAAAAGGATGTAGTGGTATAAATGTACTTGACATTGGATAAAAGACGAAATATTTGCCAATACGTGAGGTTAATAAAAGTAAAAGAACCGGCATTAAAACTAAAAACTTTGTAGGGCGAAATTTCGAATAAACATTTGTCGAATCGCAGGACAAATTTACCTCCCTTGTGACCAAATTTAGGCGCATATACTCAGATCGTGAGGCAATCATTAGAGTTTCCAGGCCGCAAAATAGCAACGACCTTGCGGGCTCCATAATGGAGAATTCCGAAGGCCAGAATGCGATACTCGGATCATCCGCTTCAGAGGGAGGGATAAAGGCTCTTCTAGAGGGAGCCCAACGAAAGAAGTACAACTTTTTTCTCACACATATACATAAATTCAATCTCCGCGGGTAACCGTTTGAAGGCGAACGAATTTCGTCAGTGTAGACCAAAGGCTTCTTAAAGCGGTTCAATAAATCTGAAAATTATTTTTAAAAATAGAGATATGAAGTAATTTAATCTCCAACGCCAAAAATCAAAGAAAGCCTACCATTGACGTTTGCGTGTTTTTTAAATTCCGGAGTCGGTGATTGATACATAATTGTGAAATACGTAGCCCCCTTACTATTTGGAACCACAGCAATAAGTTGCCTATTCGAGAGATTATGGGCAGTCAGCTGAAATTCAGTAAGGGCTAAGAAAAAGCCATATTCGGGTATTGCCTGAAGTTGCAATACACGTTTCTTGCAGAGATTGTGTGTAGCACACAGTCGAACATTTAATGATGGAAGGGCTGGAAATGCTTGATTGGTTGGTGAGTCAACTGGGAGAGTAAATTCAAGAGGTTTGTGTGGTGCGCTTTGGTCTTGTCCCAAAATCATCGGAATAAATACATCGGGATGATTGGACACAGACGACGTGATCTCATAGATAAGGAGTTGACCGGATTTTGTCCCGATGAGAAGATAGTTTTGAAAACAGGTGATGCATTCAAAATCATAATGAGTACCGCGTATCAAACGAATTGGATAAAATGCCTGATGCATCCTCTACAAGAAGTAGCGGAGGAAGATGCATCTCTTCGTATAAAATCACTAAACTAACACACTCATTTCACGAACAAATATATGCGAAAGCGTAGTCATTTATGGCATAGCAGTGCATAAATTATTAAAATTACACAAATCCTCATGACAGAGTAATATGGGCCAGAAAGCAAAGTTTGTCAGTGTTTTGCACATTCGATTACTCGCATGTTGTTTAATCATGGGGTCGTAAAAAAGAGGACTTAAAAAAAAGAGCATGGTGTAAATTTCTGTTGCTCATAAGGAATACGTACTTTGATGTTAAAGCGCTGAAATTACAGTTATCCAAAATACATCTCAGTGAAACACAATCAGCACTCCAGGCTAACAAGGGAATAACAAGTGAGAAAGTTTTCAGACTTCAAGGTCAAAAGTGATAAGAAATTAAATGATGAAAATTTGTGCGGCGCTGATTTGTTCTCCTACTTGAAACCTCCTTTAAAATGTGCACATTTATTTATCCGCATTCTCTGTAGAAAAGAGATTTTTGGAAAACCCACAGTCATTTGCTTTAAAAAGTAAATGATAATGCACTCATATCAAGACAGATTTTGGCTTTGCATAACTCACATTTAATAACACATTTCTGAAATATACAATTTTTATAACGTTTATTAACTTTTAATTGGTGCTTTTGTGTTCAACTTCGACTTTGCGCGTGCCTAATTAACTATAGCCTAAAAAAGTTTCTCCTATAGTCATAAGAAGCCATATTAGTATGATAAAACATATGTCGTTAGCATGCAAAAAAGTAGACCTGCTACCGATGCAAGTAGAAGGCAATGCCAGTGAGTGTAATATAGCGTCCCGAGACTTCCCTGAAGACGAAAGAAGACAAAATACTTGGGCAGAATGTGTGTTCAGCGCAGAGAAGGTGTCTGGGCTATTCACATGACCCAAAAGGTTAGCCCACCCAGCGAGGTACAAGGGGGCCAATTCAAGGTACAAAAGTGGCGCCTCGCCAATGCCGAGGGATAAACCAACGTTGTATTACAGTAAACACTATCTGTAGGAAATCAAGTACCGGAATATCCGTAAGCCAAGTTAAGTACTAAATTTATACAGTAGCGGTTTTAGCACATTCTTAAGATCGTAATACGACAGATATGTATAAAAGGGCATAATTCCAAATTTCTCCAAATCTTTACTGTAACGTTTAAAAGTTTGATTCACGACTGCGTCCGGTTAGGCTGAGATTGTAATGATTATGTTGTTTTAATGTACCTTTCAGGGAGCGGGAGACCTGGAAATTCGAGTCTGGTGAGAAGGTGGTCGCCTTCCGTGCCTAGTTGTGATTGCTGCTCTTCCCCTCCCTTAACGTTGTACTTTTCCTCCCGATCTTTCCCCTTAGTAAAAAGTGTCGAAATCAAATCAACTGAGCTGTTCTAGAAACACTAGCAATGGAGTAGAGGAGACCGGTGAGTCTCACCCTACAGAGATGACCTCCAGATTATACCTTCAGCACTTTAGACCCACTAAGCGTTAGCCATCTGTTTTGCACTTTTTGCTATGCCATTTTTCGACTTCAGTATAGACTGAAATTTCTACGAAACCGCTTTAACCCTCTACTTCCCTCTAATTTTCCCATTTTGGTAGGCTTCTGAATAGTCATGGCAAAACTGTGCCATTGTCTGTAATTTTGCCCTTTTTATGCCTTGCAAAAGTTGTCATCGTTTCTCTTTATTTGCTTTGATATCTACTTAGCATGAAGGCACAAGCTGCCCATTTTACGAGGTTCTACTCGTAGGGAGTTCTGTGAATGCAACGATGCTGAGTAAAATACGGGGTTCGAACGCGCAGCTTTTAATCCTGTAATTTAACGCCACTACCTGGATTTATTAAATGTTATTTATTAGTTTATTATAAGTAGATTATACAAATCTGTCTTTGAATCGCCTAAAACTAATGAAAGGCGGTCAATCGACGTAAGCATTAAAAAATATGTTATTTGTTTTCTGCACGTTGTCCTCACGTTCAGATTGCTATGCTTTGTTTTGGTTTCAAGGCCATTTAATGTCCTGCTTCTTGCTTCTGTTGCGTAATTCGGTCTCTGAACCATGCTAGTAGCGACCTTTTCCTTTTAAACTTCTAAAATATGTATTCCTTCTCAATTTTATGACTTTGTTTATCTTTGCATAAGTGTTGGAGCACTATACGGATGGCAGCGAGAAGCGGGAATTCATAATAACTCTCCAACAAAGGTTGATATTTATGTCTACTATCAGAAAAGACCTTATTCTTACAACCCAAATGAAAGTTATCAACATGTAAAACAACGCTAACTATTACAATTTAAAAATATTTGCCACAAAGACGCTCGCTATATTTGCGACAGTGGCAAATAAGTGAATATTTGATAAATCTTCCTGTTCCCTATTAGCCATGTGAAACCCAGGCAGTTTTGACTGGGGATCACTGAGTTGGGAATTATAAAAAACAGAAAGAAAATGAGTAACTCGTTCTTGCAAATAAATGTTGTTTCGTTCTTTGTCATTTGACAGTGCTTTTATGCCAGTGTTACTGCGACTAGCTATGAAAACGCGTGATAACTACCACAGCCCCCTTCTACCAATTCAGTTCTCATGCAGAAGAATCGCTCAATATCCAGTAGAATGTCAAGAGGGATCGGTGACAATGCAGTTACTATATAAAAGTTGCAAGGATGGTATGACGGCTGGTTGGTGCGTTTTTTTCTCACAGTACCGACTACATTGTGATGACCGACACTGGTGACTGAAAAATAAGAGCCTTAGAGAAAACGCCCAAATAAAAGAACTATTAGGCAATTTGTCTGTTAGCCAAACACTTCGTTTTATTTGTAAGGATAGTTAATTTCAGTTCCCGCAATTATGCAGGGCAACATGTGCTCTGGAAAATGTCAGTAGCATTCTCTCCCTTCTGAAAGTCGATATTATATATTTTGTTTTTTTTAAAGGTCTGTAGGCATTACAGCGTATTTCTCTTAAGGGATCAATTATTTTCTCTTTCTATTTTTTTCCATTTTTATTGGTATTCATTTTGAGTAAAAACTGTGTGTACAAATCCTTAAAATAATTTAATTTATTATTGTGAGTTAAATGCTAATTGGTCTTTTTAAGCAAATAACATTTTAACCTATTCTTGTTTACACTGTCCCCTGTGCGAAAGCCTAATTAGTCACCGCTCATTTCCATTAGTCCCTTGTGTTCCAGTTTCGTCGGATTTCAGGGGAACTCTCGAGCAGTTAACAAATACACTTTTTTTACGAGGTGATTTGGGTTTTGCGCTTGTGCTCTATTTCAAATAAGGTGAAGAATAGTTCGGCGTGATAGTTCATTGCTGAATCAACCCATCTTCGCGTTATAGCGTGTGTTACCCCTACCAAAAAGAGCTGGTAATAATAGTTGTGAATCTCTGAAATCATTGCCTACTTTTTTCTGCACCAGCTACTTTGACGTGAGTCCTTAGGCCCCCAAGTTGTTGGGTTGTCACAGCTCCGAGCGACAGGAGACACAGACTGTGCGTTACGCTTGAAACTACATGGTGTATTCACTTAGAGCAAAATCATAGTTTATAGACAAGATATGATAAAGCGAAATAGGCAGCATTATGAGTCTCAGGGTACGCAAGAAGTTGGCATTTGCGGCAATTCATAAAATTGGTGAAGAAGATGGGCACTTTGAAGGCAAGAATTATGGAGGGGAGAGTGAAACGCGACTACTTTCACAGTGAACTCATATCGGGTACAAAATATAAGATATAGATGTAATTGTTATAGCGAAAGTGGATGAACTTTTTCGCTTCATGAGCAACCATACAGCCGATGGTTGAACCGGCCACAACAACCTGCCAATGTTTATAGTACTGTCTTTCCATTTGTACCTTCAAGAAGTGCGCCATATCTTTTTCCTCTTTAAGCTGTTCAGGATATTCTTTGACAAAACGAACACAACTTTTAATGATGTCACTGGGCGCGGTATTCCCCTGCAACACTTCAACACCATCCATCAATGACTTCTGCACAGGTGGTGTTGATGATGGCACCGGCGGGGCGGCAAACACTTTGGTTGCTTCAGGAGGCGCTGAAATTAGGCCTTGAGATATCATCTGCCTTGTTTCACCAACTTTTTGTCTAAAATATTCCGAAAAAAAAACAGGTGATGCATTTGTTATCACATCTTTTTTTGAAGTTGAAGTGAGGTGACTTTGAGACTGTCACACCAAACACATTTATTCATGTTACGACGCAGTTTAGCTGGCACATTCATTTGCCTGACCACATACCTGACTGTTGAACGTCAATACATGCTTTGTTCCTCAATATTGCCCGAGTGGGTAAAAGATGGTTTAAAAGAAGTACTTTCAAGTAAGTGTGTTTTAGGTGGGAGAGCAGGAGGGAGGAAACGGGGAGATTGGAGGAAGGAGAGGGAGAGAGAGTGGCAAAAATTCAAGTGCATTGAATTCCGCCTTACCTCAACACTTTCAAGTGTCAGCTAAGAGCGATGATTGGTGGAACCACTCACCTGTACGCCTCCCGCATTGGTATACCCAGGGTTGTGCAGATATCCTCCATTGTTATTATGCCCTTGTGTTCCCCTTCAAACCATTCAAACCATTTCTGAGAGTTTGGAAAAAAAGGTCAGATAAGTGAACCTTCATAATTAAATACTCTGGTGTCTAATGAAGCTGCCGGAATCCTTGGTGTTGGCAGAATCCATCCCAGAGGTTAAGCGCTTTCATCAGTGCCAACTAACCACTTCGCATGAAGAGACAATGTGGTAAAATATTTGCATAACAAGGGGGAAACGGCCAATTCGACCGCGATAAGTTCGTAGTAGGTCAGAGAGGAGGGTGCATACAACCACGATGCCTGCGTTTGGCATCAACGTGATGCCTTTGAAGGGCTAAGTCTCATGTATTTCCAGTTTTTGAACGGGGTTAATGCTTGGCAAGGCGGGCAAAAATTGTGCTTGAGGGTCAGAAAAAAGAAGTGCTCTAGCACCTCACTTACAGAAGCAGACGGTGATTTAGGAGTCCTGTTTTTTTCTTCAAAACACTATAATACCACCTGCTACTTATAAAACGATTTAAGTAGAGGGGGAAAAAATGAGCATGTCAGAAGTGCAAGTCATTAAGGGGAGTAATGAAAGGCGCTTGTCTTCGTACTCACATCAACGAAGTTATCATTCTGGTGTGTCCTTCGTGCATAATTCTCCAAGTCGGCACGAGTGATGAAGCCGTAGTGATTGATGTCGATTTGTTCAAACTCCTGATGCACCGTCTCCAAGCTCATATCGACACTTCTGTAGGGGGAGTTATAGTTGTTGTTGTTGTTGTTGCTAATATCATCCGAGTGATGTCTTACTCAGCTCTGCGTGCAGATAGGTTGCAAGTTAAATGCACCACTAGCAAAAGCCTTTTACTTGAGGGCGTTGTGATACCTCGAGTTCGCACAAACCAGTGGTGTGAAAGGCAGACCCAATGACAAAACGGTACAAAATTGAGTTTAGAAAGGTGTGATTTATGAAAAACACTTTTTTTCTACTCTCAGCACTACTGATTGTGCTTTTTTGCTTCCTCCACTTCTTCAAAAATCAACCACACTCGCTAATCTGAAAATACTTCTAAGATGGCATCAGAAAAAGATATCGGGCAGCAATCAGCAGTTGATGAGCAATTTTTTTTTCCCATGAGGCAACAGACTTAATGCAAGCCTTGCATTCTTAATGCGTGGTTGTCATTTACTGCGAAGGCAGGTGCACACGGCACTCCACGCCACCAACCTTCACGATCGTGGCATTGGGGACCTAGAATCCCTTTATTTTGGGGGAAATTGCTAATCCAGGTCTTTCGTGAATCAAACGAAGATGGAAGGCAGAATCCTGTGCTCTCGCGCTCACCTGACACATTCTACAGAGTTCAAGAAATACCTTCAAATTTTACCTTATCCTGCCTGTCTATTGTGGCCTCTCAAACTCCTAGTGACTTTAAACTTGCATCCACCTCATGACCGACTGCATGAGAGACCATACGCGAGATGCGTGTACTTTCACAATAATCTCTGGCCTGAGAACATGCAATTCCAAATGGCAGTTCTAGTAACAAAAGAAGCATGCGTCACCGATACCCCCACATGGGGCCCGAATTTATGGGTAATAAAACGAGAAAAGTAGGAGTTATTAAGCCCTTAAGCCTGATAATCTAGGAAACTGAGAGACTTCTCACCTGCCGAGTTGAAGCATTTGCTCTGACTCAGATGACTTTATGGGTAGATCAGAAAATTATGTGCGCTTCTTGCTTTGACGCTGGACTAAAAAATCCATTCAGTTATCACACATTTACTATAGATACAAGACATTTAAATAATGGCACCAAATCGAAGTAAATACCGAAAGTGGAAGTCCTAGAAACGATCAAATGATAAAGAGAAGGAGGCGGAAAATTAGTAAAAGGCAGCGTACATAAGGCGAGCGGTTTTCGGCATAGAATACTGATAATAGAAGGTGTAATCTAGACTCTCGGAATCAGCCGGCGAAGATGTGAGAATCTCTCGCAGGATACCATCAGGCATGTCAATTTTGCATACATCCGGACGGTGAGCTAACTCAGCATCCATAATGCGCAGAGCGTCAAATCCTGTTTCAGCTGCGGGCACACCGGACGCCAAGGCCAAAGTCACGTGGGCCCGACAACCCCGTGGTCGCGATTGAGCAGGTGCTGTCAGAAGCAGGAATAGTATTTCAGCACAAGACTATCAGTATCGGAAGTAAAAAGCGGCCAATTTCTCACCATATCCATCCACCAATTCATTGTCGAGACCACCCCAAAGGGCGAATTGATCCGAGTCGGTGAGGTGGACACGGAGTCCGACCGTCCGTTTTGTGATGAAGAGACCCTCCACGTTAAACGTATGAATGGATCCTAACAAAGCCTCGCGAACGGCACTTCTCTGCGCATATTCGGAGGCATCAGGGGCATGACCGTATTTGGCGAAGAAGGCGGTGCAATGTGGTCTAGCTCTTTCGACAGCCTGGCAGGGTTCAGACACGCTACCAAAACAGGGATTAACCGCTGACGACCAAAAAGTGACCAGCTGGTCCCTATCTACATCTAAACATACACCAAATATAAAAATGAAATTTTTAACTAGCTTAAATGAGGTGCATTATAGATGCAACCTACCTACCTTGATCAAATCCACAAAGAGAGGCCAATCGCCTGCGTACATAAGGTACGTCCAAAGCAGAGAAGAAGGAATCATGAAACTCTTTTATCATTTTATCGGTTACTTCGTTTGGGAGGATTTTATCCGCCTTTTCAAGTAAAAGGCTCGAACTACTATTGGAACTTGGTGAGCCAGCAAAGCACCATCCATAATAAAGAGGGTAAACAATTGGTTCAAACTGCGATATCATTGAACTGATCGTTTCAGCCAAAAAGTGATGGACGTTTTTTTCGGCTAGAGATTGAACATCAAATCTCCAAGGTGTTCGTGGTATCACCATTATCACATTGTAGTCAAATAAACGAGCTATCTCTGTGTATGGGCGATATTCATATGATCGCATATTGGCATTGTCGATGACAAGGGGGCTTACTCCCCGACCAGCGTACAGTTTTGCCTCTGCTTCACAATCGCGGTGAGCTGCCTCCTGGCATTCGCTGTCAAATCGGTAATCTTCAAAGTGGTTGGCATTCGAAAGATGATAATTATCAGCACTGCATATCTAGAAATAACTATAGGCGTACTTGAACGGCTTACATGAGTAGTGGGAAAATGCATTTTAATGCAGCCTGCAAGGTGTGATTTTCCAGAGCCCGGCGGCCCTCTGAGAATAATCATGAACTTTGTAAAGACGAGCCATTCGCCAATTTCTCGATCGAGGAGGAATGGATAAACATCTTTAGATTGAGGAGATTCATCGTAGTCGGTGCCATTAGAGTCATCACCATATTTCTGAATGAGCCGTTCTTCCACATGTTGAGGTGGCGGCTGACGAACTCCAATAATACGAAGAAAACGCGAGACGCAACACCGTCTGGAAAGTTTCTCACATGCTTGACCCATAATAAGTCTCTTCTCCCGACCTTGAACCCTGCATAATAAACATGCATATTAGATAGTAACTGTGATGTTATTGTCACAATGTGCATAAATAATAAAGATTCAACAGCTCAGTAGTGAGAAAAAGTCAACCTGATAAGGCGGAATGAATTTAACACGAAGAGAAAAGAATGTACCAACTCTCACTTTCCTTCAGTCCAAAACACAAATGATTAAAAAAAATAAAGCCGGGAAACACAAAATTGCAAAGATTAGCAACGAGTGAAAGTCCCAACGGCAAAGCAAAAAAAAGTAAAACATGAAATGGGACCCCAATTGCACAAGTCCATCCGAAAGAGCAAACTTTGATTTTTATAAAGAGAACAATTCTCCTCCGAACAAAAAATCCCTTTGTTAGGTTTACTTTAATCATGGACGCAATTTGAACCACAACGAAATTGCGCGGAAACACAAACCCGAAGATTCAAGTAAAGAGAACTCCAACTGACAAAGAAGGCATAAGCACAAAAAGACCAAGTAAAATAACTTCACCGCTCCAACAATCATAACTTGGTGGAAACCTTTATAAAATGGACTAGGAAGTCAAAATTAGTTCCCCAAGATTGCCCAACTCAGGCGCATTAATCGCATCCATAATTAACATTAGAGAAGGTTAAAGGACCAGACCCTGTTAGTTTTCTATTACTGGTAACTCAGAACGCACAATTCCAAAAGATGAAACCTTATTACTAATCTACAATAAACAAACCAACCAAGTGACACAAGACCATCTTACGGCGTTATTTAGATGGCCCGCACTAAGACACAAGCTGAATAAATGATGAAGTAGCTGCCTCATTTTGAAGGCTAAAATTGCAAAACTAGTTTTTTATGCAATTCTACACTTTGCTTTGATTTTTCCTGGTACCTGTTTTGACCACAGATAGGTTTGACTTTTGGCCTAAAAATCACCCCTTCTTAAGCATGCTGGACTTATTATCATTTAAAAACTCATTTTAGCTGTCGTGCAAAAATTAAATACATATAAAAATGGCTAAATGACTAAGGTGACATGCAATATCTTATTTGAAAATACGAAATAATTGCATTAGAGCTTACATTTGCATTAAAGATGTAGATAATTCGACAGCAGCTAAAGTCGCATCATCGTCTTTCATAAGATCATGGTGCGTTCCATAATTTTCGGAGAATTTCGTATTTGCATTTTTCTCCTTTAAAATATGGTGTTTTGCGCATATTTATCCAACATATGAGTGTGTTTTAAGAAAGAGGAGTATCGTATGCATCTTATTCTTCTGTATTGTATTAATATTGTTTAATTTTCCGTTCTTAGAATCTATTGTTACTATTGGCTGATATCGGATTTGTTGCCTTGTGTGTGTGGTTGGTGTGAATGTCCAGTAGGTGTGTACCGACTTTTATAAGGCGAGGATTCGCCGAAAGAAGAGGTATTTAGATGATTATTAATTTATCATCTAGCTGTTAAGGGTGTTGCCGCAGTGGCCAAAACACGTGAGATTGACGTAGAAAAAGACGCTTACAAACTGGTGAACTTTTGCTGTATTAACTACCGAATCGATGACCAACCGATTCCCCTAAAGCCAGATAGGTACATGTAGAGTTTATTTTTATTTCTTAGCGAATATCCAGACTGGTTATGGTCAATTAGAGTGTCTAGAAGACCACCTAAACTAGTTGAAATTGACCCAGACTCTTACTATTATTGGCGTCGTATCCGGAGGCTCCACAACCGGCACTTGAATAATCTGGCTGCTGCTGATGGATGGCATCGCAGAGAGCATCGTGACCCACGGTCCCACTCCGATAGGTCGTACGGCGATCTGGCCTATGCCCTAAAGAAGTGGTTGCAACAGCAGGCGAATCGATTATGACTTTCTAGAGCGTCAACGCAGCATCACCACCAATCCACATATTGTTAGTACTCCCATACCAAAAATTTGAGCTTTTCCCACAAGTGGCTTTTGTAAACGATGTTCGCAAAAGATGTGTAGATCCCGTGACGCAACTGGCACCCACTCCTCAGCGAACTGAATGCGCCGGACAAAAGTGAGTGTAGATGGAATTTGGGCATATGAATACTAGCACCTTTGTACCTCTTTATCATTCTTATCAGTAGAAGATATTTATTTTTCAAGCAACGATGGGCGCAAAGCACCGTCGGTACAGGTGTCAAGGCATGTATATTAAGATAGTAGGACGAGCTCGTTTGTATTTGTGCCGAAGAAGAAGGAGAGGTCACTCGAGAGACTGGTAGGAAAAGCTTTTGTGTCCTCTGCACCTCCATTGGTAACCGTTGCCGCGGCTAGAAAAAAGTGCATAGAGGAAGAGGCAGTCAATGCAGGTGCAAAATAAATTGCTTGGGGCTTTATCACGACATGGCGTCTAAATAGGTGAACCCAGGGAGATCACTAAGTACTTTACAAGATGAAAACACGCAAAGTCTACTGAAGCAAACGTGTTCGACCTCGTGGGCTGAAACAGAGTGGTGTGAGCGGTATGTATTTATGCGTTCTTCGCTGTTGCATCGCCAGCTACTTTCGGGTCACAATTCGCTCGAGTGAGCCAATCGGCTTGCGTCGACTAAGAACTTAAAGCCATTTGCATAAACTGAGGTCAGGTAGATCAACTAGAGGTTAACGGGTTTTAATGGAACGTTAGAATTTTCTAAAGTGGTAGAGAGATTAGGTGTCGCGTGGCCTGGGAACCGATTTTCCCCAGTCTCTGAACCGTTTTCAAAGGTCGGGGGACCAATCCTTCCGTACGTCCAAGCATCGCCTCAGTTCGGGTAGGGGCGCTTTTTTGGGACATAATGGTAACCCCCAAACTGTGGACGTCCATGTGCCCCAAACCGAGACTCAGGATACAAATAGAAAGTAAAAAAGAACTAACCTTGTAAACACAGGCACCAGAGCAAGGCCCACGTTATCACCAAATACTTCCTTCCAGTTTTGAAGCCATCCAATATCAAATCCTCGTTTATCCACTCCTGTTCCACGAAATGTTGGTGCACGAAAGCCCTCTACGGGTTTGAAAAAAGAACAGAACAGTGTATTTATTGGCAGTAGGCTATTGTGAAAGGAAATGTATGTGAGTCCACCGAGGTCAAATGCACGTCACACTCGACCATCCTCGAATGCATCTAGTAGCAACAATAAAGGGGAAGCAAACAGTTTGTCCAGGACAAAAAAGCGTAAATGGAAGGGTGTGTTCATTTTGCTTACACAGGTGTAATGTACTTAAAAGAATAAAGAGTACTTGAAGTGACCTCACATCCCCTTTAGTATTAGTAAATAAATTGCACTGTTCTTAACTAAGGTCACCCACCTTTGGTGGAGTAACGCGCCCCATTTATCTGTGCCAAAAAAGAGATGTCCCCTAAGTTAAAAGAGGAAAAGTCCAGATGCAAAAAAAATATTCCCTTTTCACGAAACACCTCCCAGTGATGGAGAGGCTTCCGCAGCATAAGTCAATGCGAACACATGCATATCCTTCGAGCCCAGTACTGACTTCGCATTAAAGTTACAAGAGCACTTGACTCTCAAGTTGGTAGCTATCAGTTGGCAGGCTTGGAGCGTAACAAAGCACTACCATCTTCAAAGAGAAAAGGATAGGTGTCTTGACTGCTTCCCTTCACCACTCACCAAATACGGGCATGACTTCTCGCCCAGGAGATATGTCACAACATTTCTGTAATAGCTTTACTGCCCATTTATCCCACAACGGTGTTCCCTTACGTAAAAGGATTAGCAATAGTGTACAAACTTACCTAGCGTTGTTCGATTGAGAGAGAGAAGGTAGAAATGATAGAAGAGAAGTATCGACTGTGCAAATCCAAACATGATGGCGATGAAGAAGAGGAAGAGGAAATTGTAGCGCACAGGAGGCATGGTTTGAAGATTCTACCCCAAATAACAGAAATAAAAGGTACAAACACAGTCAATTGGAGCAAAAGATGACAGGAAGAATGGACTACTCTATCGTACCAAATGATGAAAAACTCGAGATTAGCGGTGCCAGTACTAAGAACGGCCCTCCCGGAGGCTGAAATTGTTTATGGCGGATCTATTCACACCAATTTACCCTACCAATGGGATGAGTTCTGGTACATATTCATCTTGGATGTTGCATTATGAAAAGTTTGCTCACCGTTGGGACAATCTAACAACCTGGACGGGTGAAATATCAGTGCAATAGCACTTTTTTTACCGAAACTTCCACTTGCCTACGTTAACTTTTTTTCAACTTGGAAGATGTGTCATCTGTAATTTCAACGCGGAATTTTGGTCGCTGACAATGCATCAGTAGTACGGGAGACTACGTTCTGTGTGGCTGCTTTTAGTACTGAAAATCGGCAAATAAAAGTTGATGAGTCATCACTGCTACATTTATCAATTAAAAGGAGACACAAAGTTCTTTGCAATTGCATACGCACTCCAAGCAATCGTGCCGTCGCCAAACTGAGGCTAATGACGAATTAATTCCACTACAAAACACGGCTTCAAAAAGACGGCCAGTAGATCTACATCAAAGGTCTAAGAAATACTAACAGCAAGCGAAAGGTAGGGAGTAATCGACAAATTAATCTGGTGCAACCAGACCTAGCAAAGCTTTTTAGAAATGATGCAAAGGAAGCTGAAAGACTGCAGAGAATCGACCTGAAGATCGTGGGAAATAAAAACAAAATCCACCACAGAGTTAAATATATGCACTTGTGCGGAGGCGGAGTTACCCACTTTCTGCGGGCTTACTCCAATAGACAATTGCACAGCAGCATGGAAGCAGGCAGATCCTGACACTATCTACCAAACCGCCAGATATTCCAATCCATAAAATTCAAAAGACCTTCCAAAAGTGAGTCCCTTTTTACGACTAACTCAGTGGTACTGAGAAGAAGAAGAAGAAGAAGAAGAAGAAGAAGAAGAAAGAGGGAATTTCGAAATGATAAAATAGGAAATAGTTAAGCATCGAATTGACACATTAAAATCCAGATGTGCCGGAGGAGAACCCCCACTACAACACTGGAAAAGATGAGCTGAACCCAAGCCAAGAACAGGTAGCACAACGCCTGATTACACATGTAGTCGCTGACAGTCAAATCACCTCAAAAAACCACCTTTCAAATGAATCCGGGCAGGTTTAATCGGCACTGGGGAAGGGGAGTTAAAGACACACATGCAAACAAAGAAGGAGCTGCAGAATAAAAATAAAATCGCAAAATCCAATGGGCATACACCAAAGCATCTGACAAGCAAAGAACAATAACGTCAGTTGCAAAATCATGTGATGCCTGTGTAATTTGGTACAGGACTCCTTCTACTGAGGAGGCGGTTGCCAGACGTTACGTCCGTGCAATTAGCATCAGTGGTATTGTTAGGACAGACTTTTGCCTCTAAAAACCCCAAAAATTTAATAACAAAAATACATTAACATGAAAAATCGTTAATTAGTTGAATTATTTTATTCAATTTTGAAAAAGGTAGATGTTTAAGCAATAGCCACTTAGACGTCGTAATAAGTCAGCTCCACCACCTCACCTACTCTCAAAAAACCACTTAAAAGGCACCCAGGCGTGCAGGTTATGTCATCTATAAGTCCACTCACCCACTTGATGAACTTTAGTAAGATGTAAGTAAGGGTTTGGAGGGTCTTATAAACCTCCCAGCAAATAATACAGGGTCTCGACGCAAATTAAATAGACCCAGCGATTTGTGTTTGGGGATTTAGTTTCAACACTACCCTGAGGTGGCGATGCAAGGTACACCATTATTTATTTGTCATGATGGTTCCCTTGTTTTTCAATTTACGTCTTTGCAATGGTGCACGGAAAAGAAGAAAAAAAAAGAAAAAGAGGAATCTAAAACATACCCCCCAAAAATCGATGAAGTATACCACAGTGGTGCAGACAATGTAGAGGCAGTAGAGGAATCCCCAAATTAGAAATATCACAAAATACTTGTAATTGTGGAAACCGACGCAGTTGTCAATCCTGAAGGAGAAATAGAGGGAAATTGACTTGTACGTAAGACTAGAAATAAAAGGCGTTATTAGGTCCTAATCTAGGTGCATCCTACAATCAAAACGCTAAGAAGAAAAGCGGAAAATAGGGCAGTATTAACTAAAACAGGTTAACACATGTTAAGAGTTTAACAAAGGAGTAGTGGTAAGTGGTTCCTCAGTAAGATAAAGTAACCTACCATGGACAATGATGGTCCATTTTCAAAAGACAGCTGAAATGAAAGGGTAGAAATCTTGGCGTTACTTTTGCCCATAGTACGTAATAATTATAATTATAACTAATAATAATAATAATAATTCCATATGACCTGCAATACGTATCGATCACATGTCAACCCGGTACAATAGATAAATCACGCGACGATTACCATTCACATGTTGAGCAATGATGGCACCGATCCGGTTTGATTAGACTGCAGGTGGGACATACGCGTATCATGCCAACATCGTTTGTAGTCTCTATTGGTAAACCTCGATTCATAACTATGGATTCCAAAATCCTATTTCTGCCAGTTTCTTCCATAGCGCCATTTATTTGGTCCCAGTCAGCGGCTGAGAGATTAAACTAAATTGGAAAGATATAAAACACCCATAAAAGAGCTGTATTGTTTTACCTAAGCAAGACGTATAAATAGCATCTGTAAGGCGATTTCGCATGAGTAAAATCAAGTATACTACTCAGCTAGGTACAAAGCAAACCATTAAGAATAATTTGTCTTCCGGACCCTAGTAAAAAATAATCCCACTTAGAAAAAATAAGGGCATCTAAATTTGTGGAAAACTATCGCAAAGCAAGAGAAGACATTATTTTTGGAAAAAAGACTCGAGCGTAATGACTTCGGCAGAATTAGCAAAAGAGAGATAAGAATGGCTTACCTCGGGAGGAGGGCGTATGGGCCTAGCAAATATCGCCTTCAGAAACGACCATAGAAATAGTATAAACAGAAAGTGATAGAAGAGAAGGAACATCACTAAACTAATAAGACACTTACAAGCGAGGTATACCTTTTTCAATCGTTGTATAGGTATATTCTTAATGAAAAATATAAATAAAAAAAGGCAAGCATACGTATACAGAACACGATAACATAGGCATAGTAGGACCACAACGTCAAAAGTACAATAAAGACAACTGGGATCGACTGAAAAAAACGAATCAAACAGTAGTTGCACGATTTTTGCCCCATTTAAATATTCCAATACTTCCGACCTCCAGTATGTGTGCAGGCTAAATTTGGGGGCTTCTATTAGCGGCCTGCCAAAACAGTGTAACCATTCACAATTCAACCTTGTATTTGAATGAATTTGGGGACTTAAAAAGACTTTGGAGACGTCCTAAATAGTCCCTGTATCAACCATACCCAGTGATCTTTTAGATTTCGAGAATTTCTTTTGTTAATGATACGTTCTTACTAATGGGTTGCAGATGACATAAAACAAGCTTTTGCTTCCAATATTACAAATATAATACTAACAGAAAAAAAAGGGATTAGGGAGAAGGTTATTTGTCTTTAATGTTGCAAGGCCAAGCATGTTAAAATATGTCTACGTTTAACGAGCATACCTGAAGCAAACAGGTCACAATGGTATGTGTTAACCCCAGTCTCCCCTGTCATTTTAATGAGCTACAGCAATACATGATTAAAAATTGTAAGTGAACTAAGGAGTAGCTGGCGTAGCTAACCAACCATAAATCTGTGCTGAGGTACAAGCTACAAACCCGTCTAGCCAATTCCTCAGTAACTTCATCAAGAACACTTGTACAACGATGATTACGAATAGGCTCCGTAACACTTTTTTTCTTAAAATACTAGCAAATCACGTCTTCTTTTCAATGTATAGTCGTTGCTACTCGAAAGCTTGTACAGATGAACGTGGAATATTTTTGGTGGAAACGCATAAGAATTTGACGATAGCTAAAAATTTCAGTGTACACTTTGATCCTGTTTAACACCAATTTTTTAGAAAAATTATGTCGTGTTAGGGTGTTTTTTTGTTTTTTGTTGTTTTTCAATATTTCTAGCCGTAATTAGATCCCGGAAGTGCATGAAGCTCTTGAAAACTGCCCTGTCAAATTAGACCTATTCGATTAACCACGGCTCCGCCTGATCAAATCTCGTCTAAATTCTTGAGACAGAATTGGCTGAATTCGCTTTTTAAACTAAAATCTGTTGTCAAATTTGTAACTTCATCCAGTAAACTAAATACCTCAAACATCCCCTTTTTAAATCATATAGAAGAAGATCAGAATGAACCCTCAAATCCCGTTAACATGATCTGCCACTCATGTTCCACCACTACGTTTTGGCATTTAAAATACACACCCCCTCTAGCTTGTGGACCACCCGCGCGAATTAGGGAGAAGCGACTTTCCTGTGTTTAGTCTCGTTTAGAAAGGGTAGCCCAAGATACCAGGTGTTGACCATGTCTTCATTCCATCGACATTGCCCATGGGTGTAGCACGCGCTACAGCCAATCGCAGGTATGATAAATGTCCGGGATGGATACTCACCCCAAAGTAGCATGTACTTTATTTGGTACGTTTTTTTGTTTTGTATTAGTGCATACTCCTTAAATCACTTAAGGTTTCAACTTGGCTTTTTGCTTATTAAATATATTCAAACCAGTGCATTCGCAAAATATATTAATGCAAATAGACTTAAATTTACATCGATTTAATACGTAGAATATCTTATCAACTTTGGGGACTGAATTTTAGGCATCTTTAACAAGTAATGACTCCGCGGTCAATACATTTTAGGACAGTTTATGTTAGTTATTTTACTGGTAGTGGGATTGAGTAAAACGAACCCATACGAATGCTGGTAAAATTATGTACTAAGCATTACTTTTGTCCTCAGCAATATCACACAGAAATTGGTACCACTCGTTCCCTTGTAATCTTTTTGCACACTTCAAGCAGATTTTAAAAAAAGCAAATTGTTTCCTGGATAACTTTTACTTTGATAATCTTGCTAAACTATAGACATGATTTATTTTGTTTTCAATGGCATTTTGTCGTTCAAGACAAGAATGCTTGCTTTCATTTTAAATTACTGAAAAGTCCAAAATAAATCACATAACCCAAAGAACTTACACTTTTAATGCTCGATGCCTGTAAAGGACTTTGGGGTGAGCAGTGTAGCTCTTCAAGTTTTACTTGAAGCCGAATTGAGTCATAATACTTGGACAGAAGATGCATTGTCGACGTACAGAAGGGCTGAGGGGTTAGCAGCATGGCCAAATGGCCACACTGCTTTGTGGTAGTACAATGGCAATGCATTTGGTACCCACGTAATTAAAACAAGGAGCTAAACAATCAATCATTCAAAACCATTTAGACCACTTGAATAAATTGGCGCACATGGGTCAATTTCCTACGATTCTCAGGTTTCACCAATGCCTTATGATAGAGAGCATAAAGGAAATTATCTGGAATTTAATTTTAGTTCAAAACCTTAGTGTAGCTTCCCGAGACTTCCCTGAAAACGAGTAAGATATGATGCTAGGGTGGAATATATACTTTCAGGGTATAGAATGGCTTGAGACTAATGGCACGTCCTGTAGGTCAGTTTACCTGGTGAAGATACAATACCGGAGCTCCTCAACTATCTCTTCCCAAAACTTAGCGTTAAAATACAGCCAGCGCGTATGGTAGACCTCAACAAATTGATTTTGAGTTTAAACTGTGCAATTAATCAAACAGGGCCTCGTAAGTAAAGTAATAATTCTTACAGATGACTTCTAAATGAATAAAAAGTATGTATATGACATCCTGTTAGATATGAAAGACCAAACTAATTGTACACCACACTCGACTGGTGGAATTTTACGCCAAAATCGTAGTTTCGTTCGTGGTGAGGCTTATTTAAAAGTACATAACCCTTATGATGACCTCAAGTTTAAAGTAAAATGAAGAATAATCAATGCAGATTATTAAATCACACAATTAACTTGTTTGACTACATCATTAATTCAACCTTTCACGTAATTGATGCAGCTTGCTCTGTTTAAATTGTACAAGTAGGGAATGACTCTTGTTATTTGATGTCAGACAAAGGTAAAAAATGATGTGATATCATAACCACCAATAAGAAATATGGTTTTTTTCGACCGCTGAATTAAACTTTATGTTTCCAGATACCCTAACCTTCGAAATAATAAATAAAACAAATTCCGTTAATTTTGATAAAGCCCCATTTTTAAGAGTTCAACGCTGAATGTGGTTTGCTTAATTCCAAATTTCTGAAGTAATCCAGTTAACTCTAGTGCTATCTACTATGCAATTGGATTTTTTTGCTCAATGGAGTATTTTTCTGATCAGATTTAAGGTAATTTAAAAGAGCTTTAGCATCTACGCTCGCTAATGTGGAGAATTCGATATTCTTACTTTATCAGATAGTATTCCTTCAGTTCTGAAAAGGTTACCGTGATTTAGGTGTTTGCATGTTCATGCAATAGTTGATACAAAATATCTTCTCATCGACCTATTACACGCTGGGTACAAATTCCAACCTGATCTTCAGCTCTTACTGTTTAATTACAGGGTATCAGTAAAGATATAAAATCGAATTTTGACGGCAGGCATGGCTTAAATAGCTCAAGCTACATTTTTAGGCAGTCGTTTGCATGTAGTTAGGAGATAGGCGTCAGAATCTCCCATGCACTTCTGGGACAAACACTTCTTTGTGGACAGCTCGCCAAATCCGTCACCATGCCTCCCCAAGGGCTAAGTTATTTTTCTACATTCCCATATCATGACTCCTCGTTCCTGTGCCCGTGCCCCCAGACAGTTGGCGACCCCAAATTACCGCAGCACTATCACGTCCATTAAGTAAGTCCCCGTCTTCCCGTCTCTCCCTCCTCCTCTCTCCTCCCTCACTCCTCATTCTCGTAGAGGCCACTAGTCCCAGGATTTGGTGGTGTTGTGGTGACCTTTTCTGTCCAGATCACACCCATATCCAGACCCTGATTATAGAAAATTTAATGTCTCCCAACTTCGTTGGTTTGCAAGTTCTAACGAAAAAAAGCTGGTGGAGAAAGTCTGTGCTTTTAATGAGCACGGAAAGGTAATAATTTGACCCGGAAGTGATAAAATAATTCCGGTGGATGACTTAAACGATGAATTATGTGGAAAGTGATCGAATGTAAAAAAATATTTTGAGAGGCTAAATTGGAGGACAAGAGTGAATCGCAAGAGCAAATCGGAATTGTAAATAACCTATTGACAAATACAACCGTGCATAATTTATTTATGGGGCTCTCTTGTACCCACGCGAAATGCGCACGTGTGTCCTCAGGACCACCCAAGGTGGCGGAAAATTGGGTGAATGGTCGAGAGGGTTGGGGTGGTGGGATGCAGGGAAGGAAGGTGGGGAGTAGAAGGAAGGAGTGGGGCAAGGGAAGAAGGGGGACGTTAACTTATCACTGCGGTAGCTAACATTGCGGCGGCAACGACAACTGCGCTAAAAGTCATCCCCCCCGCTTTCCTGTCTCGCCCCGCCACACTCCGCCCCATTCTACCTCACCTCTCAGTCTAACTCGCGCCACCATCTCTACCATCATCACACACACCCACAGGCATACACACACACAAACACGAAATTGCAATCAGTGTTGTCTGACTGGAGGATGATGGTGCTTCGACAGGACCTCCCGCATCGATGTACTGTAGAGGGTCGCTGAATGCTTGGACATGACAATTGTACTACAGGAGATGAGATTGGATAAAAAGGAGAATAATAAAGGGGAAAAGCAGGGGTACCATGTAAAAGTTAATCTGCAATTACCCTTTAATGCATTGAAAGAAATGTGTGAACTAGCCTTCCCATGATATTTACCCACTGTCTCCCTAATAACGACATTTGGTGAGATGAGTAGGCGGAGGAGGGATGAAAGGAAGGTTGAAATTACCTGCACCTCTGCGCTTAGATTACCAAACTCCTTTTAAATTATCTGCGTAAATTCGTTGCGCGCACATGGCAGTTTGTTTTGATAAGACCTGACCAACATGGAGGTGGGAGAATTGGGGAATAATTTGATCGACTAAAGAATTGAAGGATTCCTAACAATCTACAAATGTCTTTTAATTCCTCAGTTAAATTCTGTTTCGTCTTCTTCCTCCTCCACACTAAGAGACACTTGCGTTACGGCGTTAGGCCTAACAATAAAGAGGTCATCGAACCCTCCCCACCCCATTCCCCCTCCAATGAATGACAGTGGATTACATTGTTTCAAATGGTGTTTGGAGGACCTCTAGATGGCTACAAATATGCGCATAGGACTACTTCGGTGTGACCGTTTCACATGGCGTCAACTTTCAAATAGAGGGTGTAACTGAGCTGCTCCTAATTTGACCATGTGCGTGTGTGTCTGTGTGCGTGCTGTGGGCCCGTAGATTGATTGCAAGGATGGAGAGAGGGCAAGGAATTATAGAGAGACTACGGTATTGAATTACTTGGAGGGATACATGGAGATAGAGCTGTGAGTGAAGTTTTCACGGCCTACAGCTAAGAAGTGTCCGATTACATGAGATACAACCACCTCTGGCAATAAACCCTGGCTCTGCTTGTTGAGCCACGCCAAGTGTCCACCAAGTGGTCAGTTAAAGCCGAGATGATGCATAAATGTCTCCTTTTTTCTTCTTCGTTTTCTCTTTTTCCGACAAAAGAAAACCCACAAATAGGACAGCATCCATTAATTTCACCCTCCGACTTGGTTCTTTACCAAGCGGCTCAAATGACATTAATGCAGCTCAGATGCCTTGTTTCTTGACTATGTTTTTCTTCTGGGACCGAGTCAAGGAAGGTTAATTCGACCGGACTTTTCACAGTAGTGTTGGGGGAACTCCAACTGAGGTCGATGACTTACAGATCTTGCAGAATTATTGTTTAAATAGCCAAAATTTGATTCACGGATTCTTTTTATCCATAATTTTTTCTATCTAATCATCCGTTCAACCATTGCGTCCGTCTATTCAATATCCCTCCACATATCTTTCTTTCAAATTCTCAAATCCGGAAGATTTGGTAGGGGAAAACGCTGTATTTTGTATAGTATGTACGGTTATAGTAATTATTCTAGTTTCATGAAGACATCGCGTTCGCCTCCACCTCAGAGAAGAGATGACGGCTGCTCATTCACGAGGATAATGTAAACTGTCCGTTTTTCTGCCCAATGAGGCTTTTATTCAAACAAACATGTCTTACCTTCAAGGAGACAGCTGACAGAGCTCACTTTTAGTTGAATTGACCATCATCAACACCTACTTTGGCATCTTCAACTAACCAATCTTCCCGATCCCGAGGCTGCTAGCCCTAGAAGTAGAGGGGCGACACGACGAGATGGTAAAAGATTTTTTTTCAAAAGGGAAGAACGGAAGAGTTAAATGTTATTGCTAACAGTTGACAGAATAGCAGAGGGTGAGAATAATTTAGTCTTTCCTTTTTACCTGTTTTTGATTTTCCTTCCAATGCGTACTTTAAATGCGGTTGGTTCACAACAGGCAAAGCCATTACTGATTGGTGGTAGAAATAAATAGAACTTCTAAAAAAAACTAAAATGATTAGTTGACGGAGAATGAGAGAGAAAGAGGAAAAGAACTTTAAATTATCTGTGCTTTATCTTCTGTATTTACTTGCCAAGAGAATTTATTTATCCACTGGGAAAATAGCAGGCCAAGTTAGGAGAGAACCAGAGCAGTGTAAATGCCAATCTAAAGTAAAAAGGAACATTAAAAGGAACCTCTCCACCATTAGTACTTACTTTTGGAATCCGTGACAAGTAACTACCCGTATTTGTGCATGTTGCTCCTCTATTTATGTCTGATATGTACATTTTGTTTCCCCAAATTTAGGAAAGAGAGTCATCGTCTAGCAAGAAGTTGACTGTGAGACACGTCTAGGTGACATCTTAGTGGAGCTCTGAAAGGTCTTCTAATAGCCCTGACGGTGACTGCAAAAGAATGTGGAGGAAAAGTAGCTAAAAATGTTGCAAAAGGCGGTGATATATTTTGTCCAATCAAAAGTATATTCCTTCACTGGATAGGGAGATTTCAGGGATGAAAGGCGAGCCTCTAACAGTCGTACCCCCTTCACACTTAAGGTGTTCATATTAGGCAGGTGTTATTATGATCTCCGCACCACCTTACCCATTCTCCTCTTCTCCTCTTTAGGTAGTTCACCTTTCCATTTATAGTGGAAAAGTAGGAAATTTGCATCGACGGGATGTTGTAGAAGCATGGGCAATTAGGCCTTTCAAAGTCTTGCACTGCGGTAGGTAACTTATGCCTTTACATCAAGTGACAGGCCCAACAGCTGGTGCAGTCACTCACTATTTACTCAATACTTACCTTAATGTTCGTTTAAATCAACAAAATTTTCGTGTCCGATGGTAGTTATTGCCTTTAACCAGAGAAAATTTGCTGATCCCACACCATGGATTTTCATCATTTTCCGTCCATTTTAAGTAATTATGTAAACCAAAAAAGGATACCGGATTTGGTAAATTTTAGGAAGGCTTTAAGAGTATATTACTTGTTGGCATTTTTCTCCTTTATCTACTCCTAATGCCTTAAAATTACACAAGAAGTGGGGTGTGACCTTGCCTTTAGATTGGGATGATTGAAATTATTTTCCCTTATCAAAAGGGTTTAAGACATTAAAATGGTATTTTCTAAAAGATTGTGGTTAAAAATAACCTTAGTTCCGCTTTTTGAAGGCGGCTGTTTGGCGAGGGGAGGGAGGGACGGGTAAACCCCTTAACGTGCCAAGCAATTTATCCTGTAGTATTAACTTTTACCCCGTAAATGATGCTGCAGACCTGTATTAATTTATCAGCGTAGCTCAAACCTAGCACCATATAAACTTATGATTGTTGCTCTTGAAGGGAAATGGAAAAATGAAGGGCAAAATAGTCTTAGACTGTATTTAACTCCATATAAGCCGAAATTATTACCAAACTGGACATAAAGAAGCCTTTCCAATAAAGATCTGGCGAATTACATATAAAAGAGATTAGAAATTTGTGCTAAAAGCCCTAATGTCCTTCTCTACCCCTCTCCAACGGTGTCGCATGGCGTCACCCCGGTTCGCGTTTCCGTGAGTTGATTGGTCAACCAGATATGCGCGATATGGAAGTGGGTGTGTTGCGATTGGTCCATACGCCTGTGCCAATGCCTCCACCCGGACGTGTACGCACACGCTCATTGCTGATGCTGGGCGTGGATAGGCCAATGCTGTCCACACGTGCCCGTGCGGTCGCACAGACAATCAGATACACTGTGAAATTATTCCCGGGGAGGCGTTAGTGCTAGGGCGCACAGGCGTCAGCAACACATGCGTAAATGCGTAAGACGGCATCGAACCTATGCAGTGTCACATGTTCACCCCCCACTGCTAACAAGTAGAGATTGTCGAAGTATATTCAAAAGAGGACATTATTTGCGGCCATGATTTTGTGTTTCAAAGGCTTGAAAGTATTGATTTGGCTGATGCTGGCGGGGCTAACTCAGGCGTGCATTAGAACCTCCACCTACTACCGATCTCAATACCGTTCTCAAACTCATGTCTTCGTGCCGGACGAATATCGTCCAATGCGACCGGAGCGCAGTCTAGAGGCCAGTGGACCCTTGGAAACACAAGACTTTCTAACAAGTATTCCAACAACCCGACTTGTGCGCATGGAAGGACCCAACCTCCAATTCGCCAGTGAGGAGGCTAGATGGATGACAAAAGTGAGTAGCCTTCACAAGATATATGCATTTGTACTGGCGATGCACAAAGGTAATATTCCGTTAATCCGAATTGCATTAATACCTAAAAGATAAAATATTTTTTGAGAAAATTGGAATGTAGTTAACAAAATAAATTGGCACTTTATTTAAAAGCTGTGGGATAATTCTTTAGTCTATTTCAATGCATAACTTACGAAAGTGGTTTTATTAGTTCTTCAAGTATATACACTTCAAATAGCATATATGGAAATATAATCTACGCAAATATATACGTTGTTAATATTATAATTAGTAGATTTAATTTACTCAAATTTGACCTACGGGTTTGATTGGTTCATTGCTCGAGTTAAATTTAAATCAACGAACAAGTAGCATATCCTGCGTAAGATTGTTTTGCAACTTTAAAATTGGTTAAATTAGGACAAAGATTTATAAATACCAAAATGTTTATTACCGACTCCAAATGCATAAACTGCTTCTGACTAAACAAAGGAGAAAAATGTGCTCAATCATTACCCAGTTTAGGATTTTCGCAAAATATTAGGGCTGAAAGAGGTCTCTTTTACTTTAGCACTGCATATTTGGTGAGTGGTTATTTTCCCACTTAGGGCAGACTAAAAAACACTTGCTCTGACATTCGATGATTTATAGAGTATTTACCTATTATACTTTAAATGAAGTATTTGACAGTCTGCGAGTAAGGAATGTAGTGATATCATGGCCAAAATTAGGCATCCTACACCTCTACCTAATTGACTGTCTTTGTCAAATTCACAAATAGGCGCAAGTTTGCATAAAGTGTTGTGCTCTGGAAAAGTCTCGATCTCCTTAGGAGATATTGGCCTACTTTGAACTCCCTTTCGTCTAGTTACTTTTATTCGCAGGATACAAACAATGCTTTTTAATATTGCCGATGATATGAGCCCAAATCGTTTTCATCGTTTATTAAAACAAAAGAAAGTGATATTAACGCAGTGATTTAAATGGATCTCTGCTAAACTTAAAAGCGTTTTTTCCTTGTTTCTTCCAAAATAAACATTGCCTCTCATTCTACAATGGTTTTGGTTTAAAAAGTGCCTTTCATAAAACCTTAGAAAGTTACAATTAGTTAAGAAATTTAGTTTCCTGATGTGATATAGCTATATGTAGGCGAAATTAATCACTTTTTATTTCCAAACCTGATTATTAAATGGTATATTTTTTATGCAAAATAAAAAGTCGAAGACAATATTTTATCTCAACGCTATAAAACTGGGCAATTGTCCCACCAAATTACAGGTGGTAATATTTTATGGTGCATCTCTGGCTGAGAATGCCAAGTTTTGGTAAGACTAGAGATGCATGTGACCTGTACACTTGTTTACTCCCAATCACAGCTTTGGAAATCCAGGGTTGAGGGAATTTGCCATCAGCTAAATTGGCTTCATTTGTGGTTTAATGTCTTGACAAAATTGCCGCGTCTAAGTGCTTCCACCTTCTGCTTTACTTATTAATTTGTAAGTGGTCGTAGAGGCGGTAGCATTGATGGTGTACATACAATTACCACAGATGGGGTTTTGCCTTAGGGGAGAAGGGCGAAGATAGCAAATCCCGACCGTTTTGCTTGTCCGCCCTGTGGGTGGTCCTTGGGTGCGACTGTCGATTCCGCGAACTGGGTGGAGGGAGGCCGGTTAGTCACACGACGCCACGGAGTGGTCAGGCTGGCCCTCTTCCTGCCAGTCTTTCTTTTTCCACAACGCCTGCGCTGGGCGCCGCGGCTGGGAAGCTGCATCATCCAGCTCGAAACAGTGCCTACCTAGTACGCCAATTATTTTACTAATAATGCACTTATCCATGGGATGAGGTGATGCTATGCGATACAATGCAATGTGATGCTATGCAATGGACTGCAATGTGATGCGATTTTGACCTTGACTATTCCATTCTGGGATATCTCGCAGCACCCTTTAATATATGCATTAATGTTACTCCAAACCATATGGCAAAATAGAAAGCCATATCAACCAGGGATTTAGAGAAGTCCACGTTAACTGATACACAAACGTCAATGTTTCTGCAGAACAGCTTCCAAAGGTACAAAAATTTTTTCGCTTTCTTCTCAATAATTGACAACTTACCGCTTTGATTAAATATTCGAAGTAATTACAAGTTCTTAACATCTATCTACCTTTTCCTGCTATTTGTTTAATGAGCTGGTACCCTTCACGGTTAGTCAGTAGTAAAATCTAGAGTTCTATCAAAGACATCAAATTTTATTACTTAATTTAAAAATGGATTTAAGAAAATAGCTTTAGGTACTAGGCCTGATTATTCAATTCCCAACTCGGGTGTCCTGTCGATTTGTGTCAACCCATTTTATTTATTTTTGATGCTAGCTATGTTAAAAAAAAGTACTTCTAGATTATTTTAAAGTCAGTTTTTAAATTTTCCTGTCAAACAAAGCAAAAAGCCAATCAGCGGAAGAACTGCTCAAGAAAGTAATTACTGGACTCTAATTGGTCAGTCATTATGCTCGCCCCAAATATCTGATTGGTTGGCACACATTAATAATATTATCGTTTTTACGGTGTCTCTCGAATTAAAAGAAAATTCACAAAAAATGCTACCCCAATCATTTCAAAACCCAAATTTTACTTTTGTTCCTAGTAGCCTAGTTTTTTATTTCAAAGTCTTGTAAAAATTGATATATTTATTTTTTTGGAAATGATTTAAACATTTTGCGCAGTTATAATGCGAGTGGACTGATTCGGCATTGCCCGGTCAGAGGGTGTATTTAAATTGAAGTGTCTGTCTTGAGGGACATGAACATGTCTTCAACTAAGTTCCTCCCTTTGATTGTTTGCTTAACCGCAATTGAGGCCCGGTTAGCCGAACTGGGGTAACATTTGTCTCTCCAACAACGCATGCAACACACCGCCATTTCGCTTTCTTTTTTTTATTTTATTAGCTCCGGCATGAACTTTCAACTTTGGTTGGGAAATTGTGCGAAATAAAACCAGCCGAGAAAAAAATGAAACAGAACAGAAAAATTAGAGTTAAGTAGATTTGAAAGCTTTTCATGGCATCGAAGCTGAACGCTATTAAGTAATTAATTGCGTCATGGAGAGACAAAGCTTGGTTTTAAATTTGTTTTTCCGATGGTATAATGTACTGGTTTTAAGGGTTAGTTGAAAGCTAATTGCCGGATTATGCTGTCCCAAGCGCGCACACATTTGACCCGCACCACCTGGATCGAACGTGGATGTTGAATGCCTAGCATTGCGCTGTGGGGAGAGGGATGGGTAAAGCGGGTTAGGGTGGGGGCGAACCGGGGCTCTATGACAAATGGTAGCAGTTGTTACGATCACATTAAAACTTTGCAATAGGAGTTCATTTATTGTCATCCTTTACAAATCCTGATACAGCACAATCCGATCTTATGAAGCATTGATTGGAGGAGGAAGTGACCTTAAATGGATTCCGGCTTTTAATTGGTTGATTTGAATTGAACTAGAGGTGATTTCTAGACACCACGACAAAGGGTATTTTTATATGTGAAGGTATAAACTGACAATGGCATAGCCATTGAATTCGACGGACAGGGCGTGGATACCTTTTAAATGGCTCTGAAAGTAAACAAATCTAGGGGGATGCTGCAGCTAATTTACTTAATTCTTTGGAAACGCTTTCAATTCTAACATCAGATTCCGCATTTAGTACTCAAACGGCAGTTCTTCAGATGTTTGAGTTATCTTTTCCCTTCTTTATTTCTCAATTCTTCAATAGGTCATGTTTAAGGAGGGCAGGCCTCGTATCAAACCGAATCCGCGTTTTGCTTTTTTTGTTAAAAGCCGAGTCTATATTTTTTTCGTGGATGTACCGAACACCCATCCTCTGTTTAAATACATCATTAATTTCTCTGAGCCTCTTTACTCCGCATGCGCGTGTAGGCACACATCTATCAGTGAACAGAGGGGCTGTCAAGCCTGGCGCAGGAGTGTTCACATGCCCCTAAAACGGGATCTAGTTATTAGGCTGTCTTTACCTGCTTTACAAGCACCCTTCACTAGCAGAGCCAAAGAGTGTTTGACTGATTTGTCTCCCAAGTTTTACCGCGTAAAGGATTTCCATTTTCTCTGATGTGACATCGTTTAAAAGCCTTCCTCCCTGATGAGTAAGTCTGGAGTTTTGTTAGTAAATATAGCGGCACTGATTTGAAGTGGCGTTATTAGGAATACTAGTGCGCCTGACAACAGGTAGGATGGCAGTGGAAGAAGGCTCTTCTCTATTACATGAAAAGGCATTACGTGTATGGGGGCACGAATTCCCATGCCCAGGAATGGGATCGCTTCAGTCACACGTCTCGATGCAGGCAGGCAGGCAGGCAGGAAGGCGTGTTTTTAGTCAAGAGTAATCCCGGGACTTGGTTTGGCGCACCTGTGCACTCGGTAGGTAGGGCTTTAAAATCCCCTACCCACATATACACACGCACAAGGCGCACCGATGGACTGGACCCAGGCATTAGTCACACAAACCGCAAGACCTCAATAATTCCACTATGGATCTCCCCTTCTCTCTTCCAATGCTTGCATCAATTTTGAAACCCCTTCCCCACCCCTGTCCTGCCACTGCCGATGGCGATGCCGCCACCTCCTCCATCTTACTGTCGTCTTCTTGCGTGCTGGTGACCAATCCATCCTGCATGGAGTTACAGAGCCCAGAACATAACCCCAGCAATTGGAAAAGTGTGGAACGGAGGATAATGCCTGTGTGAATGGGTGTGAAAGTGTGTGTATACGTGTTTATTTTTTACCTCGCACCAACTACGTGCAGGGACCACACACAGGCTATATTTCGATGAGAAATTTCTTTTTCGCCTTCTGCATCCATGCACGCACTCCCATTTCTCCTCTATGATTGATGAGCCTGTCTACAACTTGCAGAGATTCACTTAATCCACGAAGCAGGTCTCTACCTCTTCATTACTTCACGTTTCAATGATAAAATTAAAGTCGGCAATTGATAAATTTCTCACTCTAAGTGAGCATGTACTACATCTTCAAGTGGATTGAATGATTTATTTTACATTTCTTTTTCTTCCATGCTTATCTCTACATTAGGGATGCCGAGACAGGCTGCAAAAATTAGTCAGTCTTGTACACAACACCTGGCCAAATAATGACATTGGACTACGTATATTGGACGGATGGATCAAACCACCTGCAAGCATTCTGCGACATTCTAAAGTGATCACTAAGCGGGACTACATGGGAAGGCATAAACAAACCCTTAAAATGTCAGTGGTAAGTCCCTGTTTACACGCCTTGGTAAGGATCCTCCCAGCAGCCTTCTTACAAAATAACACTTTCGTCTCCCGCTTTGCTTTCCCCTTAACACACTCACTAGCCCACTGAGGGATAAGTACTCGCTTGTCCAGATGGACAAGCTATCATCAGTTCTATAAAGTAGACCGATAAGCTAAAATGTCAAGGTGACTTGGCTAGAGCAGTGGAAGTCAGGGTGTAGGGACCTCTAACTAGACGTCTACTTTTCCCTCGTAGCCTGAAGAATTGGTGAATTTTGAAGCACTGAACAACGCACAGCAGCTGGTTTCTCGATATCCTTCCGCTAGCAATGGCTTAGGTATAAAAGTCGCCAATTCAGACAACCGTGTTGTAATGCAACGACCCCTGCCAAAACAAAGCAACCACACTGATACACCGCCAAAGTCGCATATTCCGCATCCCTACTCCATCTACCGCGATCGCCAATGGTCTGGACAGGATCCTGCCGTGGTAGGCTTTGAGAGTCCACGCAGACAACTAAAACAACATCCTGTAATGATGGAGGGATTTCACTACGCTGGCCGGGCCGTTGATATGATCCTCGTTGACACCAAAATTGATGGCTCCTCACGCCTCAGCAGTGTCTATCCTGGAAAACTCGCTCAGCTCGCCTACTACGGTGCTCTTTTTGATTGGTGTTACTTTGCTCGTCAGGGTCATGTCCACTGCTCCGTTAAGCCTGGTAAGTGAGCTTCAGCATTTTCTTATCCGTCAAACAAAAACACACTCAAGAATGTCCCTTGTGAATGGTAACATTTTCAAACGGGTTGAGAACTTCTTCGAAAAATAGGATAATTCTGACTGTTGGGTAGTTTATCACAGCCAGCCGCTCCACCTCCGATAAGAAGGAAGAAAGGACAACTCATACTTAAACATATATTTGGAGGCGTCTGCAGGCAGAATTATTAACTTGAGAAGTCCCATAAGTCTATGTGAGGTAAACTGTCGAAAGCCGAAATCATGCCCTGGGCAACTGACTCATGCAGGTTTTATACCTGCTGCAGTACGGACTTTCCATCCAATGCTTCTCGCCATGGGTGGCCTTATCCATTAATTCACGCTTAGTTAGCCATGCCTGACAGTAAAACCAAACTTTGACAGACAAAGGAGGGACAAAAATGTCCGTATCTTAATTGATTACCTTTAAAAGTCATCGACACACGCAGTAACCCCAGAACGAGTTAACTTTTTGAATCAATTTATCGACGTAGTTGAAGTAAGGATAAAGGTAAGCGCTTAACTTATTATAACAAACCCATACAACCCATTTTCATACGTTGACTTAAGAAAAAGGATTATGTCTTACACCTTATTTTTCTTTTTTAATTATAAAAGGAAAGTGAGTGATCATGGTTTCATTACAAACGACTTCTCTAACTTATGGGACCTTAATACTGGACTTACACAACGTAAATACCTGCATTTTGGTGGATATTTTTTTTGCTTTTCATATCAAATTATTTGCATTTCCTTTGTGGCAATTACTACTACAACTGTACGGATCTTTAAAACTTGACACATCAAATGAGGTGCTGCTTGCCAAGATGTCTGCAAGTCTATCCTTCTGTGTCTTTCAATCGCCCCAAAAGTGGTTGGTCGAGTCACTAATGTCGGAGACCCAAGCACAACTGTTGCATTCGCTTGTGCAGGTCTTCTGTGCGCGCTTGTACCTGACGAGGACCACACGCGTTGTAACAATGTTCATTCTGGCAGAGATGATCAGTTTTGTTTATGACGGTTATTTAAGGAAAATGAGGGCTGAGCCCTGTGCAAATGTGTGATTAATGTCCATGACGTCTCCACCGTAGAGCATACGAGGTGCATTAATTTTCGTTGCCTAGACCTAATAGAAAGATGTTGTTGATCCATAAATTAGAAGTACGTCATCAGTGATTATTTTTACCAATTTTATTGGCGCAATACGTGATGATATTTTGTTATTTCAATATGGTGTTTTGGGTTTTGATTAATGGTTTTGGGGAACATGTTTTTATGGGTCGAAATTGCTTACCAACTTGGTGTTACCTCATTTATTGGCTCCAATCACTCATAAGAACATCTACAGAGGTCAAATTCACCAAAGAAATATGTTTATATATATGAATATTCAACTAAGATTAAGTTTCAAGTAACACAACTCATTTTTAAGTCCACATTTTTATTTACCATGGCAGTTCATATGAGAACCAATGAGAATAATATGAAGAAAAATTGCTTAAACATTCCTTTAAATCCCTCAAACTTCCCTTCAATGTTTCCTAAAATTGGTCTTCAAAGTGTTTCACGTATTATCTACCAATTTTTTGAAAAATTTAGATTCAATAATCACATCTCAGTGGTTTGGATGTTTTCCCGGTTCTGCTCATGCAATGAGCGCGACAGGAACGCCCATTCCACTTTCCGCCCTCCGTATCGGCGATCACGTGATGACACTAGATCCCCGCACCTACAAACTACAACCCACAAGAGTTACTGCATTTCTTCACCGTGATGAGCACCAATATTCTCCGTGGATAGAAATCACCTACTTCCGAAAGGATGAAACAGTTCCGTCTAAGTTAAGATTAACCGCCAACCACCTCATATATCGCTGGCAGGGAGGAAAAACTTCGGTTTTCGCCAACCAAGTACAGCCCGGTGATGAAATCGCCTGCAACTTGGATAATCCCGAGGACTTGTGTCAAGTTGAAAGCACCCGAGTAGTTAATTCCTCTCTCACGGATACGGGCGTTTATGCGCCCCTAACAAGGACCGGTGATATGATCATCGACGGTGTGTTTGTATCCTGTTTTGCGCATATTCGTAATGACTGGTTAGCGCAAGTTGCAGTCCTTCCACTACATTTTGCTTCCACGTTTTTTGGCCTAAATTTAATGGAAATTCAGACAGGTGTTCATCGTTATGCGGAATTGCTGCTTAAAATTGCGCAATTCTTGATACCAGATCAGCTCTTTACAAGCCGTTTCTAAGGGAACAATGTGGAAAACAGAAGTAGAGCTGTATGTTTCTACCTCGTCACGATGTCATCACCATCAATTGCCGCATCGATCTGCACACTCGGAACAGATTATCTTCAAATTGCCCCACTTGTTTACACACACAGGAAAAAAGCACAACAATTGTGAAGGCACCGATGTGATTGCTACCAAATAGCACCATCAGCCTTCGACAACAATCATACTTTTGCGATATTTTCATGTACTTGGATGCGCATTTTCATCACTTTTAATGTTTACATAAGACTTACTGAATCGTTTCCAATTTACCGCCCCACCGCTCCGTCTCCCTTCGCACCCCCTCCCCCCAACCCATGCCCTGCCCCCCGTCACTTCGGCCCCGATAACATATAAAGGCGACTCTATTTGACTGTAATTCTATGTATATCATTGGAATTTGTCATCTTGACACACACACACATACACACACACACCGATAGGAATCCACCCAGATTTCACACCACTTTTATAACACGCAAACAGTCTTGCATTTGGCAACACATTTTTTCTCAACAACAACACACATTTATGGAGCATTCATAATTTTTTCTTTCTCCGTTTGTAAAATTGCCAACAAATAAAACATGACTTTTGCAAACTGACCTTGCTCATCCTTCTCAAAACATTTTCAAAATGTGTCCGAATTTGTTTAAACTTGCAAAGCCGTGCGCTTTTGAACCAGCTGATGAATGGATTGGTACATCGGAGTAGTGATCGGAGGTGTAGATGGCCCTAACGTGAATGATTTTGGTATTTTAGCGTCAAATTAAATTAAAATTAAAGAGATGCAAAGGTGGGTAAAGCCTTAACTATGCTTGAGTGAAAACCATGGCGATTATTGAAATCTTGGGAAAAACTTGTATCAAACTGGATAACCAAATTTTTTTAATTGCTGAAAAAGCACCTCTACAATTTTATGCCTCTTGCGGATCTTGTTAGCATGCGTATTTCCTCCGATCATGTTCATCGTTAGGCCAGTGAAACCTACCCATTATTTTACTACTTGTTTTAACATTACTACTCAAACTTGCTAGTAGCACATACTTTTTAGAATTCAGAAACTGGTCTATAGGTTGCCGCCCTAACAACCTGAGTGGCCTGCGAGACGCGTATAATAGCTTTGCAGACCAGATCACTGATTTCACCTCCGCTCTTATGTAGTGCAAGTGTCAAGAATGTGCTCTCAGCACACCTACTTGCAAGAAGCGATGGTGAAAATAGCATTTTTTTGTTAGAGGAAACAGATCACCTGGCAGGCTCAGGCTAAACCGATTGCTACTCACTGCCTCCACCGTTTCTAAGGAAATCAAGAATGACTATTAGTCCTTTTGACAAAGTAGGGATTTTTCAATAAGCCTATGGAGGTGATACGGTGTGTTCGAATTACTACCCAATTTTAGAACTGTGTGTGCTACTTATTAAATGAAAGTAAAAGCTGCAAGTCAATTACGAGAACGCGTAGTTAGTCTACTTAAGTGCGTATTAGTAGCACAGGTTGATACCATACAAGGTGACCCACCCAAAGTTGTCAATGCTCTGCACTAATAGCAAGACAAGCGGCGTCAATCGACAGGATCCAGTGCTAGCTGCATAATATACAAGTCCCAAAAAATGTCAATGAATCGAGGGAATGAGACATTTGGACCGGGGGGGGGGGGGGAAGAGGGTGAATCGCAATAGAAAATGTCGATAGGATGATCGCAGCATCATATTCAGCACATTGAAAGTATTTTACTCAATAGATGTAGGGAAGAAACTGAGTCCAAGAGAGACAAAATTAACAGTCGATATTAAATTAAACGGTTGTGAGACGTCAATACTGACCCGAAGATAGGTGGGGAAAAAAATGCAGGCAAGAGATCGAAGGAAGCAACGTGGATGTGCAGAACAATCGTGCAGAAGTAAAATTGATTAATAGCCTGTTGGACGATGACTGGATTAGTGCATCTACAAGTGAAACTGCGAAAAAGTTACTCGTGTCATCGAGTATTATGAAAGGGGGGGAAAGAAACACACAACCTACGTCCTAGCGATGTGTATTAGCGCAATAATTTTGTCACCTCGTAAAATTCTCCGCATCTTTCTTCCCGTAAATGATACATTTTATTGACCTATAAATGCTGAGAACGACTTACAACGAATGGATTGAATGAGTTTTGCCCCAGAGAGGTGGGAATGTTTGCAGCTTTCGGTGCTAGTGTAGTATTCGACTGCATCGCTACAGTAGCAGACTCATTCATGACTGCAAATGGATTGTTAGTACTAAGACGTTGAGACTGGAACGGATTGTAGTTTGATGAACCAAACGGATTGCCCTGCTGAGTTGCCAGGGGTGTCAATGCCACCGATGGGAAGGTCCCAGTAACAGACGGCTTGGAGAATTTATTACAGTCCTCTATTTTGCCCATTCTATCAAGTTCAGCCAGCGCCGCGTACTTATCAACTGGCGCGGAGGCGGTGTCACAACCCAAGTTAACGAACAATGACGATGATACAGGTGGACTGGACGCGGAGAAGACTGTCGAGGCAGAAGGTGGCGGTGGAAATGTTTGAAGTTTATAGACAGGCGAAGAGGAGGACGGTTGTACAGATTGGATATTTTGCAAAGGAGAAGTGGTAGATGTATTATAAGCAAGCTGTGCAGAGAGAGATGACTGATTTGCCGTCTGTGAAGCTGCAATAGCTGGACGGGCAGCAACAAACTCGGCAAATGGATCGAGAAATACGCAGTCATTCTCTGTTGTTGACTGAAAGAAAGAATAAAACAGCAGCTATTTTCAGTCAAGAGTAAATTATTATCAATGGTGAGTAAACAAAGCCAATTCGCTTTGAAATGAGCATGGTGGACCACCTACCCATCCTCTCTAGACCATCTAACCAGTGAATAAGCAGTGATGAGTGACAGACAAAAAAGAGAAAAAGAAAACAACCTTTGAGAAGACGAAAATCAGCGGGCACGAGAGAGAGAGAGTTGCATTAGGCAACCAAATGGGAATGGAGCAAAAGAATATGCAAATACCGCATCGCCGACTTCTGGCACATTGTGATGGGTAAACATGTAAAGTATATGCAAATTTGGCATGTTCAAAAGGTAGAAATAACCACAACCACAAAAATTTTGAATAGGTAGATTAAAAAATCAGAAATCGCCTACCAACTTGACATTTTAATGATTAAAGAATTTAGGCCAACAAAATTATCTTACTTAGATGCACGAATTCAATCGCATCAAGCGCCTACACGAGAAATGTATTGTTACCGTCAAAGATCAAAAGCCACGCTTGCATTGCGTTTCTGATTTGTTTCTTTTTTTTCTTGCGTTAAACACTCACGGAGTCGATATTCACCACAAAAACAATTTGCAAACGCACCGAGAAGAGAGAACTTTGTTGTCGCGATATATTGGGGGTGGAAACAGGGCAAGGGTTCGAAGTGCCCGTCTTGTCTGAGGTGATCTCAGACGATGCCTGAGCTGAATTAGGTGGTTTACAGAGTGAAGTTGGAAGAGAACGGTTATTCAGTATAATTAAACCCGCTGCTGCATTGGCACTAATATGATTCACTCTTGTAGTGGAGTTTTGAGAGGCACGAGATAAAGCTTCTTCATTTTCTCGAAAAGCCTCTTCTTCCACAGCAGGATCTGGAGTGCGATACCTTAAAATGGACAACATTTACAAGTAATTTGAAGTCAATGAAAACGACAAAGTGAGGACCTAATTTGAAAACATTTCACACAACTCACCACTTTTGCACCTGATATTTAAGACGTAGGTAGTCGTCAAAGTCACTATTTCGTTCATCCGGCTCCTTACCATCACAGAGAGCTAAATAGATTTTTCCACATGCCTAATGTCAATTCAAACAACACACCTTACTTTGTTACCCCTATGCTTTATGAAATCAATTTCTTGAGAGCTAAAGTTGGACACAGACATTGACTTCACTCTTTGATTATACTTTCGCCTAAAAAGCATGAGGTGGAAGGTAATACTTACAAAGCGCCACCACATCCTGTACACACGAAAGACCCGATGGAAATATTAATATACGTGGGTCCCCTTTGGCCACAGTCAAAACAAAACCTGTTTTCCTGGATAGAAGCAAGGTCCCGAAGAGTTTTTGCGGAGGATTCTTGGCTCTTTCGACTCATGGACATGATGGGGTATTTCAGGCTTCTGAAAATAAGCAGAAAATCAACATGTGCAAGCACCAACATGAAGATGTGGGAGATGGGTTAGAGTGAGATAAGAATGCTGTGGAACGAGATAAAGGAAAATGACCAACGCGTAAACAAACAAATACAATCTTACAAAGAGCGGACATGCTCAAAAAATTGTAGACAATGTCACCGACACAGATGTTTCTCACCAAAAAATTCAGTTAGAAGATTAATTTAAATGAATTAGAATACTAATGGTTCTTCATGTTCCAAAAATTGTGAAACACAACATAGCGGGACATAAAGAATGGTCGCCAGGCCATTCAAATAATAATACGATTAACAAGAGATGGTGCTGCCCAATACAAATCCAATCCCTATGTTTACATGTATAGAATCTGTACACTAAGAAGGAAGAAAGATATTTGAAATATTGGAAATTGGCATTAAAGTGCATGGTTAAAACCTAAAACCATAGAAGGAGGTTGAGAAATTGCGAACAAAACTGGTTACAAAACATCAGAGCAGTGAGATTGGTTTTAAAGGAGACAGGAAAGGCAATCTTTACAGCAGACCCCACCCACCGATTACTCACAGAACCCCAAACAGTACCATTTCTAAGTGGAAGGTCAAATGTTCTACACAATGATTGGTTAAAACTAGCTGAAAGGTATGAAGAAATTGAGCATGGACAGTAAGTTTATATTCCTAAGAGGTCTTTCAGCTCGAATTAAATGAAAATCTTTAAGCGAAATGGCATAATTAGAGCAACTGAAGATGGGGGCATTTTGTGAAAACCTGCCAGACAATATTTATTTCAGTGGCACCCATAAGCAGAAATGGGTTCCAAAGCTAGAAACTTTGTTGCGAATGAATGCCAATTGGTGAGTCAACTACGGTAAGTAACAATAAACGTCTTGCTGGTATTGTATGCAAATTCACTTTAAAAGTGATTATAATTTGCGCTTTGACGAAGTTTGTGTCACAGTTAGTGAGCATCTTACGTGGTCTTGTGATCTCAATCTATTTTGAGCGCGCTTGACAACTGGCGATATGGGAACTACCAAATTGACATACCCTAAGCGTTCAGGTTGCATGAAGCCTTCATTGTTTAAAGGAGGAAGAACTGTTATTTTTTTGATGAGAGAAACGCTTCCAGTACCCAACTGAAAAACGAAATATTGCTGTACTACAGGTATGACAAAACTGCGTCAATCAGTCAACTCCACCTCGAAGTGGTCCTGGTGAGCTTAAACTGCACAGTTTATGCGTCTTTTACCCGACAAATGTTCGTTTTGCGCAGATTGATAAAAACTGCACCTTTTAATGGTAGCACTGCTTCAGTCGGGGACATAAAAATGAAAACACATTCTTAAGACTGTTTTATCACCATGGCTGGTGCAAAAATTCCTAGTTCCGGGCAAAATAAAACCACATTCCTGGTCTCTTCCTTGCCGATGGGTAAGTAGAAGCCATTTCTGACACCGTTCAGCACGTTGTCAAGCGAATCCCACTCAAGAAACAATCTACCCCATCGCGATAGACCCTCTCACCCCCCAGTGGTGGACAATGATGTACATTAGTGTGCAGCCCCCAAGACTAAGCTGAAAATGAAATACTCGAGCAACATATGCATTCCCGAACTACGAACGGGCTAGAAAGCTACTGGAATAGCTCAGAGGCTAACCCCCTCCTCCCCGGTGCAAGCAGAATGATGAAGCCCCCAAACGGCCCGTTAACAAACAGATAGTGCATCACGGAGGCAAAATAAATTTGCGCACATACAAGGATGCCGAGGCTAAACGAGCAGGCCCCCACTCAGCGCTTATCATCCCCGAAGTGCCTACAATACCATTTTCATATTCGCGTACAACGCGATGCTGAACCTGAGGATTTGTTATCGATGCATCGAAACCTCCTCCACCCAATTTTCGAGTTCACTGCATCCCAAAGTTATACAGGACAACCCTTGTCCAAATTCCACTGATAGAGGAACCAGGGGTGACGATGGATATCTCAGTGAATGCCCTAAATTACAAGACATATAACGACTAACCTCGTGCGCCCGCATGCATTACCACCACCATCCACTCCACAATGTTCTCAAGGGTTCACCGTGCGCAAGAAATTAGTAATAACTCCGAAAATCTATCGTTCCTTATCCTATCTGTAAAACAAATAGTGATGCAAACTAGAAAGAGGTACAAAAAACCCTACCGCGTGTCATAGCTGCAATCATTCACGTGAGGATCATGTATTGGCTGAACATAAACGCCACCCTTGTATACGTTCAACACAAGCTTTTGATCAATCTAATTGTACCAATAAACCAACACGGCTTAGATTTTAGTCAACACATTTGCAAAATTTATGCTAGCAACGCCAACACTGAAGCAGCAGCGCCGAGTTATACGTAATTTGCACGTCAGATCAAGAGGAAAAGCACGCAACAGTAATGTGGCACACGAGGCCTAACGGCTGTTATAGAAATGGGAGTCATAACAAAGGAGCATGGTGGTAGGCCCACATATGTGGATTAATTAAGGGGGCAGGCCTAACAAACAAGTAAATCGAAACATCAGGGGAGGCTTTGGACGAATCAAATGATCACACGGCAATTGGATAGCTCAAATGAGTCCTAATGAACAATTGAGTATCTCTACGAAACAATATCGTAATTGAAACAAAAAGGAATGCTCAGCTCAATAGAGGTTGTATTCAAAGACATCAGTCAAAATGAAGCAAAAAAAGAGAAGTCTCAATCTAGTAGTACTGTGCAAAATGATGTTAACGCAAAAATTGTAGGGCGAATACACAAAGGAAATACTAGAGTTGAACCGCTGATGCGTGCAAGTCGCTCACAGAACCAGTCGTCTTATATCGTATATGACTAAGAACGTTAAAAAAGATAAACAAAATAAGGAGGATTACATTAAGCCCACAAACCAAAGAAAGATCCAATGTGTAAGACGGCATTACAAAAACCTCTAGAACTCCAACAGAGGAAGTGTTCTCGTCAATTGAACATTCATAGTCCCCGCTATCAGCAAAGGAAACGTTGGAAATGAATAGGAACCCACCAGAATTTCGGAACCGATTATCTGTGGACGTCTTGTTCGCCAGAACCACTTCGCTCGATGGTAGTGTCCAAATGACCGATAAGATGTTGGAGTCAATTTGGCAAAGGAAGAAAGCATCATGATAAGCCTCAGCAATTAAAAGTGGTGGTTTAATAACCAGATCACAATGCACAAGTGAAGTGCATAACAACAAGGGCAAAAACTGCGGAACCAAACCGAAATACATATAAAGCCGAGCAGAAATGCATACTCCGCAGCAAAAAAATAGTTGTTTAAAACAAATTAGCAAATTTAAAGTGTAAAATTAACAAATGACAGTAACATAACCTCATTCTAAAAATATGCATAAAAAAGATTAAAGCATTTTTTAAAACTGCTTTGTCAGCAACTAAAGGAAGGCAAAATTAAAGCAGGACATATACATTATAAAAATAGAGCAAAGTTGAAGTTTACACAAAATTTTTAAACTATTAGTTTTGTTCCCCTAAGCTTTTTAAAAATAATGGAATGCATAATACTTAGGCAGAGATAGAAAAGGAGGTTAGCTCACTCGGCAAATTACAGTAGCCAGGACACAAAATCCCTTTTCTGAAACCCCGTAGTCAAACAAAAATTAACTTATTTTCAAGCTTTCCTTTTCTTTTAGGCAAAGCTTTTGACGCTCACCTTGGCTAACCTCTCGGGTCAGCTATCACAATGCTAACGATGCTCTGGAGAAAACACTTACACCCCATGTGCATCCGTAACCAAATTTTTATTGCAATTTCTTCCCCAAGTAAACTAGATTTAGAAACGGGTAGTCTTGCCGGCCATCGCACATGTCTACATGTAGACGTAGGACCACTGACCTGAAAGTAGATCTGCGTGTGGGAGGACGGGATTTAACGCCAGTCCGAAAGAGTAGTTTTTAACCGCTCTTTCTTCTTGTTGCATTATTCTCAATGCTAGCTAGTCATAGTCATCCAAGCTCTATAAAGCTAGTGGAGAGGTGGGGGAGATATCGTACACTTACATTATCTGCACCTAAGCTCTTTTATGTGGTTCACAGTCATTATCGATTTGGCTCCTAATAGCTTCCCTGCGATAAACAAGCTCGAGGTATTTGCCATCGGTAGACATCACTTAAGGCTCTTCTGTTTAGATTCGTCACAGATCCTACCATCCGTAGCATACACACTTTTTACACCTGACTAAAATTCATTAAATAACAGTAAAAATCAAAATTAAAGTCAAAATCACTTTCCGCTACTACCAGTGTAACGACCCGTGACTATTTAGAAGGCAAAATAGTGCATTATGATATAGCAAACTACAAATTTTTGATATAGGAGAGGTATTAGGGCTGCTAGAATAGCCTAGAGGCAATTTTGGCCGTAGAGTTGCCATGACCAAAGCAAAAAGTCTTTTTAAAATAACCCACCATCATAAACAACCAACGCATTGCAAGCACATTTAGTCTTTTTTATGTATCGTTGAATGCTAGCATAAAAAGCACATAACTTGTGACTTGCATGGAAGACATCAATTTGTCTTAAAGCTAAAACATCACGATATTTATATTGTTTTAAGCCCCATAACGCACCTTGGAATGCGTAAATGTAAAATTAAAGACCAACTACAACGCTGTAAGACTTTTTCAAAGCGAAAGATTACGGGGAATAATATGTGTTTTCTATTGACTAAATGTACCAAAGGGCAATTTCCGAAGCCGGAGAAGCAAATGCATTGAATGAGTCTTATTAGTTCCAAAAAACCAAATTAAGAGTTAAAATTAAAACTAAACTAATGCTTTGTACATTTAGTTTCGGTAAAAATGCAGTGGTTTGATAGATTACCCTTAGCTCTTATTATTACGGAAATAAGACCTTACATTTTCAGCCATTGCAAATATTAAAACTTAAAATTTTACATAGTTTCTAACATTTCTTTATTTCGCAATTTTTTTAATTTTTAAAAAACAACTTGGTTTTGTTTTAGTGTATGAATAAACACAACAAATAAATTGCGCGCCTATTGAGTCTGGCTTTTGCGGTCGTTGCTTACCTCTTGTAGCTGCGATAATGAAACTTACTGCCTTCTACCACATGCCCCATTAAACATGGAAAACTTTGTATTGTATGAGGAAATATGCACGTGTGATGATCAGGTAATCTACAAAGCTCGAAGAAAAGGGACAATTACTTTTCTTGCCATTTCTTGTATTGATAAGAAAAGGCGAACCCATGTCACAAATCATGTTCGCTTCTCTCGTGCATTGAAGCATGAATACGTGCTTAAGTTTTACGAGTGGTACGAAACAAGCAACCATTTGTGGGTCGTTATGGATCTTTGTACTGGTGGGACCCTGGAAAGAATGCTTCGAGAGGACAAAATGTTTCCAGAATTTGCAATGGTGGATATTGGTCGACAGTTGGTTGCTGGCCTTCAGTTCATACATTCACATGAAGTCGTTTTTGCTGATTGGTTTCCAACAAGAGTAAATTCAAATTTTTTTCCCAATATATTTTCAGATATTCTTGGACGGCAGTGGAAATATAAAGTACTTTGACTTTTCATACGCTCGAATGGTTGGTGAAAATGCGGCTGATATATTTTCAGGCGGTGAAATCGATGATTCCAGGTTCGATGGGTTGTCTCATTCAGCACTACCCTATATTGCCCCCGAGGTTTTGTCTGGAGCGCCTGCATCTAAAGCCTCTGATGTGTGGAGCCTAGGCTGTATATTCTTTAGGATGTTTTTCGGTGTTGTTCCCTTTTCCTCACAGGTTCCATCGCATGTAAGCTGTTTAATTTCATCTAACCATTGCTAGCTAACAGTCATTTAAAGCTGGGTATTTATTTCTTTTTGATTATATTTTCAAGCTTATACAGATGATATGCACTCGAAAAGTGGAAATTCCAATTCAGTGTACTCGGAAACCCAGTGCTGATTTATGGGCACTACTTTGTGCGATGTTGACCAAAGATCCAAAAAGTAGGATAACTCTCGAAGATACTCTAAATCACAATTTTTGGCTGTTAAAACCTACACCTGAAGACAATCCTCAAGAAGTTTCTTCAAAAGATGCCCCTAATCACCCCAGTCATCCAGTCACGGTTGAAAAGGTGATGCTTAAAGCCTTTTAGGTTTGAATATTTTTTGTAAGAAGTGAGAAAAATGCAGGCTTTGGTACCCTTTACACAGTTTGTTTTTTTTTCCCTGGAAATCGGCAAGGTTTCTTAGATATTACATGCTTATGTCAAGCTACTATTCAAAGTTTTTTCCGTGGGAATCATAGCTGCAAATTGAGCGTCTTTACAAGTATTCTTTTTTAAAAAGCCCTTCAGATTAGACTCTTGAAGTTTTTTACGTCATTAGAAGGTGAAATACCTTCCACATATTATAACTTCACAGACGAACCAAGTATAGTAGGTTGACTTGTGGAGTTTGTATTGCGGATCAATAAAATGGGGACCAAAGTTAGTGACCCAGGTTTACCATTTTATTCATCTCATCTGTTGCAACTACTTAAAATGAATTACTCCCTGGGAGCTATGGCTTCTAAACCCTAGTGGCACTTTTTGTCGCCCACTTGAGCCCATTTAGCGTGCTTACTATCTTCCCGTGGCGTTGTTAATTCTCAAAGGTGCTCTCAAATTCACCTGTTTAATGGAGATTCAGAAAGTGTCAGGGATCACAAGTCAGATTTGCCTAGTGATTTTACGCCATATTTTGTAATTTGCATTTTTCCCCTTGTTCATCGTTTTATCCTCTCTTCACTATTCAGAAAGACACTTTAACCTCCTCCAACATTGTCACGAAAAGAAACGGGATTGCAAATGCAAATAGCAAGGGACAATCTCTTATAGAAGATGCCGCCATTAAGGTGATCTACTCACAATTCATAGTTCTTCTTGTTGTCGGTTACAATTAACCGGAGATTTTTGCCTTCTTCAGACATTGAAACGATCCCTTTCCATGGGCGATAGCGCCTTAGCTAGTGCTGCATTACTTCGAAATAAAACTTCACTTAAAAAACCACCACCATTGCAGAAGGAGGCAGTAAATACAGGAGAGGATGCTCCTCACGTTAGACTTCGCTCACAGACTCCTGCTTCAACGGACCACGGTATACCTGTGGGTGATGCCAATTTTACTCTCCATGCTCAAGCTTGTCCAGTCTCCATGAGATCCGATGTTTTTGATCCCTATGCCAAAACCAAGATCAGTCTTACCACTAGCAGTAACGATGAGTCAGTAGACATGAGCTCTCAAAGCAACTATAAGATGCCTGCTACACCGAATTCTACAAAAACGACATTCTTTGGTTCAAATGATAGCCTACATCCTCCTACCTCTCCAATGCCAGTCGAGGAAAGGATGATAAAAAGTGAATATTTGTTTCGCAACTCTGGTAAGTGTAGTCTTAAATCGGTGGACTTTTGTGTTTTGTCTGCTGTGAGCAGGGGTATTCGCTAGGCAACTATTAGGAATACACTGTCATTGTCTATTCATTTACTGTCTTTTATTAACTTTTTGCATCATTTAGATATATCTAGTCGATTCGAAAGCGGCCTGCTTCATCAGTCACCCTTGTCTGATAGGATTGCTTCTCTCATCTCACCACAAACTCGTGCTAAAATAGCGCTGCTTTATCCCTGGGGTGATGATGCCCTTACCCTGCCTCAAGAGGTAACCATACCCATTGGACAAGATTCTCGGGAATGGGAGGACCTTTTTATATCTAATGAACTTGAAGAATTCAGAATCCCACGAGAGATTAATGAGAAGAGCCTTTTTGGATACAGTCCTAAGTTTACTTATACTCCTCAACCACTCGGCGACTACAAAAAGTGGCTTCAGAATCCACCGAAAGCGGAATTGTGGCTTCCTTTAGACCTTGCAGTGCTATCTCCTTCGGTGATTAATTCCCTAACAAATGAGGAAATTAACAGCTATTCCTCTAAAGTATGTATAAACTGTTTCAATTGTTCATCAACGCTTCGAGTTGTTTACTAACAGGTACTTTTTTCCACTCCCTTAGCTGCTTACCCAAATGATGGACTCGCTTAGACTTCAAGATCCGAAAAATCGACCCTCTACCTTCCTCAATTACGTTGTCTGGTTTCTTGCTGTAACTACGCTAGAGTGCAAACCAACTGACTCCTCAGACCCACTCGATAAGGCCAGTGTCAAGGACATTATCTCAAGGATTAAGTATTACCTTTCTGGTGCAGCGTCTCTATTGAGGCTTGATACAATATCTACAATTGGAAGGACATGGCTGCTTAGAATCATTTCACTCTTGGCCTATCGCTCCACCTTTATGATTCAACAGGTGAACGAAGATCCAAATCGTGAATCACTCATTCGTTCACTCATTATCGAGGTAGCACCGGAGTTACCACCTATTCTCTCAACTGTGGTGGATGTTCTAAGAGAACCTGCGTTTAGAAACGTCTTTCCACTGAAACAGGCCGGTATCATTGCACTGGGTGAACTTATAATATGCGAGATGTGTATCTACAGTCGTATTCTGTTAGATCCCACCACCTATGATGATCTAGTATCTCAAAGTTTAGACATTTCAAAAACACAATGGCAATCAGTCGTGCTTCGAATAATCCGCTCTCTCTCTCCATCTACTTCACGTGCTGGGAATGCCTCTCAACATCAATATCTTCCACGAGGTCCGGTTAAATCTCTTGAAGGTGGAAATTCTTCACTTTCATCATCTTCTAGAACATCTTCCACAGTCTCAGCAAATGAGGATACCTTTCGACTTGCAGCAGCACGTGTTCTCAATGAAACTGTTATTGTGGTGATTGGTTGTAAATTGACGCGAATTTTGCAACTTTTTGACGTACAGAACTTTAGTAGAGATCATCCGAGCGTAAAATTAGCCATCACTCTATCCTCCTCAGTCAATACCTTTTTGGATTGTCTTCTCACACCCGAAACTATCAGTCGTGTTTGGGCTGACGGTGTGATGGGTGGTGGTGGCGATGTCAAGCCATCAGTGTCCACAACAGCTCCAACGACTTCAACTAACCAACAAGTTGCCCATGCCTCTGTCAGTGCTTTGACCGGTCTAATTAGGCTTCGGCCTTCTCTCTTTATGTGTGGATTGATTGACAGAAATGGAGCAACTGCATTTATGCATAAACTCAACCCTACCAACGGGGCTAAAGGTCAAAATACTACTTTTATGGTAAGCATATACTACTTAAATACTGCGTTTTTACTTCATTGTGAACGAGAGAATAAATTGATGTTTACTTTATTGATTTTAAGGTATCGTATTTGTAGGTGACATGATATGTATTTATTTCTGAATACCTGTATGCAAAAGAAAGGAACTTTACAATGCTATTGTGTGCTCCTGTCAAATGCCTTATTGATAATGGTAAAGTGGCATCATAAATCTTTCAAATGAATGAGGCATAGTTTTCTGGGAGGTTATTGTAACTACGCTAGACTGGATATCATTAGGTCACACTTTTATTGCTACCAGTAAGTAGTACTGGAGTTTCGAGGCTGTACCACCTTTTCTATCCATAGTCATGGTTTTGTATTCAACATTTTAGGCCTACCTTTTATCCGCTACGGCAACAGGTCTGCTTCTCCCGCTCTCCTTCCACAGTAAACCATCTGGTGCATCTCTACTGCGAGCTGGAATGAAATCGGGTACTCCTGTGGCCTGTCGTCGTTTCCTCAACAATTCATGTTTCTTAGCCTCTATAATGCGCCAACTTGAATCACCACATGCAATGCTGCGTGCTAAGGCCTACTTACTGGCAGCAGCTGCATTGGATTCTGCCTCAACTGTTTGTAGTAAGACCCTGATCACCGCTTGTGATGCTCGACTTCCATCCTGTCTGGAGCGTGATTTAAGAATGACCAATCAGAATTACATTCCCAGGGCCTTGCTAGATGAAAATAGTGTATTCTTTTCTGGCGAGAGTGGGAGTCACAGTCAGTTGACTGCATCCACGTCGCCTGGATTACAATACTTGGGAATCTGTGTCAAACACCTTTTGGACCTAATTGTTCACAGTCTGATCCCAAATATTTGTAAACAGGTACGAAGCTGCCTTGACACTTCCACGGTTTCTACTGTCAAGCCTAAGTTGTTAATTGTCCGTACAGGTGGCTGTTGCAATTGGAGCCTATGGCACTGCATACACTACGTCAGCCAAACTTCCATCCACCATGGCCTCGAACATTTATCGGGAGCGAAGTAAACGTACTGTTTCATCCGCTGGTGCAGTTCGTCAGTCGCCTATGGTACAAGGCTCGCGTCAGCCTACTTCAACCACTACACCCGGAGTGTCTCTCAAGACCTGCCTCCCTGCCTTTCTCTGTTTGCCGGGTATCTTAACCTCCTCCGCGTCAGTGCGAAATCGCCTCCTCCTTCCGCCACGAGACTCACCTGCTGACGGGGAGGAGGACTTCTGCCTAATTGAATTTATCGCAAGAATTTTTGATCACTGGACTTCGTCGATGGGTGAGGCTGGATGACATCTTGGTGTCTATTTTTTTTATTAGTTTCTTCTGGAGGTCTTACTTGTATATTGAAGGGTATACTCATAGATGCTGTGATAATTTGGTACCCTAGGAAGAGGCAGTCAAGAGTAGGTGTGCACACACGCACACACGAGTTTATGGCAAAGCAGTGTGTGTGTGTGTGTGTGTGTGTATGCCACCTCGTTTTGTGTGCCCTACATACACACACTGACATACACATAGAGAGAAAGTCTATTGATTGTTAATACGAAATGCAACGTTTGCATTTTTCTACTCAAGCTTCACTAACCTCCTGTTTTTATTGTCATTCGTTATTTCAAACACACACATACAGTCAATTGAGTCCATTTATTTAGTGTTTTCTTACCAATTATCGTCAAATCGGAGCGTTAAATAGAGCAGACAACATCGTTGGAGCAATTTGAGGATAGAGGATGAGCAATTCTTCAAATCACACCCTTTCTTTGATCTCGATCACTTGATCGCGCTTAACACCACAACTTCTAGACAGCTATATCATCGTTTCTCAACCAATAATAGGTCTCGAGATTTATTTGTTCAATACAGTGAGGTTATTTATCACCTCTAAATCTTGGAGTTAATGTCCAGTCCACATAAATCCAAGGTCAGTCAGTACACATGACCTTCATCAGTCCTCAATGCAGCTGAGGGCGTGGTCTTTAGCTGCAACCTTGTCAAATGCTTAGTTTGGCTCTTTGAGTTGCTTGCACGACGAATTTTGTTTTCCTCCTCGATTAAAAAGATAATGCCTGGGTGAATTTGTCAATGATGAAATTCATCCATCCTTCCATGACATTTGACAGCGATTACGCACATATATAAACCAGATTGTAGTTACCTAATCCCTAAAAACGTAGTTACACTTATGTGTCGATAGGTGGGATGGCAAAATCTTACATCATACTCAGTCTTCTTTTTTCCCCCATCCTATCGGTAGTGTCTTCTACCTCCTCCTACGTCTTGCGTTCATTTGCAGTCACAAAGGAAAACAATTGAGTCACTATGGCAACATTGGTTCTGCCTGTGTGTTGTAATTTCATTTTTTTTTCGCAACAGGCACGAACTGAGTTTACTTTTATCCCGCTTTAGCATATCGTTTTGAGTCGAGAATCTCTTTCTTCTCCTTTCCCCACTCCTTTTTTTCCACACGAATGTCACTTATCTATCAAGCAAACACTCCTCTTGATAATAAACCTTTGATGAATTTTTGAATGTGAGAAGCCTTTGTGCTGTAGAATTGCATCATGGAGGTAGACACTATGACCTTGTTTATCAAGTATTTGTAAAATGTCTTGAACACCTCCACGCCTTGAGGTCGAGGTTGACTTGATTGTGTACATTTGGCACTGCATTCATGGATGATATCATCTGGCCAAAAAAATACCTATATCTACCCCCTCGTCTACATCAAGGACTTAGAAATCAGCTTCTTTCAATCACTCTTCAATCATTGGTTAATCCACAGTTTCTGTTGCTTTTAGGCACTCTCACAGGTGTGCACCGTCCGGAAAGCCCAGAGAATCAGCTTCTGAATGTGACACTGGCACTAGCGGAGGATATAAGTCGACAGGTAGATGTGGTGGAGGGTCGTCGAGCCGACCTCATTAAAGTCCTACTTCCAGCCATAGCTCGACTTGCTGTTGCTCCAGCCTCCGATTCTATCATTCGGACTATTTGTGTAAAGGTAAATTTTGGCAGTTGCTTCTCCTCTTTCCCACTTGCACTCCCCCCTAATTTATCCATTGTATGGAAAATTTAACTTCACCTTGTAGATTATCAATTATCTTCATCCACAGGTGTCAAACTCCATTTGTTCTCCTTTTGAAGTAGTGGCCATACCAAATGAGAGAGAGCGCCAGCCAAAAAAGCAACTCTTTAAGCTGAATAAATACGCTCATGTGCTTAGCGGGACTAAGCAGGTCATTTAAACGTGTTGTAATAATTGGATAGATCATTTTGGATATGAAGAACATCTGGTGCGGTGGAGGTGAGGACACTGACTCGTTGGCCTCTTCCAACATCAGTCTAAACTTGTCGAAGAGTCCCTCGGGTCGATTGTTTGGACTTACTCGTTCACCGCTCTCCAGTGATCTACTGAATTCCAAACCCTCTGTTGCACCACGTGGAAGCGGAGTTAATCGTACGACCTCCCTTCGCAGTGGGGAGAATAAACGACCTACCTCGTCCTCCTCTTCCTCCTCGGTCATTTCCACCCGATCCTCTTCACGTGTCTCCTCCTATCGGCCTAACAGTTTCTATGGGAGGAGTTCCACTGGAGTTAATACTCTCAAAGGCTACAAAGTTACCTCTACTCTGAAGAACAACTTTCAGGGTCCCTCACCCGAAGTCCTGCTTGCTGTTATGGATATTGTCAATAATCTCCTCATTCCATACGTAGGTTTACTTTGAATCCTGCTTGCTTGATGCTGTCTCTAGACCATACCCAAGCCATTGAATATGGCGTATCTCCTCTCCTAAGTTTTAATGCTTCCATCTCTCCCCCCCTCCCATCTATTCCGTCTCCTCATGTAATTTACTTTTCTTTTTTTCTCCCCCTTCAAGATTCAACCGGGTAAGCTCATAGCATTCTAACATTACCTTGGAAGTGGGTAATTTCTCAGTGTCATTTTAACAGCATCTCATTCGTCTGCACTAAAATCATCCTCGTGCTTACCAAGCCCCCTTCTATTTGTTTACTTTTGGTGCTATGGGTTTACTTAAAATTATGCAAGCCAGCAAATTCCATCTTCAACTTCTCCCCTCCAAAGTATGATTTTCCGTCTCTACTTAACCTAACTTTTTGATTTTCCTTCACAAAACAATTCCTGTCAATGATTTTAATTTTGAGTGACACTTTTAAAATGTCCTTTTAGGCCTCCCTACTATTGGGCCACCGTGACGTCGCCCCTTCTACCTACTTCCTGCGCCTCCTTTTAGATTGTCTCCAATTATCACGCCATTCCACTGACTCCTCACCTAACCATATCTCCTGTACAAACAGTTATTGGTCTTTTGTAAAAATTTGGCATCTCTCCGACCTACCCCTCTGTTTAATATACTTTATAACCGGTTGTGATTGTGGCTCTCAACGTTTCTCTGTTCGGTGCTTTCTTGCTCTTCGTCTTCTCTCCATTCTTACCTCGCAATTGCCTCAAGACTCGGGTCTCATTCAACTCCTCCTTGACCCCTCCATTGAACCGACACAAAATCCTCTCTCTGTTGTGTACAATATACTAGTTGGTATGGGTGGGTCCATCCTTCGACGCGGGGTAAGCTGCCTGTACTCTTACTATACCCACAATGTCTACTTAAGCGTTATAAGTAGCGCGTGACTTCTCTTTAGCGATATGAATCTACTGTTGATGCTTCGACTCATCATCCGATTCGTTATTCTCGTTCCGCCACTCCTTCCTCCTCTCAAGGACGTTCAATTTTACTGAAGATTTCGATTAAAACTGCTGGTGTACGACATTTGCTTGTGGCGTTGGAATTGCTCAACACATTGTTGAATTTGCTAACAGATGTGGTTCGTTACGCTTTGCATTGTCGACAAAGCAAGTGCACAGATCATTCACAACTGTGTCAATCCCTACGAAATGGTCAACATGAATACAGCATTACCGATTATTTACCCAAAAGTCCAGAGGGCGTTTGCTCCGTTGCAGAGCGGGTATGTCTTAATTGGTAGTAACAAGGCGATGCTTTCACCATTGACTAAATATGGTTTATTGTTTTTACGCTTTCAGCTTCTTTCGTTGTCTCGACCACCCAAACATCTCCCAGGCATTCTTGCCTCCCTTCTTGAAGCCTCCTCACCCGACACCACTGACAGAGATTGCGTGCTCCATAGTACAGATAACGAACAGGAAGTGGCCTCAAGTCTCGTCACTTTAGCGACTAGAGCATTAGCTAGTCTAGCTTCACTCTACGGTGGTGAGTACTGTCGTACAGCTCTCTCAGCGGCAGGTTTGCGTGGTTTCACAATAGCTCTCCGTCGAAGTGGTCATCGTGAAGGCAAACGCCTCCTTCTACGCATTCTTCGACGGCTCTCCGAGTCTGACAATGTGTGCTTGGGTCGTATGACTGGACCGGCGGCTAAACATCTACACTCGGTGATTTGGAAGCTGCGTTCAGTTGACGATACTGTCGGTGATTGTGTAAATCAGGACTCCGTGACTATGCGTTTAGCTCGAGCCCTTTTGGAGCATCTACAACCACATCCTGGCACTCTCCTGGTCTGACTAATGTATGTCCCTTTTTACCTATTCTCCTATATTATTTGGATTAATGATACTTACGCAGTGACCTAAGATCATGTCACCGGTGTGACATTTTTAGACATCTTTTTAAATCCGATTTTCAAATGGTCCAATGTTCAACCGTCCACATCAATCAACTTGGATTCCTTGATCCCTTTACCCGCCTGCCACCAACTGTCAACATTTTTTTCAAAATATCGGTTTATTTGACAAAGGGACTTCTTTTCTTCTTCCCCTTCTCTCTCCTCTCTTATTTCCTCAGTAGTTACATTTGGAATCGCCACTTTGTTCTCTGTATGCATTTGATGATATTATCCAAGTGCCTACGTCTAATTAGCGCAAAGTCTGTTTCATAATCCGTAAATTGTGATATTTTGTGAATGCGCTGTGTTGTTCCAACCTGTAAATACATCCTTCCATTGTCTACTTCTCTATTTTGAAGAATTGCTTTGAGTTACTTGTTAGTTTTGGCGACTTTTCGGCCACGAACAGACGACGTCTTAGTCTGCCATCCAGTAAAGGCGATTAGAGGTTCACCAATCTGCGATGGAGGTGCCTACATGCGCACACACACACACACACACACGCAGACCTTTCAATCGAACCTCCGTGTGGATTGGATAGGTGGGTCTGTCCAATCACTGGACAGTCAACTGACACGTTGGCGCATTCGGGTTGTGTGTTCGGTCAGTTTTAAACAGCCTAGATGCTTCCTATAGTCATTTTCATCTTTTTTGTTCTTTTATTACCCCACAAGTTTTTATGTGACATTGACATTCGTGCCTTCTCCTACGAGACGGGGGTATATTCGCCTGACAATGAGGCTTTGAATAGGACCCTCAAAGGAAATGTCTTAATCATCGCGCATGTTGTTGGTGCAAGAAGAAAACCGTCAGGTGGAAATGAAGCCACTCATAGTCGACTGTTACTACAGATACTTCTTGAAGTGGAAAATTCCGTATCTCCTTTTCGAGGTCTACTTCTACGTAATGAATGGGGCACAGTGGAACGCATGATTCTGCCCTCTTTATACGATTCGTCCGATTTGCAAGTCAACTTTTTTAAAGCTCTTGCTGGCATCTTTAACTATCATTATGCATTTGTACCAGGCGTGGAATATGATACATCTGGAAGGTGTCAAACTTACTATGCTGAAGTGGAGAATGTGGCTGAGGCGTCAAGTCTGACCAACGTTATGGTCATTGACAAGCAGAAGGTGTTGTGTGAACCTCTGGGTCAACCAATAGATGCTGGTGTGTGGAGCGCATCTCCCATGCTGAAGGATAGTCGAATCACTCACAGTTGGATCAGATACTATCTGGAACGTAACACCGGTCTACTGATGAAAGCTATGACACATGAGCAACACAAAATTACCTTTTCTCTGGATCATGACACTTCTGGCAAGGCTGATATACAAGTTAGTGGAGCACAAACGCTCGAGGTATTGGATGAGGCGAGTAAGGAAAGAAAGAAGGTTATTCAGAAGCTGGGTGGTCTCCTAAAAACGACTAAGTCTACTGAATTGTCAACTGTAAGTTTTTTTACACAACTTCCAAGCACTTCATTTTCACCCCTCTACGTGAACTTGGCAGCAAAATTCCCCCATTTGCCATGCTACTTATTTCTGACTAAATTTTATTCAGTAGTATGGGCGATTGACGATTCTTATGGCTCGAATTATAAATTAAATTTTAGATGGCTACAGAACTGTTAAGTGGCACCTACAAAGTGGAGCACCTGGCACTTTCTATTCCCCATCAAAGCACTTCAACCGGTTGTGGTATCCAATCCGTGGCGTTTGAGGAGGAGACCCTCGAAAGTCCATCTGTTGCTCTCTCGTTGCGTGCTTTACAGGAGAAATTGAAAGATTTTGCAAAGGCTCTCGAAGTGTCTGCACGTATTTCAACAGCTCATGCTGCTCTCCAACTTATCCGATTTCTTCGCTGTCTTCCCGCCAATCAAGCCACCGTCCAGATTGTGGCCTTGGCACTTGAATTCATTCCTGCCTCGCATAGAGAATTAAATCGACAACTAGAATCTGGTTGGCATGCTCACCTAACTGACGTAGTCATTGACTGTGGCACGGATCTCTGTCTCGAGCTGGTACGACAGCGCCTTGTGAAGGTGACGGATTTAGCCGCTTTTGATAAGATTGGAAGCGCCGCACCCCGTGAGGTGCGTCCAATAAGGACCTACCTCTCCGATGTGCTGTGGCCTGCCATTGCTCATACCTCCAACCCATCGATGAAGATTTTGAAAGAATTAATTGCCATTTGTTATCATTCATTTCCTGCTATGGAGAAGAATAGTCTAGAGGAAGAAAATGACGCCGTAAATCCCTACAATTGCCTCTTAGCTATCGCCTCAATAATTCCCAAATTTAAGGGGAATTATGCTGAAGAAAAGTTACTGTTTTCCAGACTTGAGGAGACCCTGATCAATTTTATTACCCTTGGAAGTAAGCCCTATGATGATAGTAGATTGAATCGTCAAAAATTGTTGGCAACCTTTTCAGCAATTGAAAAAATCCGGTCAAGTGCCTTCTCCGAGGCTCTCATCTCTGTCATAGGTAATTCCAAAGTGCCGTCTGTCATTCGAGCTGTTGGTCTTAAGGCGCTTGGCAAGCTTGATTTGGTGGTGAATACAGCAGCTTTTGACAGGGTGGTTAGTAGCCTCAATGACTTTATTGATTCGCCAACACCAGGTCCATTTTTCCACAGCGCGGAGGAGGAATTAATTCTTAAATTTGGCGCTTTCTCTGTTCTTCTCAATCTTGAGATCCCCGCACCGGAGGTGGCTAGAATTCTCGCTACTTTTGGGGCAAAGAAACAATGGCCACTTCTGACAAGTTGTCGTCGACTTATCGACAATTGGTGTGCCAATGAACTCCTCTCCGAGGCGGAATGTCGGTGTGTTAAGTACGGTGGTGCCTACAACGCTGATGCAGGTGAAGTTGGAAGGCTACGTGGAACCTGTTCACCGGGTCTTGCAGCTGGATGGTCTGGTCTGGCTGGTACAAAAACTGCTGGTGAGGTGAATCTCATTCATGGCGATCTTTTGGATAATCGACCTTACTTTCTATCCGACTATTCACTTCAGTGGATTACCGGACCCGAGGGTGAGATTAGAGCGTCCAATCTCATCCTTAGTTTGATTGACGCAGAGAGTGAAGCCAAAGTACTGAGTTTTGACATTTATGGTGATCGACTTGCAGTCTTAATGGGAAAAGGCGATACTAACCGAACTCCCTGGCTGTCGATTGGCTTTTCTCTTCTTCGTGGAACCATTCCACCACGCCAGGTGTTCTCCGGCGGTTTCACAGATATCATCGATCTGCTTTTTTCAGCACCCAATCAACCAACACCATTTTTTAGTACAATCAGACTTCCTATGGATGTTAGACGCTACATTCCTCTGTCGTCCGGCTGGATTATAAAAAATGATTTAATGGGTGTCTCCTCTATTGAATTTTCTGCTGCTCTTAGTTCAAGCATGTTCTCCCAAAGTGGTACCGCTCTTATTCGAACTCGAGCGGCTGTTGTGCTAGAGAACCTCATAACTGTGATGACCTCATTCAATGAAAGCCTTCCTGTTATTTCTGCGGTTAATGGAATCGGTACAGCAGCACGTTTCGACTTCTTAATCCACATGGAAGTGGAGGGCATGCCCGAGTCCATATGTATGCACTTTCAACGCTCGCGAATGACACCACTCCTGCGGTGGGTCGGGAAATTTGCCGATTCGCCAATACTGGGTAAACGTACCACACTCCTGCGTCCTCTTCCGACCTCCAATGAGGGCTCCAACGATAATTACAACCTAACTCAATCCCTGCGCATTCCACCGGTGTCCTACTTTCTGGGTGGACTAAACGCCGCTCGATGTAAAAAAATTGGTGTCGAAAACGAGTGGAATTAGGTCCTTCCATGTGATACTGCGGCGCTCCTACTGCTTTCATTCCATTCCCTTGCTTTTTTGTAATCACTGATGATTTTACAAACAGTATATAAAGCAAATCTTCTCCACCATCTGTCTTTCTGAAGTGTTTTTGACAGGGAATGAGGAGGTGTAGGGGAATGTTAAGCATTCAGGAATTCTAGCTACATTAGACGCAGGCGAGATTTTTTAAGCAGCTGCTTTTGAGAGGAGAGATAGTGGACTAGCAGAAGTCAGATCTCTAGACAACACTATCGTAGCTTTAGTAGTCCCTTAGTTACACATAGTGATGAAACCGAACAAATTCTACTTTTTAAAGGTGGGTTCTCGTATCAGACAAGGTATAAACCGAAGATAAATAATCGGAAGAGAAACGAGTGCAAGCAGAAACTAGAGGCTGAATGTGTGGCGGTACATTGCGTTAGAAACGCGTGGAAGTAACAGAACTTCTCAAAAAATGTCTCAACGATGGGGGACTTAAACTGTTTTGGTGGAGCTAATTCACTACTCATGCAAAGTTTAGTTCACGACTTGGCGCCGTCCGAAAGCGCAAATTCGTTGAGTGGTCACGTTTGCAAGGTCAGAAATGGTAAGATTGAACATGAGCAGAAATTAGGCAAAACATTAACAGTATTACACTTATACTATTATTGTTATACGTTAACTGCTAACAAAACTCTGAGGAGGTTTCGTTGCAAAGTTGCTTACCGTACCCGTATACATATATCAATTATGGGTACCTGCGATACCTCCACCTCCATACAGAAAGACATGACTAGGCAGCCCTTAATCGCGAACAAAGTGGCAAGGAGAAACAGACACAAAACCCTAATCTTATTAACCCGTGTCAAATCCCGTCCTTCTTGTATAAATTTTCCTTGAGGCCAGTGTTCCTCCTTCTAGCTTTGGGCACGCGCAATAGGTAGCACAATTTTTAAACCCTGAATCCAGTTTCTACCCATGCGAAAAATACCGATCGAGTTGAAATATTAAGAGGAATCAATGATGTTACGATTAAGAATTGCCTCCGTAGCATAGCAGCTTGATAACTGATGCGAATGCTGCTTAGGCCTATCCCTTGAGCACCGATTGCATTGTGAAGGCTAAAACGATGGGCTGATCAAGGGGCGCGCTAAGAATAAAGCACAAAGTAGAAGAGGGTTATGTAATACACTGGTTGTCTGTTTATCTCTCGGTTTTGATAAAAGGCCAATCTGTGTTTCGGCTTTTGTGTCTTCGCTGGCATCTAGGTCATTTTGATAGCACCAACGCCTTCTTCTGGTAAAGTGAGTGCGTTATTTCGTCTTCGAGTGCAACAGTATCACCGTCAAAAATAACAGAATTTTGCAATTTCGTTGTTATAGTACTAACAAAATACCATCAAGCATATTAATTAAAAGTTTGCTAAATATAGTCTACGAATGGCATAGAAAAAAATGGGAATGCAGCAAAGCATTTATTGTGTTCAGCATTCATTCGAATTTATAAGGCATATTTTCCATGAATTGTGTGTCAAAATCCCAGCTTCCTGTCGTATTCACAGTGTTGTTTAAACAAGAAAAGTGATGACAGTTTAATGGGGTTTTAACATGCCACGGTATTTTAACAATACATTAAAAGTTTTTATTTCTGTGTTTACCTGCACAAACATTAAAGTCCCTCTAAGTTGTAATTCTGCAATGGAAATGCTCACTGGAACGACATAAGTTGTGTTCTCTTTCTTTACGGGCTTCTACTACAGATGCCTCTACGTAAAGCGACTACGATACAAAATCTGATTAGGCGTCAAAGGTGATTTGGTAAAAAATTGGCTAAGTTGTCAAAAAGGGAATATTATGCAGAATCACTCACTTAACTATGCCTTTTTGTGTAGCGCTTTGACGCTTTAGACCCACTTTTATTCAAAAAACACTTTTGAGCATGTCACACAGCTTTTTAACCTTGGATTCTTTAAACCCTATATCGAATAATGCCCCTGTTTTAATAGGTCTAATATCACGGAACGCATTTTGTTCTTACTGCTAAGTTCTGTAACATGTTTAACTGTAGTTACGACGGTTGTTCGGACGACTCATCGTCAACCGAGTATGCACCTTATTTACTTACCTTTAGAGATTCTTGTATTGAGATTGATGTAGAACGTGCAGATGAATTTGAAAAAAAGATGATGTACGAATTACAGTCAGATATTTGCTCATATTCCAAACAGTACCTCAGTCCGGAGGAAACTGACACAGATCGTGAGTTGTTTAACCTAACATTTTATATAATTGCATTATAATACTAGCCATGATTCATGCTTTAGGTCTCTTTTACTACCGTTTACAGCTGCGAATGCTAAAGCATCTGCGGAAAACGACCTCTTTTATGATTCTGATGAGGATAAGATCAATGCGGAATTCGCAAAGCATTTGCAAAAAGTCAGTCAAGGTGGTGAACTCGGTGATGGTAAAACGGATGCCGTTCTTAACTGTCCGGGATGCATGAGTCTCCTCTGCTTAAATTGTCAGAGGTTAGTAATCTGCTCGTCTCCCCAGCGGCACCTGCTGGGTTTTGTTTTTTGTTCGTGCAGTTGTCCTCATGATATGCGTTTAACAATTTAGACATTCCAAATACAAGACGCAATACAGAACAATGTTTACGTTCAATTGCAAAGTTGTGGGAGACGAAGTCCTTCACCCCCAGCCAAACAGTCATGATACGAACGCCGAGGGGAACTTGGATGAACAGAGTGTCTTCAGGCGGGTCCTGTGTGAAATCTGTGACACTCCTGTTGGCCTGCTAGATTCCAGCGGCGTTTACCATCTCTTTGGAGTGCTGGCAAGTCATAGCTAACGATCATGTGCTCGTTCTCCGTAATCTGATGTAGATTGAAATACTTTTTGTGCCAAATTTCTACCTTGTGCCGTCTGTGTATTTTGTGGTGGTAACCACCTGACTGAATGTCAGTGCTGGGACCGCGATCCAATTTACGCGGGCCATCAAACAGGAGAAGGCTTCAGAAAATAAGCAGGTCCGTTTTACGTGTCAAACACCTAAAGATATAGGTTTTACATCGATAAAATCAGGTAAAACTAAACTTTTGTACACAGCGGTGCGGCCAAATAATGTAGATCAATAAAAGAAGGCCTGTTGCTGTAGGAGCGTTAAAGCGTCAGGAGAGCTCGAAACCGGCATTACAGTGTATGGCGTATCGCAATTTATCTCGAAGGGTCGCTCGTGAAGCGTAGTTTGGAAGCTTGAGGAGGTTGAAGCACGTCGATGCCGATGGTAGACGGGCTTGCTCTTCACCGCCTCGACGACTACCGAAACCGAAGAATCCCTTCAAAACGGAACCCAATGTGTCACCCATATCCTGTAAAAGGGAATTTACACTTCTTTTTGATTGTTTACGTACAAAAAAACCGAAAATCGTAAGGGAAAAAAAGCTAACTTGGTCCTCATTTATGTATTGCACACATCGGATGCAGAAAGGCGGTTCCAGATACGCAAATCCCAGCAGCGGAGGCTTGGAACAACTTGTGACAAACTAAAAGAAACCATTTCCCCTATGAATGTCCACACAAACTTACCTTAAGGAAAAGACTTCGTTCCTCATCTGAGAAGTCCTTCTTCAAAATATCCCATAGCCAAGTTATGACTCTGTGGTTGCTGTAGAAACCGCCAGAGTATTTTGTGTGTTGCCTTTGTTATGGCAGAGGCAAAAAAAGAAGACATTTAGGGAAAGGATCGCACTAAGGATTATAACATCAACAACCCATCGTCGCGGTCATCACGTCAACGTACTTCAGATCCTCCAGATCAAAGTTGACCGAATCTCCAGATATGAGCTGTTGCAACTCCGTGGGCGAGAACATTGCCAACCACTCGGGATTAATAATTGAGTAGAAGCCTCGAATAAAGCTAGCTGTCTGTCCTCGAATCTGTTTGTACATCCGAAACATGGCCATTCGATGCACATAGCTGATTCTAGGCATAGGGAAGTGGGGAAACGGTTCATTCATTTTCCAGGACACTCGGTTGCTTTTTTAAAGTGTGAGACACATCACAGTGATAGGAGTAGCATCTGCTGCCTTCAAAAAGGAAAAGCACTGACAACTTACTTGAGATCATTGTTGACGGTGATGTAACGCCCACCGGGGACCAAGTCGTGAACCACTATTTGACCAAGGCAGTCCTCGTCGTAAGAGAATGTCAGCTCCAAGTCTGACACATCCCCCTCGTAGTGCTATAGGGGGAAACAGTTGATCACTTCTCCGCTCTACATGGCATATTGACGTCTGACAACCAGTAATGTCAACTTACTTTTATGTAAGTAAGGCTCTTGTAAAGATCTCTATCCAAAGTTGCTAGTTCGTCCAAAAAGCTGTAGCAACTGGCTCGTTGACGCCCCAGAACTTGAGTTAAAAAGAAGTTTGCGAATGGAACATCCACTATGATACCCTTTAGAAGAACAAAGAAGGGATTAGCTCAACGTTACAGCCTCCACTTTCTCCCTAGGGACCCAAAATATCAAGACTGCTTCAGGAAAACATAACCATCTAAAATGGGGAAAATCGTAAACACTTAAGCGACGACTGCCTATCAAAGACGCCTTCCAGCCAAAGTTTTGATCCTTTGTAGACTTGGACAGGGTGAAGTTGGTTCACTTATTGTGTTCAACGATTCCGAGTTTCTTACAGCATAGACGTTGGACCTTCCACCCACTGTCGGTGGAATCAGTAATTAGGCTAGGACTACGCGATATAGTTGACGACCAAACCGACAGTGGTGTAGCCTAGACTCGCACGTTCTGCAGCCCCTTCAGCTTGTCGATGGAGAAGGGTATCCTCGTTGAACTTACTTAGGCAACAATTAAGCACAGGTGATAAATTACCTCATAAACAGCTTTAGCTAAGAGCTTGCCAACGAACTCGAACAGTTGTAAGTGGCTCTCCTGAATATGCGACGTAGGGGAAGGGTAGAGGCGTTGATCAGATGTAGCCCGAAAAAGATTTAGGGTTGGATCAAAGACACGACGAAGAGTCTCCTCCAGAAACTCCTTGAATACCCCGTCCAAATCGATGCCCACTTCATCCAGACCCTGGATGGGACGGTTAGGGAAAAGGATTGACAGGCCCTACCAATGCGTTGATGAATTGGACACGAATCTTCATGCGTAATTGTGTAGGCGTGAGGTTAGCCAATTGTTGATAACCATCCTACAGATCAAGCAATCCACACGTGAGAAGAGGTCATCGCGTCGACAAGGTGGCAAGTGGATGACGTCTGTTACCTCGACTATACGATTTCGGTGTATCATAATGACAGTTCCCACCGCGGAGCTATCCAGCATGCAGTTTGTCTGTCCCAAGATTCCAAGAGCCGCCTTATCTGCTCTCACCAATTCGCGGAACAGTAGAACTCGCTGAAGGTGAAGAATAAGTAAACAAATGTGCGCTTTGTATGAGACGTGAAGGGCAAATTGGATGACACACCTCCTTCCTTGAAATGATGTGTGGTACGTGCTTGAGAAGGAATGTGGCGTGAGCTTTCTCCTTCCGTAGATCTGATATAAAAGCTGACGGCTTGACACCGCTGAAGTGAGAAAAGTGACAACTCCCTTCGTGTAGTCTGATGCATGTTAACTAAGGGCATTCGCCCCACCTCATCAACTAACCAGATGAGCCAGAAATTAGGTGGTGTAAATTTGCACCGACTATCACGGTTATAAAGGATTGCCAGTAGACGCAGACAAATGGAGAAGAGGGTGGTGGTGGTGTTGGAGGTGGACAATTGAAGACATTCCGAGATCCTAGACGAGTGTGGATTTTGTAATTCCAGGACTTTTGTAGACGAAGAGTTCTCGAAGGAAACAGGTTGAATGAGTGAGGTTGCTGAAAAGGAAAAAGTTGTTGCTCAACCCCTTGAAGTCATTAACAGTTAAATGGAAAGGTTAAGCTTGGCGTAGGGGGGGGGGGGGGAGAAGAAGTGGAGAGAAAACAACTTACGATTAGATACAAGGAGGACAGTTTCATAGATGAGATAGTTGAAGAAGTCCGCAATCGCCAGTAACTCCTCAATTTCAAAGGCTTTGTGCTTCTCAAACACCTCTACGTCATCCAGAATTCTGAAGAAAACAAAAATAGGGGTTCAACATCCTCTGAAATGCACCCCCCCCTTCATGCCATCGTCATGGAGCCACTTTCAACTACCGAGACGAGTGATGAGTAAACAGGTAGTATTTTCACATCTAGAAGGGAGTGGAAGACCACTTACATAAGGAGGTTAGAGGTGGCAGCAGCAAAGAGATGTAGGAGGTGGGAGGAATGAGGTGCCAACTGCCATCCAGCTTTGGGTAGGGTGAGTAATGGTGCCCAGTCCTTGATACTTCCGGCACAACTGATCAGACGCCACATACGCGGCAGTAGATCCCCCAAAGTTAGACCTGTTTTAAGCATTACAAAGACAGCTTTTTGGTGTCAGTCTAGTCTCAAATCAATCCCGAGGTGATGTTTTCAAAAGAGGGAAGGTGGTGGGGGAGGGGAGGGAGAAGAAAGAAGAAACCGCCTTGTTTGAACCCCAAAAAACCCACTCACCTCATGCTCAGTGCCTCGAGACGACGACAGTAAGTTCGATAGAAAAAAGACTGACAGAGCTTGACAGCTGTAGTTACATAAAATTATTGATTGAATAATTATTGATTAATTACCAATTAAAATCAATAACCACGTGTAAAAGGAGATTTTTTGTTCCACTTTTCCTCCAGCTGAAAAATGAAGAAGAGTATTTTCCTCCTACTCTGGATTTGTCTGGGTGAACAGCAGAGAGGACTCAGTACAAGCATACCCATTGTACAGAAGGCGCCCCTCCTACCCCACTTCAATAAGGACTTAAGCCAGGTCTTGACCGAAGGAAACCGCAATAAAGCACTGATAGCTGCCATAGGCAATGCCTTCATCACGTGGCGAGAGAATGAGCCAATAGAATTGAGGATAGAGTACTTTTGTAGGACGGATAAAGAATGTCATGGAGATTTTCGCCTCAATGGCTCGCAAAAACTAATCCAAATTGAGAGCTTCGATGCAGGCACTGCATTAGAATCCACCGTAACAAACAGCCGCGAGACGTACTTCGCGCTGCTACGACTTGTGCCACGTCGTGAACAGGGTATTGCAATCATCGTCTTCCAACTCATGGTAATGGAGAATGTGGCCTTTGAAGGTCACGTTAGTAGCCAGTACATGGTGCATCTCCAGCCACCCCACAAACGAGTTCTAACACATGGATGCAAATTTAGGGTACAGGCCTACAGTAAAGCCAATCTCATGATATTTCACTTAAATCCCAACTACTTCATGCCCACTGGCATTAAATGGCAAAAATTTGTGATCTACAAACGTGTTAGTGTGAAGAAAGCGCCAGCCAATAAGTACATCTACGTACCTCTCATTGTGATGACCAGATCACCCTTCAGTACGATTCCACTGACTTTCTACTACTTCAAAGAAGTGACAATCGAGTTAGGTGACAAAGGCAAACTATTGGTGAAAGGGACAACTGTAAGTTGATCCAACAGGTCTTCATCATAGGCATTAGGGAGAAGAGAGTAGGAACACGTACAACTTGAATTTTGACACTCAAAGACTGCCATGTTATATTTACAGGGAAATGGACTAAACCTCCACGACTGTGGGATGTACACGGTGCGTTGGTACACCTACGAAAGGCGACATGTGGTGGACGAGGAGTGCGAGGACACAAGCTACGTGGCACTTTGGAGTCAACCTCCACCCACCGGACCCATCTTCGCGCACACCAAACGCGAAGTACCCGAGGAGTGGACTTTCGATCTGAAGGAGTTGCAAAACGCAGTGATTAAAGGTCCCACCTCTGCCCTCGTGGCCTGTGTCTGGACAGATGTCTTTCAAAGCATCCCCAAAAAAAGGAACTTTGCCCTTGTCATAACCAGGTGAGTGAGAGAAAAGCACTGACTGACTAACTAACCAACTCCATGATTTGGTATCTTACTTGTGATTACAGACGCGCTTTCTACTCCGAAGGGGAGGAGTTGGGATTTATGATGTACGCCTACCTCGTGACCTTCACGAAACCCTCTCTCGAGGGTTACGCCTGTTACACAGAGTCAATGGCATTAGCAGGCATGCGTCCCTACATTCCATTTCCCCAAGAAAAGTCCAAATATAGTGTCAATCCCACCGTCTCAGTTAACAATCGCCACTTACGCTTTACAATCCGTGCTGACTATATTTGTGAGAAAAAAGGAACCTCCAAGCCCTTTACTGGAGTCGCCGCCAGTGAGAGCGACGCTGGGTATGCAATTTCACTTCACTACTGATTGACTTCTACGAAGGTAGATACATAATCGAGAAAACACATCCCTTTTCCCCAACAGTTACCTCAAAACACGATCAGATAAGCCTATTGGGAAAAACTTATGTGAAAATCCATATCAAAGTACCGATATCACCCTGCCAAACCATCTACCATGGACACAAGGCAATATTCTAAAGTTTCAGATTCATCTGACCAGAGGAAGTGTGGTACGAGTTGTTGCAATTGACGCCAACAATCGGGTCAGCGTGAAACCCCGGAATGCACTCTACACCCAAGAGGTGGAAGTGAGATGCTTTGAGAAGCGACTTCGTCTACTGGTAAAAAATGGTATCAACTTTGAGTTAGAGTACCTGGAGATGTCTGGAGAAGTAGGACCTAACAACTACCTTCCAATTGCCTCCTACACACCCGAATCTGGCTATGAGGTGAACAAAAAGGTGAGGAGAACAAAGTAAATAGTCACACCGATAGACTGATTGACGGAAAGAGGCATTTGATGTACTTCTCTTGCAGAATATTGACAGTTCGGCAAAATTAAGGGGCAGGTCAAATGACTACCATTCACTGACATTGACCGCGATGGCGTACCATTTACACACCTTCCATGGATTCCGTTGTCGCATGAAATTTCGCAAAGACGACCTCCCCGAATACGAGATGGTGAACGCTGGGCCAGTGTGCTTTGTGCGTCGACCACCGCCGATTGAGATGACTGTGGACGACATCACTGTGCCCACGGTGGAGGATGAGTCGATTCTTCAAAATAGGGAACTGCAAATCTTCCAGACCACGTGCATTCAACCGGAAACACAACTAATCTTTACATGTAGCCAGTGGCGTGAGATGGAGACGTGTGACGATCTACACACTGTTGATAGCGTCTACAATGTAGACACCGATTTGATCATTTACAATACAAAAAGGCGAGAGTATATCGTACAAAAACCCGTATTTGATCGACTGGGCAGAGGACGAGTTGACATCCCCACCGTGCCGTATGATTGGCATATTGCAGAAGCCGTCTGCCATCGAACAATACGTCTCGCGGACAACATCTCCCACATCGTCATCGACCAGTACTCCTCCGCCGTGCGACTATGCGTAACCCAGATAAAATTCCGTTTCTACTTAGCCCACACGGGGTTTGAGTGGAACACGGGACTGACTATGTCGCTGGAGGAGATGATAGGAATGAATGCTGTGACGGAGATAGATACAGATGAGGTGCATGCAGTGGATGTGGGCTCGGCGGTCATCTGTCGAGTGAGAGATAACATTCGTGTCAATAACACGGAAATAAAGCAACGAAATATAGGGCTAGACAATGGTACGCAGACTGTAAGAATGTTCAGCTATGACAACGTTTCAATCGCAATCATAATGAATGTGGATTACAAAAAAACGACCACCTATGCAGCGCTTTTGTGTCAAACAAGAAGGCTGAAATCACAAATAGTCGAGAGATCAGCGGTGAGTAAGCTAATGTTAGACATGTTCATTGAAATTTAGGTTTTATGGCTGGTAGTTCGTGAGTCAATCCTGAGGGATAACGGAGCCAGGGAACTCAATGATCTCATTGTCTACTTGCTGTTGACGATAACCGCTGGTCTTTTGATTGCTGCCTCCTGTCCACTCATTGCTATGTTAAGTCAGAGGAGGCAAAGTCGTCAAAGAGCCAGGCATCGGAAGGCAGCCGCCAGAAAACTTAAACGTCTTGACTACCTCAGAGAGGTGGGTAATAACTAGCAACAGCTCTGTTGAAAACTTGTCAGGGAATTTTATGCTAGGCAAGGAAAGGATGCTTGTATGACTTTTCTTTTCCTACTTTTCAGATCGGGTTACACAAGCATGATATAAATACAGAAGTAGCCAGAAAATTAAGTCCTAGAACAAACATGTTCACTCTTGAGCATGGGAAAAAAGATCACGAAGCGGATGAAATTTCCCCTGCTAGAGAAATACCCCAAGCAGAACCTCAGGATGAGGCATGAACCCGGACGGAATTGCACAAATCACCAATGTATCCTATGTTTAGAGTAATTTAATGTTTAACCTGTAGTGGACTTCAATATCATTTGCATTTTTGGGGGGAGGGAGAGGAGGATCAGGATTTAAAAAAGTTTGAAGAGTGTAAGAAGACAAAAAAAAGGTTATCTGGAATTTCATAACCCAACTGACCAGCCAGAATGTCGTTACGAATCTCTTTGAGTGATCCGATGGTAAAGCAGTACAGCATACACACCACTTTAATGCTGTTTGGTAAATTCTCAGGTCCGGGTGTCCCACTCTCCCGAGGCCAATGATGGTGGTATTTGAGAGGCGTGCCTACAGCACTACCTAAGTCACCCTTCCGTACGGGTATACGATTTTTGAGTTGACGTAGGAAGGCGCTCAAACCAAGACGATCGGAAAAACCCCTTCCATGATGCCGAGATACGAAACTGGGCGGATTGGCGGTTAGAAGACCTTCCACAGATTTCCTCTCGCTAACTGTGTGCTCGGTAAATTTGAACCTAGGCGACTTCGCAGCACTGATGGAGATGGAAGTTGATGGGACTGTTGCGTTTGTTTGCTCGGATTCGCCCAAACCTTCTTGCTGATAGAGATCGGCAAATAAAAGACGCACCATTCGGCCATGCCACAGAAGACGCAATTGACTTGCCACATGAGGTGCAGAAGCCTGAAGACTAAATTAAATAAAACAGCATTGAAGAGACACTAGGATTTTACCCCATTAGTAAAAAAATAAGATTTCTCACTAGTTATCGAGTGGTTTGGAAAACCAGCCCAGAATTGGATGCCAACACGTGAGATTGGATTTCTTCTGTCCAACAAATCCACCTAACAGATCAAGCAATCTTGAAAGAACAATCTATGAAGAAAAATAGTCATTCTAAGGTTACTGTGGGGGAAACAGCCTTACATCAGTTACAATTTTTTTGAAGCCATTAAAAACAATACTAAAGCACTCCAGAAAATAGTCACGTGATTTGTATGAATAATGTCAAAAGAAAATGTCTGCGTGAATAGCAGGATGAGGGAGTATGGAGAGACATACGCAAAACTCTTCACAATGATCCACGAGAACTTCAACTTCCAGTAGACTCAACTGGATCAGATTAGCTGAAATGAGGAAAATGATCGTCAGTCAAGCTCGTCAGGAGGACTTGTTTCGATATGCATGAAGAAGGAAGGCGACAAACGATGTGGAAAAGCTACAATATTGACGCTACACAAGGCAAGTTTGAGAAGCGATTTGTGTAAAACAGAACAAAAATACAGCACATTCAAATACCTATGAGGCAGAGAGCGTAGGAGCCCTCCAGACCACAATCTACGATAGATTGATTTGGTAGACTCTTATACAGATAGGTAACAACACGAGAGCACAATTTCTCCCGAACAATTACATCATAAGCCTAAAATCGAAGAAGCAAAAGGTGTAATTCATTTTGAAGGTAGATAGAAAAGGCCTTAACTCTAAGCGATACGAGAAAAAAAGGGCAAAATTAGTCATGAAGTGCCTGAACCCTTCTTAGCTATCCCCCAAGGGACCACTACGATACGCTAGCTATTACCTTTCATAGGATTTAACTCACTTCACTGGCAAGGGAGTTTATATGCAGAACAAAGCCAGGCACCGAGAGAATGTGAACCACGAAGAGAGAAATACATTCTGGCGAGAAGTTACACAAAAGTAGCGGTCTGAAATATGGGAAAGGGGGAGAATAAAAGAAACGTAGGATGAGCCACTCAACACATTAGATCATAACTTGAAAAAGACAACAAATTGGGGGTGCAATAATAACCTACCGAACAGCTAAAGAAAATATTCCTGTTAACGAAAGCGGAGTAAGGACCGGTATGTGAAGTGCCAGTCCTTTCAACAAGAGTTGCTAAACAGATAAAAGCTGAGACAATCACACACCTTCAGAGCCGGATATAGACCATGAACTACCAGATCCTTGATAAAAGAATCAGTTATAGCCACTAGACCTGGTTTCATCTTGCTATCTAAAATAAAGGAGACAAAATAGTATTGCAGTCTCCTGGATGGAAACTTTTGGAAACATACCTCTAAGAATTTTCCACTGATTACAATTCGTCATGGTAAGTACGAACGAGAGTAAAACGTTCATCATGTTGGAGTCCGATTCGTTAGCCGGCTACATCATGAGATGATTGAAATGCACATTACGTTTAGGACTCCAAAATATTTAACACAGACGGATAGAATCCAACGCGTTTGTGAAATCCACACAATTAGATAGTCACGACTTTGTATCAGTGATAAAAACGAACACTTCTAATAAGGGTATCAATAACGAGTAACCTCAAACCTCGTCACATTTACTCGTCGACACCAACAAATATCGACAAATGCCTTCAAAAATCTACCAGAGTAAATAAATTATTTCATAACCTCTCTGTCGAAGTCCAGCTTAAAGCTGTACTTCATCTTATTGATTAATTTTGATAGTGAAACAGCTTAAAGATGAGAAAAGTTAAAGAAACAAACCTGAGTACGAGACATCTGAGCGGCTGCCACCAAGTGTGGAACCAATAAAGGCGCAGCAATCTGCTCTAAGAACCTCAGCTAAATGTTTCCTTGAATTATAGCCACGCCAATATCTCTAATTCCCAAATAAAACCTTCTACTTGTACCTGTATACATAAGGCAGCATTTCGTCTTTCCCGTTCACCCTTGCGCTGCTCCCTATCACGCTTCTGCTTTTCGACAAAATCTTTAACGCTTGGCTTAACCTCCGCAAACATCCAGACACCAAAAAACCGTAGAATGAAAATGTCCCAATGTGGCCTATCCTCCGATAGAACGCCGGTTCAAATTAAACACTCTTACGAAAAAATTATAAGAATCGATGCCATATAGTGATATTTAGAAAATGGAAAAAAACCTTTTTGTTTCATTAGGTGCTTTAAACATTGCTTGTTCTTTTTCAATTTTGAGTAAAACTTAGCGAATTATTTCTTTTAAAGGAATCCCGGTGACATTAGAACAGCACCAATTACAACTTTTTATTTTCTTTAAAACTTTCGTTAAAAGCTAAAAATTAGGTTTTTATGAAAATTATTTTGAAAAAAACCAATTTTTAGATTGTTTTTCCTACTTACGGCGTAACCACCACATTTGAACTTTTCGTGTCATTCTAATGTCCAGTCGTCATCGTATTGATATTGGTGGAAGTCACAGGAAATCAAAGTAAGTATATCCCTTCCTTCCAGCTTTAGGTTTTCTGATTGTGATAATTCCAGCGAAAACTCTCGTTCCCGTGACCGCTCACCAATCGGTGTTGTATCTAATTCATCCATTCAGATAAATCCCCATACAGGTAACGTTTGCTCCATATATTCTTCTAAAAAGAATCGCGATTTCCTATTGCAGTTTTTGTTTTGAGTAGGCGCGTATTTGAACCGCTTTTACGCCTAATAGTTTTCAACAATGAGGTTGTTTTGCTCCTAAAACAATTGTCCACTTGTCCATACCCGATGTTGCCCATACTTCCCGTCTATCTTTTACTTCCTGTGTGATGTTAAGGCTTGGTTTGATATTGTAGTGTTCTTAGCATGCCCGGTTCTCTCTGATTTGATAGTTGTTCCTCTAAAGGCTTCTCCATAGCTCATATGCTTTCCAACATGGTCCAAATTTATTCATTTGGACAACGCTGACTCTTTGCATCAATGCGTATGCGACTTATTTTGATTGAACGTTTTTGCTGCAAATTCTGACTAACTTAACAGTATGCGTGAAGGTCCGTCATGGCGGTCTCTGTAATATTGACAGCATAAAATTATTTCACTGCATCCATTTCTAGGTCTCCAGTATAGTCAACGCTACTTTGATATATTTCGAAAGCGAATACAACTGCCTGTATGGGAATATAAAGATCAATTCTTCAAAGTCCTAACAGACAATCAAGTGACTGTTCTTGTTGGTGAGACTGGCTCAGGAAAAACAACACAAATTCCACAATGGTGTTTGGAATGGTTAAAAATTCGCTATTCGTCAAGAAAGTGTGTTGCATGTACTCAGCCTCGTCGCGTTGCAGCAATGTCCGTTGCACAGCGTGTGTCTGAGGAAATGGACTGCCAGCTCGGTAATCAAGTCGGTTACAGTATTCGATTTGAGGATTGCACCTCAAATAATACCGTACTTAAGTATGTAGCATTTGTTCATTTGGCTGTTTGGAATCACACTCCGTTTGGGCCTCTTGAATGCAAATTTTTTTTAAGGTATATGACAGATGGTATGCTACTTCGTGAGGGCATGTCCGATCCACTCTTGGAGAACTACGGGGTTATCCTTTTGGACGAAGCTCACGAACGTACACTTGCTACGGATATACTTATGGGCCTACTGAAAGAAATCATAGGTCAGCGGCCTGACCTAAAGATAGTTGTAATGAGCGCAACCCTTGACGCTGGCAAATTTCAGGTGGGTGTACTGTACATACTTTTCTGTTTGATTTTGGACTCATTTGATACGCCTTTTCTTTATCTTTGTGTAGGATTATTTTGATAATGCACCCTTGCTGACCGTGCCTGGCAGAACTCATCCGGTGGAGATTTTCTACACTCCAGAACCTGAGAGGGACTATCTGGAGGCAGCGATTCGGACGGTTATTCAAATACACGTGTGCGAGGAGAGTGAGGGCGACATCCTCCTCTTTCTAACTGGACAAGAAGAAATTGAAGAGGCTTGCAAACGCATCCAACGCGAGGTGGAGTCTCTCGGAGCAGATGTGGGTGAATTGAGGTGCATACCACTATACTCCACGCTTCCGCCGAATTTACAGCAGCATATCTTTGATCCTCCACCACCACGTCGTAAAAATGGTGCAGTTGGCAGAAAGGTTTGATTCTTTTTGATTTCATCGTTTTTATCCTATGTTATCCCTTTAATTGTGCCCGTAATATGTTTTTTCAGGTGGTTGTATCTACAAACATTGCCGAAACCTCCCTTACCATTGATGGAGTTGTGTTTGTGATTGATCCTGGCTTTGCAAAACAGAAGGTGTATAATCCAAGAATTCGTGTAGAATCCCTCCTTGTCACAGCAATCAGTAAGGCTTCCGCTCAACAGCGAGCCGGACGAGCTGGACGAACACGCCCAGGCAAGTGTTTCCGTCTCTACACGGAAAGAGCCTATCGTCAGGAGATGCAGGACAACACCTATCCGGAGATCCTCCGCTCCAACTTGGGGACGGTGGTGCTGCAGCTCAAAAAACTAGGCATTGATGATCTTGTTCACTTTGATTTTATGGATCCACCAGGTAGTTTTACATCGACATTCTTTAATAATCACTTAAGGAAGAGTTACCCTCAACTCCTCCTTTATTTCAGCTCCGGAGACGCTTATGCGAGCACTGGAGTTGCTAAATTACTTAGCAGCTCTAGACGATGACGGCAACCTAACAGATCTCGGTAGTATGATGGCGGAATTTCCTCTGGATCCACAGCTTGCAAAGATGGTGATCGCTTCTTGTGATTACAACTGCTCCAATGAGGTTCTGAGCATCACTGCCATGCTGTCAGGTATGTCTCCTCGTCCTATTGTTCTGTTGCGGTTCTAACCAATTCTCTTACTCATCGCTTTACAGTACCCCAGTGCTTTGTTCGGCCAGCCGACGCAAAAAAAGCTGCTGATGAAGCAAAAATGCGGTTCGCCCATATCGATGGTGATCATCTAACCCTGCTTAATGTCTACCATGCATTCAAGCAAAGTGAGTAGTTGCAGAAATTCCTACACGGCCTACCTCCTTCACATCATGCGAGGCTGTATGACTCCGAAAGTTGGCCTTTTTCTGATATCCTCCAATTAGATCAAGAGGATCCTCAGTGGTGTTATGACAACTTCATCAACCTCCGGTCACTCAAGTCCGCTGACAATGTACGTGTTCAACTGTCACGCATAATGGACCGATTCTCTTTGCGGCGTTCGAGCACCGAATTCGCGTCTCGGGACTACTACCTAAATATTCGCAAAGCCCTGGTCTCCGGCTTCTTCATGCAGGTCACAACTTCTTTTTACACCTCGATAGACTCATAAATTGAGGGAGAAAGAATGCCTCTGACCTCTCACTGGCCGTTCTCTGCGCCAGTCATTTCTTCTGTCTGTCTTCTCTAGGTTGCGCATTTAGAGCGGACAGGTCACTACTTGACGGTGAAAGACAATCAAGTGGTACAGCTGCACCCCTCCACTGTCCTTGACCACAAACCCGAATGGGTGCTCTACAATGAATTTGTTCTTACCACCAAAAATTACATCCGAACAGTCACAGAAGTTAAACCGGATTGGTAAGGTCTAGAGATTTCGCTGTTGACAAATCTTCCCGCAAAAAAATCGTAGAGTCGTTTCTGTTTTATTTTTCTTTTTCTCCCATCTTTTGGACATCAGGTTGATTCGGATAGCACCGCAGTACTACGATATGACCAACTTCCCTGAATGCGAGGCAAAACGCATTCTCGAGCGATGCGCTCACCGAATAGCCCAACGTCAGCAGAAGAAACAGCAGGAGGAGGAAAATAAATCCGAAGAGGCTCAGCACTAACTCCCTTCGGAGATGCATTTTATGGTAGAAGTGAAAAAAAAAATAAACTACTCATCCCCTGTAAACGTGGAATTTGCGGACACATGTAATTTTTTTATGGATATGTTTTTATCCACGTTGACTCCTAAAATAGGCATGACAGTGTTAAACGATTGCACCTTCAATTTCATTGCATCGAATCGCTCCTCGGGATTGCGATTTAGGGCGTTCGTGAGGAGGTCAACTGCGTGTCTACTGATGCATCTAAAGAGCTCACTTTGGGAAGTATATTTTAAGTTGTTCTTTTTTGCACGCTCACCTATTCTCAATGTCGAAAGGCCTCATTCTAATAGCCTCGAAGACATCATACTTCGTGAGTCCATCGTAGAGGAGCTGTCAGCGCCGCTGAAACATCCGATTAGTTGGTATTTACCTTTCCGGTGAGCATAAGTGCTAGTGTAATCCCCAGAGCCCAGATATCTGCTTTCTAGTGGAGGCGACTCAAAACCTATCTATGCGTGCCTTTACCTTCCCTGAATAGGCTTCTCCTGTACCCTGAACGCATTCAGGAGCAAGGAAGGCCGGGGTTCCAATGGTACCGCTAACTTGGTCATCACCTTGTAATTCAAGCACTAAACTGGAACCAAAGTCAATCAGCTTGCTAATAAGTGGTACTACGTCGGATACTAACCTGTATTTCATTGTTGTTGTCGATCATCATATTCTCCGGTTTTATATCTCGATGTATAACACCGATAGAATGAACTTTAAGGGATCGGGGCATGCTACTAACAAGTGGTCAGTAGGAAGGGGGTGGGTGTACAGTGACTGCTGATTACGTACTGTAGGTAACGGCATCAAGCATTCCGTGAAAGTACGGCAGACATTCATGCTCGGGTAAATTCTGTCGTCTATAAAGCAAATTTTGAAGAGACCTTTAAACAACGTCGAGGCAGCGGATTTAGCGTTACCCGTTAGGAAGGAAAGGAAAGGCTAAAATACGACAGAGTTGCCATTCAAATGCAAATTTACCAAGTCCTTGTGGTCCACCAGAGGGGCTTTGATGAATCCCAATCAATGGTATAATATTTTTATGTGAAAGTCTTTTGTGTATGTTGTACTCATTTGCTAGTAGCTCTAAATGGAGTGAATTATGAGTCCATGTTGAATACCTGCGATTCTGAAGTATTTAATGAACTAAACCAGGCAATTAGTAAAATAAAAGCGCCCATTATCACGTACGTAGCGATTGCGACTTTTGGGTGACGACCGGGGTGGTGGTGCATCAACATCAGATGTCTATAAAACGAAGGTTTTAGGTGCCTCATAAACCCCCCTTTCCTCCCCGTTCTCCCAAAAACAAAAACAATTGCAGACAATAAATCTTTAAGAAGGCGTACACTTTGTTCTGAAGTCTCGGCAGCATCAATTGGTTGATAGTAGATAACTTTGGAGATGTATGGACCTTGTTTTGCATATTCCATTTGGAACGAGTTCGTGACGCAAGAAAAGAAAGAGCCTAGATTATGCGATTTCGGCAGGTACAGTAAATACCTTTATCCTATTTCCCGCACAGGCTAGAATGTGACAGGGTCTGAGTCACCCAATCGTCCTAGGTACGCGTAACTATGGTAACTGAGACACTTTAAACCTCGGGTGTCTATTACCACACTTAAATGTGCGCCTAGCCAATCAGGAAAAAAAGAGGCTCAGCGCAACCACCAAAATGCCCGAGAAATTAGCCAAGATGTAAAAACACCCAGAAAGTTGAAAAAAAAGTTGTTCTGTGATTGCAAGCATCCCAGACACCCATTAACTCCCATGACCAGTTGCAACAACGGCTTAAAGACGCAAAATTGACGTCTAATGAGGCCCTCACGCGGATATACCCCACGGGGCTGTACAACCATCTCACTCGGTGAAGGCTGGATCCAGAATTCAAAAAAACCCACTAAATATTACATGATGGGAGAAAGCCGTCGTTAGTACCTCTAGACAAACATACGAAATTCAAATCACGTCACAAGCACGCCCACACGGGAAAGCGACATTAGGAGTGTCTCAAAAGAACATGATGGTATATATTCCCCATTTTTACAGAAAAAAATAGTCCGCCAAGTAATCACAAAATATGTAGATCATGCGTTAAGAATTTCTCAGTAGTAAACGATCTTCAATGCTTCATCGTTTCATCTCCTGATCCTTTAGGTAGGCATCAAAAAGGCCACGAGCACGACTGAGGATGCTCCCCAAATTGTGATGTTTATTGTAGGTTTGAAAAAGATGAAATAAATCACAGACTTCATGAACATGTTCCAAAATTTCTTCTCTGTACTCCAATATCATAGAAACACAGATGAAAAGAAGGAAAGGATTACTACCTCCACCCATTACATCAGGTGAAGGTAATTCTACAACCCAGTCCTTCATATGCACTGGATCGCCCTCATGGATGGACGTGGACTCTCGACTTTTGCGATTAGGGGAAGGTACTGAGGGGAGAAAAGTGACTTTTTCAGTCCCGGCAGTGTATGGAGGATTGTATTTAAATTCATCACCAACCAGACTGTTGATCAGATTTGTATCGCACTGAGTGTAGTGCGTTTCCTCCGCCTCAAAGACAATCGAGGACTGCTCAGTGGAGAGTTGCGAGTACAAGGTGGTGGAGCCCACATCAGACCAAGTAGAGGCAACAAGCGCAATAGCTGCCCATTGCACCTCGGAGATGTGTAAAGCCTCTTCAAAGGGAAATTCGCGAATAAGCTCGAGGAGAAGCCAACGCTCCGTGAAAAACATATTGCCCAGATTATGAATACGCAAAAATTGCGCCATATTGTAGTCTGTATAAACAAGGAGATCATGCAAATGCTGCATTTGAGTAATCATTGTTATTTGATCATGTCCTGGAGCAAATTTCGGTGCCAGACGTCGCATCAGGGCGCATAGGCAGACGTAAGCTGCACCCTCCCCATCCTGCACATAGAGGAGGAGACTTGCAAGGTTCGACATGCCTAATGAAGTAAAGCTGCTGTCTGTCAAGTGTCAATCAGCCAATACTATCAACAACAGCCGAATGTACAAATTAGACAGACAGTATTAGTTAGTAGTTACCCTACCTTGGTGGTAGCCAATTCCGGGATGGTAAATTGCATATGTGGCAAGAATACTAAAGAGCTGAGATATTCTTTGATTTTTACCGTCGTTGTGGTAAAATGGATGGTCTAATTGCCAAAGAGAAAGAAATGAATATGATGGCAACATAGATGCAAACCAAGAGGAAACCCAAAGACGCCAAACTTACTACGATCCGTACGGACAACATCAACACTAGCCAAGGTTATTGCATTGACCTGGGTCTTGGTCAATCGACCCTCTCGGTAGGCCTGTTTCCAAGCCTTTTTCAAGAGCTTATATTTCTCAATCCTACTATGCAGTAACGCCATACGCTCTTTCCCACTTAACTCAGGTGGGTATATCTTGAGGAGGATGCGCCAAGCAACCTTCCGTAGGCTAGCGTCCATACCACGAAGGTAGACATTCTGACTGAAAGATAAGCGACACAAAAAAGTCGCAGAATAGTAGAAAAATAAAGAGCTACATTCTTCCGCTTTATGAATGCGAATTTTTACGGGAGAAGTTTCCTACGTTTTAATGACTTTTTGAAAATGAAAGTATCAAAGTACATTTAAGACAGATACAACCAAGCTCGTAAGGTGTTGATAAGTACAAATACGTGATCAGTTGATGAATAAACGCACTAAAAGTCGAGAGGCTGCACAATTCTTCCAAAGCCATCCATGTAGCTGCGGAATTCTGCCTCCGAAAGAGGTGGACGAGAAGGCAGGTCACTCCTGAAGTCTAAACAAAAAAAAGGAAAAAGGGTGTAGAAAGTTACCTAGCTGGCACTTTTTGTACTCGATCTCGGAGGCCAGGCCAATGTCTTACGAGTCAACCCGCATGCCGGTGGTGTGTGCACTGCCCATTTCTTTCTGTTCACTTTAGAATTTTTCCCTTATTACGCCTTTGGAAGTCGGTATCCCAAATGAAGGCGTAATGCTTCATTAACACAAGTTAAAAACGATAAGATACCCTAATGTGGCTAACAAAATATGCATTAAATAGTGAAAGACAGTAACTTTAAAAAAATCAGTGTGGAGAAATACGCTTAATGCCGACGCAGGCAATTAGAATAACACGCCTCCTCGGAGTACAGAAGATGGGTGAGAGCAGGTGATGCGACTGAATGATTTAGCGAAATGAAATAGCGAGCAAGCAAACTTACTTATGACCTTTTCGAGCGAAGTGACCGTTTTCACCAACTGTTGTGAGACATTTTGTAGAAATCTTCCACTAACCCTTGCAGCACGGAGTGTGGAGGCTAGGTAGCCAGTAGAGACTGAAGGAGACCACTTGGGGAATGAGCTAGGTGTCACAGGTTGTGATGATAGGTAATAAGGGCTTGGACCGCTCATGTTAGCAACCCTAGCCACCGAGGCATCCTGAGGATGCGAGACTATCACCTCATCGCTGCTCACAATATCCCAGCTTTCTGACAAGCGGAAAGGAATAGACATTTTTCATATTTTCTTCCTTCTGCATTGCAATGTATAAGTTTTAGGGTAGGGTAATGAAAAATGGGTAAATGTCACGAGAAAACACCAGGTGGTTAACAATGAATGCGCAAAAACTTAAACTCGAGCTGAAACGATAGCGCCTGCCAACCGAAAAGTTTCTGTAAAATTATTCGTTTCCTGGGTGGATAAGGAGGGCAATAGATGAAAACTAACAAGACATGGGAATGTGAAGATATTTAAGATACTGACAACAAAAATAGGTAAAAATGGGATCAAAGGCTAGATTGTCCCATCAAAACAGCTTTGGCGTTTGTTTTATCTTCTACGCTGCGACGAAAAAAAGTTTTGAGAAGTTGGCCTAGAGATTTCCTGATAACTAAAGAATTGAAATTAAAGTTTTTTTGATCTGCAAGCAGTAGGTCAAACACAATTCAACGACAGTGTAAGATCTATATTGAAAAGATATTAGAGGGCCTACGAAACGATTAAGCTTGCTCAGTCAGTGAGTCACCACAAACAAACCCACCATCACTTTTGGGTTTGGCCTCAATGAAAAGTCGAAGAGTGCAGTCGGTGCAATGGGATAAAGCCTTGTGGAGATCGATGTCTGATTGGAGGAGGGATTGGAACTGTTCGCCGTACTTGTCTCTCGTCAGGTAACTGATAGAAAAGTCGCTAAAAAGGCAGGCGATGCAGACATGAAAGAGAAAAATAAACCTTAAAATGAATTCAAATTCATAAAAACAAAAAAACCCATTTACGATTGCGTTAGGGGTTCAGGAAATCTCGCAGTTATAGCAATCTGTATTGATGGAATGTTAGATCGTAAACGAGGAAAAACCAATTTCAGAGGCAAAGAATACAGAAATTAAACTCAAACGAATCAATTTAAAAGAAGCACTTTGTCGTAGGCTTCGAAAAAAGGAGGCAGGCTTTAGCCGAAAGAATTTGGGGAAAATTGTGGAATTACTTTCTCGGTATAAAAAAATTGTAAATTGGAGATAAGACTTTTAAAAAAGATAAAGAAGCGATAACGGCAATAGTTATGTTAACAGGAATAATTAACAGCAATAAATAAAAGGAATTCATACTCATCCGTGCAAAATTCCCGCTGAATCCGTTCTACCAAGTTATCGTATGTCGTAACATTGGGGTCCAGTATGAATTGACAGTATGAAAGCGTACCATTCAAAGATACAAACTAAAATTAGGAAAAAGATTTGAGAAAAGTGCGGTCGTAGGACAAACCGCATGTAAGCAACAACCAATTATACCAATAGGAGCGGCCAGTTTCTGAACACGACACGAAGCAGACAGAAAACATTCGAACACACAGCACACCAAATAATAGTGAGGTCAAGTAAAATTCCAGAAAAGACCTCTTCTCATCATTTGGTACCCAATGCAATATATTAAGAATATGCCGTTTAAGAGTTGAGAAGTCTTTAACACTTAGCGTGTACAGTAAAGCGGTTTAATGAAGCTATATCAATATCACTACCTTTATTTTAACACGAATGTCTGGTGCAAAGTTCATAATCGCAGCTTAATGTGCACCAAGAATGAATGACGCAAGGTCACATATCTCCCCACAAATGTATTTTCGGCCGAAATTTAAAAAAAAACTGTGGCAAGTATAAACAAGCAGTTAAATCCATAGAAGAAAATATACAGAAATTTTCAACTAATTGACTTTTTTGAAAGACTTGTCGCGTATGTGTTTGCACAAATTTTATTTTATTGCAATCAAAAGTTTTTTGACAAAAGACTCCAAGAAACCTTTGAAAACGTACTTATTTTCTAGCGGATTTGACCATTTTTGCAAAAGGGTAACGAAGGCGAGTATTTGCTACAACTTGTTTAGATGTTCCCATATCTCCATTATACGTGACGAATGTATGCAGAATCCTACTAAATGCCACTTCTTTTCTTTGCTTTCTGTCATCCTAAACGATATATTGTAGAGATTTAAGCTCATTCTGAAGTCGGGTGTCTTAAAGCTCTGGCAGATTATGCAGTGCCGAAGCGCTAAAATACTAGAGATCTACTGGCATTGACCGGGAGAAATCCACAAGAGAAGACTAAAGTACCCGCTAAACCAAAACAAAAGTCGAGCAAACAATTGCAGAATTACGCAGCCTTCCCCTGTTCTTGAGCGTTGTTCTAACCATAGCTTTAATCAAACTCTTGGGTCACTGCTGTAATGAAAACACTCACGTACCAACCGCGCCATATTATCAAATTTGAACGTAACTGAGTCACCTAACTAAAACGCCGCTTAGCCATCATGGCAGCTCTACTAAATCTGGAGTCTCTGCCTACCTGCTGACTGTATTGAGGGAAGGACAGAAGGTGTAGGCCATCACGTATGCCCGTGGCCGGTCGTAAGAACACTCCCAAATGGCAAAGTCATTCATTAAAGAAAATATGACTTTCCACCTGTTCCTCTATGCCACTTTACTTTCACTTCAGTGCTGCTCAGTCATAATTAGGCGGGCTCTATCCGCCTAGAATCGAGCAGGTACCACAGACAGCTCCGTAACGAACTCTTCCAGATGAGTAAAGACTAGTGTCCCTTGAGTTGTTTGTTGCTTTTCTGCAGACTGCGGGACTAGAGTAGTTACAAAAGAACAACGTCATTTTCAACGCTTCTGTTAGGGGTCATCACAAATTCTCTAGTCCTCAGAATATGAACTTCTGCCGCCCTGCTTAGGTTTATCACCCAGCAATTAAAATCATGATAAATGTCACTCAAGATGGGGTTCACTTTCTGCTACCACTAGAATAATGCCAAAAGTCTTTCCCGGAGATGAAAAAAAAGGCATACTAATAGGGCAGAATATGCATTGCCGGCGTACAGATGACAGGAAGCTACTGGCATGACTTGGACGCCATTCCACCCATCGGAAGTACAATTGCGGAGTCTTGAGCGCCCTCGATAACCAAAATGAAGGGTGAACAAACACCTAGTGAAAAGCGTTTAAGGGCGATACCGCGCCACACTTACGACATTTCCAATTCGTCAAGATAATTCTCAGTTCTCACAAATGCATTGCTACACTCAACTAAAACCAACACCACACTAGCCCACTTCAGGGCCCTAAGTATAATCCCCAAGAGAAAATCAAAACAACCATTTGTGTACCACCCCGCCAAGAAATGGAGCCGTTTCAACCAACCACCTCAAGATTCTCGCGCCTCTGTTTTCAATAACACACCCAGAATTCAGGGCAGCGACTCTTTAGCAGCACCACTATCAGTGTTTTGATGTAAATGCGCATAAAGCGTGACCCCGTCCCCAGTAAACTGAGACTTATGTATTCCAAGCATGTGACACCCTTAGAACACCAAACCTGATAAAATAGTGAAAAAAACGGTAAAGTGTAGATGCTCTATATTGTAAGGAAAACGCAATTTGTACACTAAAGAGATAAAGGTCTGGAAGTAAAGTTTATCAATACTTCGCAAAGCACTACTTTGACGGAGACCTTGGTTGAAGAGGAAAGGCAACACGGGGAATTAACAAGCGCTTTTGCACACCTCATCAAAGTTTGGCCGATTCACGCGCTTGCCTCGCTCCTGCCCATAGCCTTTGAGTTCCAAAAATAGGACAATATATAAATCGGCAAGTATTAGAATGGTCAACTAGTAAAACCCACCAAATGACAGGTCAATGACTTCATATATTAAAGTGTATCTTAGTAATAAGGGAAGAATTAACTGGCCATAAGTTGAAATGTATACATCACCTGCATAAGAGCAGAGCCCATTTTGGCTGGAGATCTTGACACTATGACACCAGCTTCTTCAAGAGCAGCAATCTTTGACTTCGCGTCTCCCTTCCCACCGGATATGATAGCGCCTGCATGACCCATGCGGCGACCAGGAGGGGCAGTAACGCCTGCAACGAAGGACACTACGGGCTTCTTACTGGGACCCTAAAACCGAGGTAAAAACAGTATGAAGGCACAGACCAGTCAGTAGTTGAGTCCCGTATGATGAAAAAAAGAAATTTAACGAATAGCTACACACGAAGATAACACGGAAATAACAGTAATGATAGGACGAAACTCAATTTAAAAACCAACAAGTGACTCAAGCTCACACTGTTGTGCTCCTTCAGATATGCTGCGGCCTCTTCCTCAGCCTGGCCACCGATCTCACCGATTATTATGATGCCGTGTGTGTCTGGATCACCCAAGAACACCTCAAGACAATCAATGAAATCGGTGCCGTTGAACGGATCCCCACCAATACCAACGCACAGTGATTGACCAAGGCCCGTCTATAAAAGCAGCTACGCTTTACAAAAAGTGGTGAGATTTCTCTCTTAGGTGACATTTTAGCTTAGCTACCAAACCATTATTTAGCGCATGTAAACTCAAAATGTGAATCGGGGGTAGTACCAAGACATACCACGGTTGTCTGGTGCACGGCCTCATAAGTCAGAGTGCCGGATCTTGAAACGATGCCTATGTGACCTGGAGCGTGGCTGTGGCCAGGCATGATACCGATCTTGCAAACACCGGGCTTGATTATTCCGGGACAGTTAGGCCCCAGCAGACGAGACTTGGACTAGAACGGAGCAATAATTTATGCAATCATACACCCACCTGACGAACAAGACGATGTTTAACACGGATCATATCATGCTGAGGAATTCCTTCAGTAATGCAAACTATGAGAGGCATTTCAGCTTCCATTGCCTCATCAATTGCCCTGGCAGCAAATTGAGGCGGAACATATATAACAGTAGCATCGGCCCCAGTCGCCTCCTTTGCCTCCCCAACAGTATTAAATACAGGAAGACCCAAATGAGTTTGGCCACCTTTGCCAGGAGAGACTCCTCCTACTAATTTCGTTCCGTAGGCCAGGGTCTGCTGCGAATGGAAAGTTCCTTGCTTGCCAGTAAAGCCCTGGCAAATGACTTTCGTCTTATCACTTAAAAGTAAATTTTTGCGCGTTGATGCATAACTTGAACGTGTGAATTGCGAAAGAACTGGGGAGGAGAAAGAAACTACATTTCAATTGGAATCAAATGTGAATATTTCAACGTAGTCACTACAAACTAGAAGAAAGCCACCAAATTGATAAACGTCCCAAACAAATGCACAAATGGTACGCTGAAACAATGCCATTTGCCTAAATTATGTTAGAGATTAATAGCGTGATACATACCTTATGCGAGCCACATAAGGTTTCTAGAGCTTATCTTACGTCACCTTAAGCTGGACCTCAAAATTCTGCTCCACTTCGTTGTCATAAATACAAATTAGAAGCGAATAAATACATACACACACATGGTACAAAGAAGTAAACTGGCATACCAGACGAGAAGGGGAATCGACCGGCAGCTTTGAACATCCTTGAAATGATCCGCGCCATACCACTCTTTAATGCAACAAAACAACTCAACAATAAATTTTTTCAGTTAAAACCTATTTTCGTACCAACTTGGCATCAAAAGCACAACAAAGACCAATTTTTAGCATTTCCATATTTCTCAAATTTTTCACTGATTGAGTCAACATATTTGCATTCCCATTGGCGCGTGAGAATGCGTATCAGCGGGGGACATGCTCGGCGGGACACCGTGCTCACCACCCTTGGGGATGTACAAATGCACGATGGGATTTGAGGGTGACGGAGCGGCTGTTAAGGAAAATGTGCAATCGGCATTGGAACATGCTGCCCTCCAAATGCTCTCACATCTACGCAACAGGTGTGAAGAACTTGACGATGCGCTGGTGATGCTGGACTCGGCTAAAAAAGAAATGGAAGGACAAATAAATCAGTGCTTCCAAACTATACTACGTACTCTGGAGGAGCGTCGATTGGCTCTCTTTAGTGATCTAGAGTCTTCCCTACTAAAACGTCGACATGTCATTGAGGAGTTAATGAAGAACATGGAAGAACGTAGTCAAAAGCTCACTGTTACGACAGAACTGATCAAGCAATATTATATTCACGAAAAAGGCTTTTTTAATGGTGTTAAAGGAGGAAAATTTGAAGAAACAAATCATGAAGATGGTAGACGAAATGCCGAGGAACAGCTGCGTTCTCTTCTGGCAAATCCAGTGCCGATTCATCCGTCGACTTCTGATATATTATCCTATTTCCCCATCAATTTGGACAAACTCTTAAGCCTTATTAAAAACTTCGGTGCCATAGGGATGACTAGTGTCGATTCCGATCAAACAAGTATTGTTGAGACCGGATCCGAGGGTAGTCATGTTATGCGATGCGTTGTAAATGAAGTCTACTTTCAGAAGGTACGCGCAGTGGACAGTCAAGGCAGAGATGTAGGCGTTGTTAATCCAAAGGAGTTCTCTGTCAGTCTCACCCACCGACCAGTTCACATGAATGAAGTCTCAGTCATTGAGCCCGAGTCCAAATCCTTGTCACCACCACTCGACAACTCGGTACTAATTCGTCTTAAATTATCCAATCCTGGATTTTATGAACTAAATGTCAAAGTTCTTGGTGAGCACATACGCAATTCTCCATATCGAGTACATTGTTTACCAAAAATGGGACCTTTGGCGAAAGAGTGGAAGGCAGTTTTCAACGAATTGAGTGAGCATGCCGAACTTCGTCGGGGTCCTCTACAGTATATTAAACGAAGTTCTTCGGAGTTGCATTTACCCACGTTGCCACCACCTCCACAGGCATTGGCAGATGCATTATCCTGGAATAAAAACGGCATGATTTTTGCCATAGGTGCACGGGGTCGAGGAGTATCCGAATTTGCGTGCCCCCAGGGAGCAATGTTTACAAGGGATAACAAATTGGTCATTGTTGACAGTAACAATGCAAACGTACAGGTAACAAAAGGATCAAAAAAATATATTTTAAAAAACTCTTTCAAAAATAAGTCAAATAAAGGCGATAAACCGCAGAATATTCACAATTCAGCTGATGAAGTTTCAAGTAGACAGTTGGACAATCCTAATTGACTTCTACAGGTATTCACGTCTTCTGGCGCCTTTCTTCGGCGTTTTGGAGAATTCGGTTCCGAGGCTGGTCAGATGGTACGACCAACTTCGGTAGCGGAGACAATTAACTCGAATTACTTGATCAGCGATTTCGATTTGCATTGCATTCATGTCTTCCAGCCCTCGGGCAGTTATATGTCCCGTTTCGGTCAACGCAATTTGGCCGGACCCTATGTGAGTTACTTCTCTATCACATCAAAATAGATAGCCGTCACGTGTTGAGAAATATCGTGTTCAATTTATTATTATTATTATTAGAGCATAAGTGGAGAGGTGGATATCGGCGAGAGTTCAGAAATAATCATGTTTCCGGACAGTTGTTTTTAAGCTGTAAGGGGTAAGGATGATGTATAGGGTTTTGGTGATCAACGGAGAGGATGATGAAATAAAAGGCGATTTTTATTTCCACAATTAATCATTGGCATTTGAGCATTATGCGGCAGAACACGAAATCAAATTTTAGCAACCAAAGGATTTATTAGGCTAGATTCGCTCTGCAGAGGGTGGGTTAAGACGTTGCGCACTTTAGGAGTTCTTATAAATCCGAAGGAATGCCGACCTTTTTAATCAAGTTTTCCTAACTAAAAGGTGCACGAAACCTAATGAAATATTACTCGCATGTTTGTGCATGAAATGCCACGTACAAGAATTCAAAGGGCAAAAATTTCTGGCTCAATGAATTCAAGCAAATAGGCATATGAATTTAGTGATGCCTACTGAAAAACAACTTTCTGTAGATGAAGAGGGCAACTTATTGTTAATTTTAAAGATTGATAAGGTTTAATAAAGGAAAAGAGCCTTGGCGCCTACATCACTTTCTCACTTATTTCCACACAAAGGATGTAGCAGTCGACAGCAGGGGTAAAATCTTTGTTGTCGACTTGAAAGCGTGCACGGTGTGCTACTTCAAACCAACTGGTCGTTTCTTGGGCCACTTTGGAGCCCGTGGTGCCGCGGACAATCAATTCACCGGACCGACAGGCATCGCAATTGACTCTACCGATCAAGTCTACGTGGTTGACTCGCCAGTCCACTCAATAAAGGTGTTCGATAATGACGGCGAGTTCCTCTTCAAGTTCGGTGTCAATGGTTATGAACCTGGTTGCCTTCACCTACCAAGTCGTTTGGTTTTCTACCCTCACGACTTGCTTTTGATCAGTGATACAGGCAACAATCGTGTACAGGTTAGCTGCTCCTACATGTCTCGAAAATAAGTTTTCCATTATAGTACACAGAGTTTTCAACAAGTGCTTAAAAACTCCTGTGTAGTTGGTACTAATGGCTGAGACTAAAACTTTGTTTGTCATTTATACGTATAAAAATCAGAATTCCTGCCTTATCCAAACGTGGGAAATATGGATCCGCGTTTTAAATTCCAAATACATTTCACATCAGTCCCACTCGGAATAAGTTGTGTCCACAAAATACATTATAAAGATGTTGTTGAATTTCTAAACCTTTAATTCCCTTTATTATACAGCAGGCACTGTAACTGAATTAATTTATGTTGTTTAAGTACGTTAGTGCACTTACATGCATAGTTTAGGTGGTAATTGGATTGATGTTGGAAGAGTTAGGTACTAGCAGAAATGTGATGCTAGCACGCAACTCCCTGTGCTATGAACTATAATTCAAAAAGATTGCTAGCTAGCAAGTTGTGATTTTACGATCAGTCCAAAATCTAACTTTATCTCAGTTGCGGGGTTGTCGCGTTGAAATGTAAAATGGTGTTTAGTGAGTTCCAGTGTGTTTTCTTTTAAGTGACCTGACTTTCTTTAAAAAAGGTGATTAGCCATATATCACATTAAAATATAGTTTACTCCAAAAAATGCACCGGTTCTGTTGTTTGGGGTTACTTACTGTGTATGAAATCTATCAATTCCGATTACCATAGTGTTTAATAAAAACTCACAAACCCTGTACTCTATACTTGAAAAATACCATGTAATGAAAAATCCCTTTATTTCTGTAATTTTTGAGGCAAAAAGTACGTAACTATAATGTTCACTTTGTTTGATTTTGTGAGTCATATCACTGATTTCGATTGAGCTTTTTGGGTTCCGTAAGTTATTTTATCCATATTTTATTGTATTTATCAGATTTTGCATTACTTAAAGAAGTAGTTTAAGCAATTTTCTGCAAACTATGATTTATAACCAGTGTTGTTGGACACCCTCTTATAACTATTCAAAGAATATTTCCAGATCTTGAAATTATGTCTATGTCAATCACATCAATGAAACTATGTGCAACTTCATTTCCGTTCCTCTCTCCTCACCACCCCCTCCAACTACCTCTCCTCAGTTAGCTTACCTGTGCACGTGCAACTTTCCCACCGTCCCAGGTCTTTGACAAAGAGGGACAATATTTGTGGATGTTCACCTCTTCATTGGACGCTTTGAATGATCCACGAGACATCGCAATTTTGCCAAACGATGGCCTCATTGCTATAGTGGACACAGGTAATTACCGCATCAAGGCCTTCAATCTCCAGAACCGCCAGGCTAACAATGCGGTAACGTTGAAGGAGTGCAATGATGCTACTTTGACGCAAAAACCGATTGAACAAAATATTTTGATTGAAAAATCGCCTTGAGGCCCACGCGCTCACTCGTACACACATTTTAAACAAATCGTGAAATAGCTTAGTTCAAGAAGATGGTTTATATTCTTTCATTAGTGCCTATTTTGGTGAGTGTTGTAGATACATGAGAAGTATTATTAAGTAAAAGGCAAAGAAAGGCATATCCTCTTTTTCTCATTTTTTTGGCAATACCAGGCCCAAGTAAGTCGTCATTTGCTATTCCCTTTATGCGGCCTAATGAAGCAAGCAATGCCAGGCAAACGGCACTTCTAGCACGTTTAGGCATGCGGCGCAAGTTCTGCCGCATCTCGAGAAGAATTATGGTAATAACTAATTCACAGAATGCCTGCAAAGTACAACCTGCAGAGGCTGAAATGACCACGAACATTAGTACTGTCAAACAAAACGCCTGTATCTTAGGAGCTTACTACTCACCTGCCTCGATAATTGGCTTTGGAGGGTAAAGTTAAAATGTGGGTCAAAAGAAAAAATTTGACCCAAACTTGACGCAACATTCATTCTAAATCCACCTATCAAGTGGTTACTTTATGTTAAACAAAAGATGAATGGCTAAACTATTAAAGCACCGGCGGATACCGATACAAACAACCACCCTGCCTGTTATATTCTCCCTTCTGCTATCGCCTTGCAAATGAGGAAAAATGTGCCCAATTCGTGGGACTTCTCACTTTTCCCTATTTGCCGAAGCAGACAGCACAAGTTGAATGGCAAGCTTGCGTGCAAGCGATTGGTGGTCGCAGTGGATCGACTCAAGGCATAAGCCGAGTTTGAGTGGCTGATTCCATTCAGTAATGCAGACTGGGGGGTGGGGTAAAGAAATGGGAGAACGCGAACAGTGAACCGTGATTCGAACAAAAAAGTAGATGGAGAAGAGGATGGGGACCTAGAAGAACTCGACCGTGAGCTGGCCTATAAGAGCCATTGCATTTGGTGGAAAATCACGACTGGCGCAGATTGATTTGCGCGCTGTTAATTTGTAAATAATCTCTTTAGAAGGAACAGACCCTTCACGTAAAGCTTGCACTGTGTTAGAGACACATAGCATGCCCACGCATTCACTGTGACAAAGTCATTTTAAGTAAGCAATTACCTGGAGGTAGCAAGAGTAGATACTATAAATTATGCTTGAAACAATTGTTTGACTTTAAATTTTGACAAAGGGCCATAATATCTCAGGACAGTCGATCTTAAATTACCATTTTGAGTTTGTTTAACAGCAAAAACTTGATGTAGATCTTAAAATATGACAGTGATAAGTAATTTAGCCATGAAAATACAGAATTTTTGGCATTAGACTTTTAAAATTAATGATGTTACCTTATTAACTTGTGATTTATTTCTGCACACTTCAGCCACAGAAAAGTCGTCTATTTTTTGCTCAAAATTACTATAAAAATGCTTACTATTATTGTTTGTAATGCAATGAATTAATCTGTCTTAAGAGAATTTTCGAGGTTATAATTTACATCTGAGCTTTCAATAAACTGATATTCGCTACGTAGCTGGCGTAAATTTGCTTCACTTAGAAAGGCATTGAAAGTTATGGACTCGCGATTGCTAAAAAATGACAAAGTTAGCACTAAAAAATCTTAGACAATATTCTTTCTCTACCTAGAAGATCACATGACTCTCGTGTGCGGATTCTATCCAACAGCGTTTTGGTGCAGTCACCTCATATTTTAGCTCACATCAACCGGAAGTGTTTAAGTCACTGGCCTAATTGAGGCCACATGTTGTGTACAAAAAAACAGGACGAAATTTGGACACAAAGTACGGCTGTCTATTTATTCCTAAAGGTCTTATTTAGAACAAGGCGACAAATGGGGTGCATAATGCAGTAGGCGCCGGCGATCATCGTAAGTACTTTTACATAGACATTACCGTGTGGCAGTTCCTCCTTCCAATGCATGAGTTGAATCAATTCCAGCATGTGGATGGGCGCAGACAGCCATAACAGTAGATACCCATCCAGGAGGATAAGTCTTTCCACCGCCTCAACAACAACAGTCGGAGCTTCGAATTCTCTTAAAGACTCCAATACCTCCGAGTAAAACCATATTGTAGCAGTAACGGGAAGGAGGTAGTTTAAAGTGATAGACACTATGTACAAGTAGCGCACGAGAATGAAGCGATTAGGCAGTAGTTCGCCCTCAAAATCAAAAATGTTGCCGCAGAATGACCACTCAAAATCGTACTCAGCGTAGTAGACCATGGCGAGAGCTGCGATGATTGCAGAAATGAGGGCAGCAAGCAAGAGCGTTAGACAAGTACGCCACTTTACTTGATAATTTTCTTCGTTAGAGGAGAATAAAATGCGCCGATGGTGGTAAGAAGCAGTAGCAATATTTGACCAAGCCCGAAGACTGAAGAAGAACCAAAATTGACTGAATGAAGTGACAAGTAGGCAGGTGAATTCAGTCTGTTTCTGCTCGCTTGAGTACACACTGAAGTATAAGATTAGACAAGTGATGGAATCTAAAGTCCTCTGAAGTAAGTGGAGTGAAGTAACCAGCGAAACCCTTTGTTTTAATGCATAGGCGAGACCTGCGGCAAAAAGAAAATTACCGATTGCACCAGGTATGAATGTGATGGGTAGGTAGTAGTTCAAAATGCTCAATGGATCCATTTTTCCTCCGGTTGCATCTGTTTCCCCCCCCCCCCCCCTCCCTCTTTATAGAATATAGCATCGATCGCCGTTCAAAAGCTACCCACTTAGCCCCTCTCCCAAGGCGCGTTTTTTCGCTTTACGCGCTCATGCTGCCGTAGAACTGCTCCTGCATTATTAATACATGAAGATTTTCTGAGCCTTTGAGCTTCTACCAAGCAGCTGATGAGAGAGCGGTAAACCAAATAGTGCGTTGTGCTCAGGACTACGAGCTGCTTTTCCTCTGAATTCACAAAACTCTTTCCCTTCCCCTCCCCCTCACACCCACAAACACTGATTTTGACATGACACTAGGAGGGGGAAATTCACCTTCAAGCTCCATTGTAGACGTGCAAATTCCGCTGCCGTCTTGCTGCGAGGGTGAGAATAAGCTGTGATGGTGGTGATGACTTCAGCGCTCGCATCCCGGAAGTTAAGCTTCACATCAAACCACCACTTGATCACGTAGCAAAGACAATCTATTGCATGATGCAAGTTCAAATGGCACAAAAAGGACGAAAAGATGGTCAAATACTGGTCGCTGATTCCATAAGAGAGGAAGGAGATATGCGGAAGATTCGAACAATTCCATCATCACCGCCACTGGCCAAGGCAACCGATTCGGAGTCCAGAGAATGAAGAGTCAAACAACGCACTGGAAGACCCATATGTGTCCAGTCAGCCGGCATTTTCCACAGCGACTGGCAGGTACCGCTGGTAAGAGATATTGCCAATAGTTCAATACCACCAGTTTCAAAGCCCGCGGTTGCAAAAAAGGCATTATGACCAGAAATGTCTGATCCTACATCAAAAGCTGTTATGGCTTCGGAGAGGACCCACGGCGGGGCCACGCGCTCCCCACTCTCACCGTCCCAGGCCATAATTTGTTTGTCCCGTGAGGCAGTTAGAAAAGTTCTAAAAAAAGGAAAACAAAAAGAGCAAGAACTCACTTTTTACGTGGAAAAAAACATGTCTAGTCGACCAGTGTCAAGATCGTAAGTACCTATCCACCCAGGTCTTACTTAAAAAAGCCCTTCAGCTTCCTCCTTTGATTGCCGCAACGAAAATGACTTTCATTAAGCACGAATTTCTTCCACATTTCACAGACCAGAATTTACCTTTATAGCAAGGGTATTACCCCCTTTGATGTCATAAAAGGATGTGATTCGTTGAGTTAAAAGTAGTCCTAAAATCATGCTTCGAGCTTATAAAAACCAAGGGATGTATGTAATGTGGTGAGAGGAAAAGGCTGTAAAATGCACAAAAAGGGAAAACTAAAACCACCTAGAGATCATTACAACACTTCTGTGCCCTTCTGATTAGAGGAGGCAACAGAGGCAGCTTCGGTTAAAAAAATGGGAAAAGGTAGAAATAACCAGACAAAGTGTGTACTTCCCCACCTGTAGTCCGGTGACCAGGCACAAGCCCAAATGATACGAGAGTGAGCGTTTTTTCCCGGTTGGGAGTGCTTGTGAAGTTGAAAAGTGGGAAAGTCATCGCCAGCACTTCCATCTACCTTCCACAGTGCCCACATTCGATCACGCGAAACGGAAACCAACCGATCACCCGTGCTATCAAATCGCATATTGCTCACGGTCAAACGGTGGAAGGAAAGGTGCTAAATGACGGCACAATGATAAAATGTAAGTGAATGTGTTTCAAACCACCGCCTAAAAAGCACCTTCAAAGTATTCAAACGGACAAATAGCATTACCTGGTGGATGTGCCAATTGTCTGTTCGCCAGAGGAGGATTCGTGCAAACTCCTGCTTAGCTGCCTTACATGCGGACGCAACTAGACAACCCTTAGGATGAGCCGCCAGAGAAAAAACCTACACAACAGGAACAGATTTCTGGAATCGGAGTTCTGAATGAACGATAATGGCGGAGACGTTTCATGCAAGAAAGTACACCAACAACTTCAAGGCGACATTTCAAGAATATCTTTGTTTCAACAAGGCTGCTGCCAAGTCAGTTTTAAATCCAGTTCACTAATGTACACCTCACCTCGTAGCTGTGGCCATAAAGTTTGTTTGTCTCGGTCCAGAGAGTTGACTCCGCAAGTACAGACTCCGTGGGCGGGTAGAGGGGATTCTAAAGGGACATTAAAGCTAGAAAATTTTGATGCTTGAACGCTTTATGCAAACAGTGCATTAACTGCTTACAAATGCTAACGATGCATTAAAAGGGTGTTTTACTACAGGGAATTGTTTATTTGATATTCATCGTCGATTAAAGGTCCACTGCTTCGCAAATTGAAACAAACAAAGCTTACAGTGAGAGGAGCGTTGCTTTCGCCACTTGACTCTTCTTCCTCTTCCACTGCAGCTTGATTTGAAAGACCCAGGGCTTGTTGGACTGCGCCTATAGAATTGCCGAAATAAAACTACACGGTGGTATGGAATACCATTTTGCAGTGGAGCACGCATGGCATACCAAAATAAACACAGAAAATTGATGCTATCGCAAAAGAAGATGGAACTCCTTACTTGTTGGTAGTGTCTGCAGGCCAGGGTGGGCGGCAATGGTAGCATCACTGAGGAGGCTCTTCACGAAACCGCTGGTAGCTGAAAATACACGTCCCACTTTTTCATCACCCGCTGATACGTAGTGAACGACATCCAGACTGACAATGTCATTCATCTCATATCCATGCACCTGGGGGCGTGCCAGTTCGCGCCACATTCGAACTGTAAAATAATACAAAATATGTAGCTAGATTCGCGCTACTTATTATTAGAAAGTAGAACGGCTTTTCACCTGGTGGGGAACAGCCACTTCCTCCGGTGTAAAAAAGACCATGCAAACGGACAGTACTGTCTTGGCTGGCAGTCAGTAGGTAGGGTGGGTAAGCAGGACATGAAGGTGATTCAAGTGAAACACCATCGATTGTTTCACGACACCAGGAGAGACTGGTGACCGATTTAAAGTGGCCAGTTAATGTGATGCGCGGTTCCGAGTTCGTAGACCAAGTAGAAAGATCACCCTAAAGAGTAGTGACCCAATCATTGTCAAAAAACAGGATGCAGTAAGAGTTAACCACAAAAGTGGAAAGCTACTGTACCCAGAATCCGTGCCCGTAGACCTCCGAGTTATAGTGTCCCCAGGCGCAGCCAAGGTAACCTATGGAGGCACCACCGACAGTGCCGAACCTCGCTTGCTCCAGCCAGATGTCTGGAGCCTCCTCATCACCACCGCCATTAGCAGCAACGCTGGAGAAGAGGGGCTGAGAGGGCGCCCAAATGACCAAAGATTTGTCACGACTGGAGGAGAGCAGTTGAGGGCATGACATGGGTGTCCATGGCACAGGAGACCAGGCCACATCTGTCACCCAGTTATCGTGGGCGGAAAGAACGCTCTCCAATCGTGCTATAAGCCGATGAGTGCCCCGATAGGGGGTAGGAAGTTCTAGCAGTTGTCCCTGAATACAAATAATCAATTGGCAATCAGAAAAAAGATTAGTTGTACTAATGATGTATTAGCTGCCTACTTATTTATGAATAAAGTAGCAGCACTGTGACTTTCAGTTAAGGTTAGCGTGTACCTTTTCACTTGGAAGTCGGTCTTTCCCTTCCAGAAGCTGCACATGCCAAATTCGAATTTGTTTATCCAGCGACCCAGTTGCTAGCAGTATATGGTCGCCTTCAACTTGGGAGGCATCCACCTCCTTGGAGGGGTACATTTGAACACAGTCTAGGCAGTTAAGCCAATCGACATGGCCTTTCAACGTTCCAGCAAGGAACACCGACGCCTCCCCTGGTTTCACTAATCTCACCTCCAGGCAACCCGTTGTCATTCCGGCAAAGAGGAGGACGAGTGGACCAGTTAAACAGGCAAGGCGTAAGGTCAAGCATGAAGAGGACTCGAGTTTAATGCAAAATTGCTCGCTCATCGTTTCAGCTGCAGATGCAACGCCATTGCTGAGTGTGAGCTTTAGAATAGAACCTGTGATACTATCCTGGCTGGCTGCACAGACAATTAGCTGGGTCTCCGACGCATCGGTGTAGCATCCATGGACACTGATTACGGAGGTTGTGACATTAAATGAAATTAATTCCCTCTGCGAATCTTCTCCGATGTCCCACAGTTTAACCTCACCTAAAAAAGACAATTGAAGGTGATATGGCAGAAATGAGAACTTGGAGACAGAAAAAAACATACCATCTGTTGAAGCAGAAATAAGGAGACTATGAAATCGAGTGATAGTGGGCCCTTTGAAGGAGTCGATCCACATAACGCAAGAGACTGTTTCTTTATGGCCCGAAAGTGTCCGAAATACACGAATATCATTATTGACCGCTTGAGCTAAACAGACGGCCCGACTACCACCGAAGGCGAGCATTTGAGGACGACCATTGTGATGAAAGTGCTGTACAGAAATACAGCTAGAGTTTGGATTGATTGCGGCCGCGGTATACTCACACACGACGCCAGAGTTCTTGGTGGTAACGGGATCGGAGTAATTTTGAGCGTGGCCAAGCCCCTCCTTGTAGGCAATGAAGGCCCTACGACCACGAGGTTGCGTCATAGGGCAGGGTTGCGGAAGTTCAGCAAAATCCACGTCAAACACCCCAGACATCTGGCTGTCAACAAAGCATAAAATTTAGAACAATCACTTCTTAAAACACCCAATTTTGTGCCTTAAATGACCGCTTTCACAAGGACATACCACGCCGTTGATCGCCGACCCTATAGACACTACTGAAGACCACCCTGTAAACACGCATTCAATTACAACAGCGCACTCGAATGACCTCGAGATAGGGGATCCATTCGCTTAGATGTTTGCATTACTTTTCCCCCAACCCGCCCTACTGAAACCGCCTCCCCTGGGTGTTCTCTCAAAAGGCAAATAGCGGGGTTAGTAATGCGAACAAGAGGCAAAACAAAAATCGCACAAAAAGAACTATGAAAGAGAAGAAATTTATTGACAATAATATGTAGTAATTAGTATATACAATAATGCACAAAGAAACTGCGACGTATAAACAGAGATCTGTATGATGATGATCACGGTTGAGCTGAACCCTACAAGGAGAAATATTTTTTGTTAACCAAAGTAATGAAAACGTGAATGACATCTGCAAAGTGCTTACTATCTGTCACTTGAATACCCATCAATGATACCTGCAATGCTAAGTTGGGATCATGTGGTCTTTGAAAAAGTGGCATTCCCCAGGACCCATGTCTCCAGATAGCGAGTCATGATTTCCCGGATGGTCTTCTGATAATCAGCGGGCATCCAACCGTAGTTTGGATCACAGACTGTTCGACACATGGGTGCTGCCAACATCTCCACCACCTCGGGGACGTCGATGTCAACCAATTGATAAAGAATCTGCCTAGCATCTGGCCAGCTAGTCTTGCTAAAGCGAAAAGCACTGGTCTGTAGAGGAATAAGAAAGAGAAAAAGCAAGGTGAATTACTCAAACTCGGGGCAAATGCTAACTAATGCGTGGTACACCCACCTCGATAAAAGGATAGATAAGTACACAAGAACTTCAAATGCGATGAACTATACCAGAATAAATGCTGCTGGGAATCATGTGCTCTACGAAACCGGTATCGTAAAGGATTCAATTAAAATGGTTTGTTGTTGAGGTAATAACATACGCTCTTTGATGATGCATGAACAGGCGACGGTGACTCCCCCGAGCGCATAGCGGCCAATGTGGCGTCAATGATAGAGGTGTCTCTAGCCTCGTCTACATCCGAGCCGGAGGGATCAGTATCTTCACGATCATCTGCTCGTGGTCTGCGACCCGAAATGCACAGCTTGGCTTGCAACCGAGGTGAGCGTACGCGATAGTCAACAGTCTGAAAATAACGCAGTATACAGTAAAATGTTTTCGGAAGGATGATTGTTGATGATAATATTATTGCCTTGGGGTTAAATGAGGAAATAAATGCAATCCCAAAGGTTCAATCGTAGGACTTGGTACATCGACATCCAATAAATGCTCCCGTGTTGGAAAGTGTAACATCAGGAAAGGAACGTCGGACAAAAAGTTTAGTACCTGATACATACGAGAAGAGGGATCTTTGCACGGATCGTATCCGAATCGGACCCAGACGCGACCCCAAGGTCCATTTGGCATGTAGTAGGCATAGGCAGGGAGAATTGTTTTAATCGCGCACTCACGAACACGCTTCCAGTTTAAGCTGTGAACCAAGGACGCCTTACCCCAGATGGGACGCCGGCGGAATAACTGAAGTTAAGCAATACACGAGTTACAGGAGTGAAGTAGTTATGCAAAAGCATCTAATGGAATGAAAGTCAACGACTTAGTAACTAGCCCTACCGAGCACAGGACACAGTGCTCTAACCTTTTCAACATCATTAGCCAGCTTTCGTGTATGCGGTCCTAGGCTTGTGATCGCTTGTAGAGCTCCAGGATGAGCAGCTGATGGAATGGGATCTCCAAAGTTAACAAACATTGCATAGCTTTTGCGCTCCTTTCGATCTACAATTTAGAGAATGAAAACCTAATTTGCAGTTGGTTTTAGCGATACACGAAACACAGCAGGAAATCCTGTCAAATAGGCAATGGGGCTTGAAGCTTCCACTAAGGCTTATTGAAAAGTTGTTTTGCCATTTTCAAATGTAAGAAAATGTACTTACGGTAAGGATGTTGCTGACTATTGTTTTCCAGTTCCACATACTCATTTATGCGGAAGCGTGACGAGAAACAATACATGGTGGGTTGATCAAGTCGAGTGAAGAGAAGGGGAGGTAGAAAAAGGGGTATGTCAGAAGCTCTTAAGTGAGAATCCAAAACACGCGTCGGTTCTTTAACCAGAAGTTGGTCATAGAATACGCGAAAACAATCAGATGGTGGAGCACAATCAGAAACCACTTTATTTGAGTTCGCAGGAATTTTTTCAAAAGGGCCGTATTGGAAGTCAAACATAGCTAAAAGAAAGGTATGCGCGAGGAAGTTAAATGATATTCTGTAATGCCAAAAATTTGAGAAAAAACAGCACACGGAGCCGAGCTAACCTAACAACAAGCCAGTTAAACCGAATATTGCAAATAAGACGTCACCTGCAAAGATCCAAAGTCAAGCAAACACCGACTCAATACGATTTACAAAAAATCTCACCGTTAAAAGTGTAAACCCTTGACGCTACGCCAACTACTTCCGATACGAACTTAACTTCTCCAGTGCGACGATTTCTGAGTTGCTTGGCACAGATGATAAGCGCTGTTTTAGAGTGGGGATCGCCGTAGACTGGCTTCGAAAAAAGCATTTCCGGTCTGAACGAAAGACGTAGACGTCGTGTAAGTGAATTGAAAGACTGAAAGAGGAACAATGAGTAAGAAAATAACGCCTTAGTTCCTGCAATTGCAACATGTATGAACAATTAACAAACGGAAGGCATAATAGAAAACGATCCCAGAACCCATTCAAAGAGTTTTGTTGATTTTGTAAGTTCCTTAGCATGTACAATAAACCGAGGCTGCGATGCACTCAAGTGAAGCAACTACCTTATTTAGCGATTGCAATCCTCCCAGAGTCTCGATCGCGCGTTCATCGTTCTTCACTATCCCTGGGTACTGGACTACGAAGAACTCACGAGGAGATATTGTAGATTCCATAAAATGCTACAATCCCAAGGCCAGAATGTAGTGCACTTCAAAGTCATAAAACCAAATATTAACTTCTTAAATCGATAGGGGCAAAAGCATGAGTTTTCGAAAATCATGTGCGCAAAACAGTCCTTTGTTGCAAAAAGAGAAACGTAAACTCAAAGATGTTCTGCAAGGTAGCAAACCTCCGTAAATTAGCCTGAAGTACGTAATGATTGCGCGAAGTTTCGTGCACCGAGCAGGTAAGAGCCATATTTTCAAACAATTGTAAAATGAATAATCGAGGTACAATAATAGCAACATATGCTTTACAAGACTAATTTTAAAAGTTGTGGTACACGGCTTACAAGTATACAAATTTTCTGAAGTACCGGATTTTGCAATTCTCTTACGACTAACAGTAATTAAAAAGCAAGCCAATTAAAAAAATATCAAATATTGAAAGCTTTATATGTTATTGCGCAGTAATGGGGTTCTTTTGCTCTTGAGAATTAATGGTTTTAGACATCCGAAGCACAAATGACGATCATGCTCTTGCCATATTTACCTAGGTATTCAAGATGCGAATTCCACTTTCCAGATAGACAATGTTGTCTCACTTACTTAGAATGCTTGACTCGCCCGCTTATTACTTAAAAAATTATTCATACAGACATCTACAGCACGTTTCCTGTGATCCCCTTATCACGGTTATCAAATCTCATTTTTCGGTTTATTTCTCCAGACATATTCGGTAAGCTTTATTCTTGTTGCCTATTACTAGTGTAATGCTTATGTTGTTTTAAGGTACCGTTCAGGGAGGAGGCAAGCAAGAAATTCGAAGCTCGTGACCGGATCGTCGTCTCCTGTACCTAGTGGCTGCGGTTCTCCCCCTTCTTAAACGTTGTACTTTCCCTCTCCGTCTTTTCCTCTTTAATAAATATGTCCAAAATGAATCAACCGGGTTTGTCTATAAATGCTAGGAACAGGAGAGCGAGGACCGATGAGTCTCGCCCCACACTAGAGTCTTTCTTTGTGGCATATCACTGCTATGGGCATTTTTGGTCAGTATCCAACCTAATTAATTGCTGTGTTAAAGTGGACCCTACCAACCGATGTTGACTTATTTTGTAGTGATTGTGATATTGACTTTCTTCTCCGATGAACGAAAAAAGCGTTTTTTCAAGGCTAATGTTTGTCTTTATGTTGTATTCTGTTGGCACGTGTTTGTCCTCTTGCACTCGATAGTTCTGAGAATTCTAGCTCCAGTGCTGTTGTCAAATATTTTGTTTTTGCAAAAAAAGCGCAGCTTGATCAAGACTTTTAAATTGCATTTTGTTTACGCGTCCGTCATCTTTCAAGCGATCGATTAAGATTAGGGTCTGTAAGTAACCGTGGGTATCTTCCGTGAGGTATTCATCCACCAAAGTACATGTCACTTCTCCATCCATGCGACCGATAAACTACTAATGATTTCAATGCACAGTCTTTGACTTGACTATGCCATGGACGCGGATGGCACTAGCTGAAATACTTTGGTGTGGCATATTTAAAGCCTACAGCAGATAAGTGTAATACGATAGTGCTTTATCCCTCAGTTCGGGTGAGGCGTTGCTTTTGGACTTTGAAGTAGCCCCCTTGTCCGTCGCTGGGTGAGCTGGCCTTCGGGCCATGCCAGTAGCCCAAATGCCTTCTCTGTGCTGAATGCATGGTCTGCCCGAGTATTGTGTCTTCTTTCGTCTTCAGGGGAGTCCCGGGACGCTGCATTGGTGGCAGCGGAAAGCGAACCCGATCTTGAAAGACATGTGTCCTGATTTTCCACTTCTGCGTGATAAGCCTTAGTGAAGAGGAAGAAGTACATATGCTACGGATGGG